AGCTCAAGTAAATCCAGTAATAAAAATATGTAGGATTCAGTGTCATCTAGTTGTGCAGTTGCAGATTACATCGCCCTAACCTCACCCTCCTGTTCCAAGCATGCAGGCGAAACTACGGTGAACGTGACACCGTTCGTGTGTCTCTTTAGCAGCTTGTTCTCCAGCTAGTTGCAAACTTTGTCTGTCTGTCGCTTTGTGCTGGAACGGCAGTGTACAGTCGCTTTATCAGAGCTCTTTTCTCTGACAGATCTCTGTTGCTTTAAACAAGGTTGATGAGACTGCTGTAACTGAACCGTGACAGTAAAGTTGTGGTCCAAAAACCCAAAACAACGAGCTGAAAGACACTAAAGCTTTCTGTAGAGTTGATGGGAGCTTCTGAGTCCGGTAATATTTCTCTGTAGGTCTGTGACAATGAGCGACCACTTTCACCACACATGGTCATGTCATCATTTGTTTACATAAACAGAGAGCAGCTTTAAAAAGTGGTAACTTAACGTGAGAAGAGAACTTTAAAGCACAAACTAAACACTTGGAGGTGTTTGTACATTCACACCTTTTTCAAGCTGTCAAACACCAACAAATTATGTCATCTGTAGACTGGGACTCATATTTTTTCCTCACCTCCTGTACACTTAACATTTGCTTAGTGAGGGACATATTTGTTTTTAACCAGTGTTTAACCGGTACTTCTCAACCTTTTTGGCTCATGACCCCTTACAAAAAGTAATGTCCGGTTGGAGTCCCTTGTCTCATATTTCAGGTGTTTCCCCCGTAGACACATTTCCCCTTCTAAACTTCTCAGACGGTTTAATTTAAATAAGTTTTTCCGAGGCCCAAAGAGATAAAACTGAAAAATGAATTCAAATGTATGTAGCACAACACTGTTTTTCTTCTTCCCTCTCCCATTATTCGTCTCATGACAGATTTAGTTTCTGACCCATTGGAGGGGGCTGACCCCGAGGTTGTCCACCACTTGATTAAAACTGTACATAAAACCAGCTCCGCTTCGACCGGCTGTAACAGAAATATACTGTTTATATGCATCAATATTATTAATGTAAGTTATAATAATGTGTCTGTAAAACGGGCTTAAGTACTTTTAATATTTTAAGTAAATTGAGTTGATAATTATTTTGTGCTTTTACTTAAGTACGATTTTAAATGCAGGACTTTTACTTGCAATGGAGTATTTTTACACTGTGGTATTTTTTACTTAAGTAAAGGATCTGCTGCCACCGCTGCACAAGTCTTGTCAAAACACAGCCAACAACAAATTGTTTCAAGAATTGTGGTCTCAAAAATATAAAAATAACATGTTGAGATTGGTACTGAATCAGATGGCGACGGAGAGATTCACATTTCTAGCTGATATCGCCACAGTCGAGCCTCATAGACTCTGCAGTGCAACGGGCACAAAGAAGATTATTTTAAAGATGCAGAACTGTGCATAATGTATAACTAAGCTCACTGCACTGAAAAGCTGAGGAAGAGAAGGAAAGGGCCGTCTTGCTCACTCCTTCTCTCTCACATTATTTGCACCATAATAAATCTCTAAATTATGCAAATGCATGCTCATATGTGCACGCACAGACACACTGACAAAGGCAATCATCTATGCATGTGTGCCAAGTCAGCAAAGTCACTGAGACTTGAGAGAGAGAAAGGGGCAAAGATGTGTTATTTAGTCTTCCAATGAATTTATTTATTGGAGGGTTGTTTTGATGGAAAGTTTGGGTTTCGCCTCTTATGGGTTAATGCGCTTTTGAAGGCACAGGGCTACATTCTGGGTTATTTACATTTTCGCTGGTCTGAAGAGAAGAGAGGAGAAAAAATGAAAGCTGAGAGAAGAGACGAGAGGAGGGGAGGGCAGAGGGGGAAAATGGAGAGATAAGCAGAGAGATAAAGAAAGGAGAGGAGAAGGAGAAGGAAGGTGAACAAGAAGCAAGCCGTGAAGAGAAAAGCATCGAGGGGAGGCGAGGTGAAAAGGACGAGGATGAGGATGGAAAGGGGAGAATACATGAAGGAGCTTAGAGAAGGAAAGAGGGGATATGAAAAGAGATAGAGGAGAGGAGCAGAAAACTACTAACACTAAAGACCCAGTTTGAGATTTTGAGAAATACACTGATATACTTATACTGCTTTCTTGCTAACAGGCTAATACCTCTCTCATCTGAGCCTCAAGTTTAGAGCCAGAAGGTGATTAGCTTAGCTTAGCTTAGCATAAGCAGAGGAAACGTGGGGAATTAGCAGTCCAAAGTTCAACTATCATCTCAGACATGGTGTTGGACATAGATATTTGGTAGGCTTTTTTTTTTACTTTGGACAAAGCCAGGTTAGATTTCTCTCCTCCTTCCAGTCTCTATGTTAACTTAAACACTAAACACGGTCTGTACTCTAATGTTATTCATGGGGTAAAAAGCAAATAGGCAAAACATTTGAACTATTCCTTTAAATAATGAAGAATGAACACAGCTAATAAAACATGAAAATGATATTTTCCCACATTTTGTGAATTAATTGAACCAAGTTACATTCAATTGTTCAGTAATTATTCTTTTTTTGTAAAATAAACCAGCCTTACCCCTAAACTAATTTCATTTTTATGGATTTATTGGTTGATGATATGCTATGAATGAAGTTGAAGAGGCCTTTTTCTCATACTTTTATGTACTCTATCAGCCGTCAGAAAAGTGGAGAAGAGAAGAATGAGAGACGTGAGCAAATTAGATTAAGAGAAAATTAGGAGATAAAAGAAGAAAAAGGGAAGCTTGGAGAAGAAGGGAAGAGGTGATGAGTTGAGAGACAAGCGGAGGGATTGGAAGTGGGGAGTAGACAAGCAGTTGTTGAGGAGCAATATCAGGCATGGATGCTTTTTAAGACAGCGAGACTGCATGAATCAGAGCGTTTCGACAAATAAAAATTGCTCATTCAGTACACACATACACAATCCTTTATATCGTTGCAGGTATGAATATCAATGCTTCTGTCAACCTCTGGGTTTAAGGCAGGCTTTATGTGGAACAAATCTGTTGTTTGTGTTGCCCACACTCCATTTGTTGTTGCGTTAGATATAAATCTCTGTGCAGATTTTGCCCTTGTATTGCATCTTAGTGGTAATACAACATTAGCACTCCGTCTCAAAGTTTTGATCTCATGCTTTGTTTAAACTGTAACACGCTGCAAATCCGAATCTTTCTCCCAGCTGGTGTCCACAAAGTTCACAGCTCCTGAAGTTGGAACAGTTTGTTTCTCTTGGTGTTATATACCTAGAGTTGAGGTTGTTCGGTAACAGCCAGGGGTCTCTGTGTGTTTGTTCATTTTGTTTGTGTGCAACACTGTTTGCAGTGTGCTGTGTTCAGGGGGATTATGATATGCCCGGAGCACCCTGTGTGAAGGAATGCAGTCCTTGAACAACCTGAGCCAGCAGTAGAAGTCAAATGAGCATATTTTAGTGTTGATGGGTTGAGTTACCAACAATTTGCTGACTCTATTCAGGTATACAACCAGTAATTCCTCTGCTTTAGCAACTAAGGGAACAGTTTGGATTCATCTTATTGTAATATGTCTTCTTTATGTCTTCTTTATGTCTAAGGAGTTATTGGTCCCTGTAATCATCCCTCCTGCCTATACTGGCAAAAATGATCCCCTCCTAGTGCAGCTGCTCTGTAAAACAGCGAAGACTTTGCTAATAGATACAAAATGCAAATTATGCTACAAAGCAGCTAAATTGGATGCTAAATCATGGCGTTTATTTTCAAACGTCCTTTCTGTATATTTCTGCTCTTCATAGAGTAGCGTTGCGTAACTTCGGGACCTCAGAGAAACAAAACTTTATGTGGTCGTTGAGATCAAAGTTTAGTCGAATTTCGGCCTCACTGATATGACTCCTTGTTTGAGAAGGTGCAGCCGCTCTCTCCATTGGAAATAATGGCCTTCCTCTGCACAGTTCCAGTATTTCCGTGGAAGCTAATGTGAGGCTTCAGCCGTCTGAGTTAGCCAAATCAAGCGATTAAGTCAGCTTGGCAGTCATGTAAAGGTTTACTGTTGCTAGGTTCTGTTGCTGTTGTATCCCAGCAACACACCTAAATGTGACTACCAGGATGAGTCCCTCCGCTGAAGCGCAGCAAGGAAACAATGTCCATGGAAATGCAGAACAGGCTCATTTAAAGAACTTGTGGTTTTGTTTAGAGGTTTTGAGCAGTGAATGTTGGACTTTAATCTCTTTATATTCCAATGGTGCTTTTACTATTTACTATTACTTAATCGCCAGAACATTTAATGTTGAACTAAATTGTTTGATCATTAAAGTTTAATAAAAATATTTGGTCCAAGCTTCTCATTTGTGAGTATGTGCTGTTTTCTGTTTCATAATAACTGGACATCTTTGTGTTTTGTTGGACTGTCTACAGTCTAATTAAAGAAATAATCAATTATTCAATTTCTTAACTGACAGAAAATGAATCTGCAACTATAGTTTGATAATTGATGAATTGTTTTAAGCTTCTAAAGTGTGACAATTTACAGTATTTTTTTTGCATTATGTGGCAGTACACTGATCAATTCAAGCTATTTAAAGGCTTTATATATGTCTTACAGGCATTTGTCTTTACCATTTTCTGACATTGTGTAGACCAAATGATTTATCAGTTAATCAAAATAATCATAAGATTATTAGATAATGAAAACATACGTTAGCGTTGTCACGTTGAGGTACTGTATGGGAACTAGTTATGGCCATTTTTTCCCCTTTGTTTATACACCAAATGAATAATCTATTGATTGAAAAAAAAAAGATTACCGGATAATGAAAATAATAGTTCAACCCTATTTCAGTTCTTTATGAAACCTTGAGGCGCATTCCCTCTCCTTGTCGTCCTTCTCAGTTTGTTGATATTTATTCTCTCATTCTGCCTCTTTTCTTTCTCGTCTCTGTCCTTGTCCGGGCCTTTGTTTGTTTCCTTTTCTCTCTCTAATAGATATTGTATCTGTGTGTGTTGCAGGATCACTCTGAATGGGATGAAGGTGTCCAGGCCAGACGTTCGCATTGGCCGCTACAGAATGATTAAACACGAGAGAGACAAACACAACGAGCCCAACCCACAGAGGTACTGCATCATTGTCCAAACTCGTTCTCCGGCTTCACATTCGGATCGATCGCGCTGCTTTTGTCTCATAGCTGCACTGTTCAGATGTTTCTTCCCAACTTTTTCATCTCCATTTGAGAGAATTATGATTATGTGGCGCTGCAAAGGGCACACTATCAATAAGATGTCCTTATAATTAGTGTTAGCTACGGAGCAATACACTGAAACATGAGCAACATAGGCAATATAAGGCCAGCCGTAGGAGGTAAAAGCAGTTTATCATGATTCCTCCGTCCCTTGTCGTCCACATTATCGGCTTTTATTCTGTCTAATTTAGCTGGAATTACATTTTAAAGATATTTTAACCTTAAACTGGTGATGGTTAAATGAGAAGCTTTGCTCCTTTTTTTTTTTTTTTTTTTTTTTTACTAATTTCGTGTTTCACACTGCATATTCACACCTGAGAGGTTCCTGCTGTTGGCTACCTCATAAGAAACTGCAGGCAAAAAGGAAAGTACTCCCTGTATAATACACTTAACCTGTGAATTATTGTATAAAGTGTTTAATGATAGATTTATTTTTCAAACTGATGAGGTTATATGCTCATGTACTCCACGTTTTGGTGAAAGAAACATGTGGACCGTCGGTGTCTTGGAGTTTGTGGGTAGATGTTACATACTGAGGGGAATTAGGGTAGACAAGAGATCATTTGTATGTGTTATTAAATAATAACTCCTATAATGTCACAAATCGTACTTTATTGCAGTCAGGCATAATGGTAAGGGATGAAATAACAGCATTCATTACTCTTTGCCTTCTTCTTTTCTTGCCATTTCACCTGTTAAAGTAACAGTCCAGTGGTTTCAATTCTCATCTTGCTTCAGTGATGTACAAGTGTACTCCAGGACCCCAAGGCATTATTGTTGGGTGTGGCCACATGTGCAACAAGCACAAACTCTACTCTATTATTGATAATGGACGTAGTCTCCATGATGTCACCCATAGAATTTCTGAAGAGCTGTTGTGAAGCTCAGTGTTGTCGGCTCTGGTCGTTGCTATCTTGGCAGTCCTGACTCTGCTGGCTCCCGGCTAATCCAACAATAGGTAATGACATGGAGCGTGGGTGGAGCTGAGGCTGGCCAAATAAAGCCTGGTTACTGAATTCAGCCGCCTGTGACAGCACCCACTTGTCACTCAAAGCAGCCACGCTCTTAATTCTAAATGTTTTTTAAGCCTTAATATAATTTAAATGGGTGGGACATTCACCACACGTACAGTATAACTATGTAACTATAGTATAGTTAATACCTTTAGAGAGCTAAACTGTTTTTGTACCAGGCTGTAAACATGTTTATTTCTGCTGTAAAGTTGGGCATTTTAATGTGGGGCACTATGGAGATTGACTCATTTCTTTATCCAGCCTCAAGTGGCCATCTGAAGAACTGCAGTTGTTGATGCTGGGTGTGGTCCGAGGTGAAACAGGCAAAAAACTGCTTTTCAGCGTAATGTTAATTTACTCTTTAAATACCTGAAAAATTATAACACTGAGTGTTGCTTAGGTCAGTAAAATTAGACAGTTACCATTTTAATTGACCAATAATAGCTTTAATCTTACACACTTTATTATGCACTTAATAATCAGGATGTATAAGAGATACACGCATGCCTCTGGGGAAGAAATCCTGAATCATTTTATATCACTTTTGGCGACTTGAGAGTGGTCAAATAAAAATATTGGGTCAAATATATTGGAATCTAGCCTATAAATACCCACTATGTGTAAGTTTTGAACTGTAGCTGTAAATGCCCCAGGTTTCCCCAAAATCACTGAGGGGCTCAGTGTACACAATGGCAGTTAAAGCCCTGGATGTATATCAGACTACAAAAAAATGGCATCTATCACTACTGCTGCTACTGCCATTTATACAACCAAGATGAAGAAAATGGGAACATAAAGCCATAAAAAAGCAATAAAACTGGTCTTGTGTTTGAGGAGAAAAACATGTTTTTTACAACTGATAAGACATTTCTCTCATCATAGGATATTAAAAGATTAATGTAAGAAGCTATTGAAATGTTAAAAGACATGAGGACATGTTCAATAAATAAAATACACGCATTTCAAAGATGCCATAGTCATTTCTTCTCTTCAAAGTATTTATTAAAATTCAGCTTCTGCTAATATGCAAGTCACATAAATACTTAAAGTAGTGAGCACATAGTCTTAGTTCACTGTAATGTCATTAGCTGTGAGCTTCAGATAAAAACGGGATTCATATGTAAAAGTGTCAGATGACTGAGCAACATATAACCACAGCTTTGGACTTCCTGGTCACTGAAAGAGTGGAATATTTTCAAATGCCAAGGAAAAACATTATCAATAAACCAAAAATTGTTTTTCAGAGATACGGCCCAGGGGCTTGAATGTTGCTCTTTTGGCTAAACTCATTTAAATTGCTTTTAAGACAAATGTGTAAAAATGCTTCCTCTATCAATGTGTATTTTTTATGGTTTGATGAATGCGACCAAATATGCAGAGATGAGCCCTTCTAGACACATTAATCACCAGGAGTATAGCACCTCATATTAAGCTGCTTAAACATGGATTATCACTGTTTATTCTCCTCTAAGAGCCCCCATTTTCACGCCTGGATGGGCCGGGCAACGATGCCTCTCAACACAAAAATCGATAGCTGCTGTAGCTCGGCCAGCATGAAGATATAGTGAACTCTGTTCCCTCTTCCAATATTGTTTTACTTTGATCTCATGTGACATTATTATATCACAGCATGTTGACAGGAGCTACGTCAAGGTTCACAGTTGAGGTCTACTTTAGTTGTGGCTCCTAAATTGGTTTATAAGAAGATTAAAAATGCAGGCAAGCGAGAGTCATATGTGAAAGAGAAGTGACAGCTAAACACTTTGTGACATGTTTGATTTGAATTTTGGCATATAGCCAGTAAACACATGTTGTTTGAGTCTCTATAATATAATAGTGTGATATTTAGTCTCACAATGTTCAATCTAGTGGCGCCCTGGTGGAGCTGGAGTCCTTGCTGCTGCAGTTGAAGGCAATAAAACCCCCCAAAATACTTAAAAAAGTTAAAAGTTCAGTATAAACTTAAAGGGAGTGTGGGAAAGAAGTTCTATTTTGAAAAACTGATTTTTCTTTTGTTGTTAAACTTTACACCTGTGAACGTTTGGTTTAAATTGTTGCTGAACCACCTCGTCAGCTCAGAGCATCATACCCTTTTTCTCTCTCCACTTTTCTTTAAGCTGCTCCGAAAAGAAAATCCTTAATTTCAAAAAGCAATCCCAGCAACTCCTTCAATACTTGTAGAATTCCTCATCTCGTTTTTTTAAAAAAAGCAACCAAATCATACTGAATGCCTTTACATGATTGTATTCATCTTACTCTCTTTCACCTGTGTGTGAACCCTTGTAGGCACATTCATTCAGTACTATACTTCTGACTGCTCATAAGTTCAGTTAGTGAAATGAACGGCTGCGCTCGCACTTAAAACAACGTTGTTCATCCGCACGTTTATGATTTAAAGAGTCTGATCTCAACATTTTTTACTACTGATATAGGACATTGAAGCTTTTTAACGGCCAGGATATGATGTAACACCTTCGCAGATTATTTTGCTTCACTGACAAGCGATTCGTTAGGCTTCTTTGGGGATGCTGGTGGATGGCGTATGAAGAAGCAAGTAACTTGTTTATCTGAAAAGAGAAGTGTTTAGTTTCTAAGAAGCTTGAACAGGGAAAATGATGTGCACATCCCGGCCTTACATTCATTCCTTTTAGCGACTGTATTTTTTGTGATCACATAATAGTGTGCTCCTCGTGCTTAGGTAAAATCCACCCACTTATACAGGTGTGGAAGGAAGGGAAATTAGCCAAAAAGTGGAGTTTATGACATCAACTGAAAAGAAATGTAAGATTTTCTTTTACCTGCATGAAGCTCCTGTTGAATGTCATACAGACTCTAAAACCTGTTTGTGGATAAAGGAAGATGAAAAATATGATTGGAACAAAATTTGAGCTGGAACAGAAAAAACCTTGCTCACATCCTGAGAGCAAGAAGTATAAGACAAGAGTCGAGCCTGTGACTGACTGAAACTGAAAATTCATAAAATATTTTATTTTACCTGCAACAAACTCAGTCACTAGTGAAATGACAAACATCCACCTTAAGTGTTTTAACTTTGAACTTTACTCTGTTCTATAAAATGGCAGCAATAACTTAAATGTGAAGATGTTTAAAATAACCAGGCCTACGTAATATGCCATCCATCATTGTTTGTGTGTGTGTGTCTGTGTGTGTGTGTGTCAGAGAGATTCAACAATCCCTCAGTAATTGCCTGCTGAAATGACACCAATAGAGATGGGAGCCGGCTAGGTCAGACTAGTCTAGTTGCCTTCATCAAAATCAATAAATCAGCCACTAGACTGAAAGAAAGAGTGTGTGTGTGTGTGTGTGTGTGTGTGTGTGTGTGTGTGTGTGTGTGTGTGTGTGTGTGTGTGTGTGTGTGCGTGCGTGCGTGCGTGCGTGTGTGTGCATGCGTGCATGCGTGTGTGTGTGTGTGTGTGTCTGCTTGATACTCAATTCCCATTTTCCTCCTCCTCTCACTCTGTTCTCTCTTTCTCTCTCTCTCTCTCTCTCTCTCTCTCTCTCTCTCTCTCTCTCTCTCTTTGATCCGTGGACCAGACTTCCTCAATAAGAGGTGACACCAACAGGGACGCTATTTATTTGGGGCCGATACATTATTCATAACTGCAGCGAGGGGCAGAAAATAGCAGCCCTATTAGTCGGCGCAAACTTCATTTTTTTACGGCCCTTCTGGACGCTCGTTATAATGTCTCGGAAATTTCGGCTTAAAGGGTCTTTTGAAAAGAAGTGGCATTTTGGACTTAACTCAAGCACGGCGGCTCAGAATAATCAGGTTGTGAAAGCAGGAATGGCCACCTCATGGCAGTATTCAGGCAGTGTGGGTGGAGTGGGAGAGGGCGTTTTTGTTTTTCTCTTATTCTCTCTGTATCTCTCTTGGTACAGAATATTTTAATTAATCACTTTTCATCTGGTGAAGGAAGTTTGAAACTTCTTTCAGTGCAGTTTTTGAGGGATTTCTCTGGGAGAGAGTGTTAAAAGCTTAAGTCTATCAACTCATCTGATGTTTTGCATGATTGAAAAAGTTAAAATGAGGTAACAGAAGAAGAGCTGAAGAAGAGAGTGAGTTATCTCACTTTAGAAAGCAGTGCTTTGAGCTACATGCTAATATCTGCACGCTAACATGCTCAAAATGACGTGATGATGGCGCAAGAAAAAGGATTACAATTCAAATTTCATGACAGTCCATCCAATAGTTAGTAATAGTAATGGTCAGATGAACAAAAGTCAGAGGGATTCATCATCTGGGGACCAAGAATGTATGTAAAAAATCGTATGGCAATCCGTCCAATAGGTAAAAATAGTTTTAAAATAAAAAGTATGAAAATAAAGAAGATATTTGAAAGTTGGCTACTATAATCTGAGGAGTATGAGAGAGGAAAGGTGTTTAGATCTCTTCCAGGACGTTTCACCGATTTTTAACAAGTTGGACTTCCCGTAAGAAAAATGCCACTTTCTGTTCCCTGAGGAACTTTAGATACAGGTTTGTGTTTTTCTGAGATGTTACCATACACTATTGTTGTCTTTTGAGTTGATCACTGTGTCAGATTAGGCACAGACACATTGGACACATTTCAGACTTGCATAACACTTCAAATGGCTACAACAACATTGTCAGCACTGTATGGTGGAACAGTGAAGTTATGTAATCACAGTTTTATAGATAAATGAGCCTGAAACACTACAACAAACAACATCAATTTGTCTTTTAGAAATTCCTTTAAAAAAAAAACGTTTTACTTCTCAGGCTGTACACACAAAGGTCTGTCACTCAATTACGCAGATAAAGTGAGCTTTTGTTTCCACTCTTTGTCTTCAGGTACAGGGTTGCCTTTCTGTTTAGATTCAGATTAATGATTGAGCCTTTTAGGAGAGTTTATCTGGAGTACCTGCGTAATGTCCAGCGTTTACCAAGGGAAGCGTTGTCCCGACTGTTTGATGAATGTTTACTATCTCCTCTGCATTCACGCACACACACACACACACACACATATACATACACATTCACTCAAACATGCACACACCCTCACACAGGAGTCCATTCCGTTCTTCTCGGAGATGCTGGTTAGGCATAGCAATGAGATATTGGGCCAGCGGAAGTAAGAAAGAGGCACATTCATCACCAGCCGCGAGGCTTGCGCACACACACACTCACACACACACACACACACACACACACACACAAACACGCATGGACGCACACATTTTTTCTAGCAATCTGCGCTTCATGCATTGCAAATGAATTAGTCTCTCAGTGACGTTGTTCAATATTCCATTCATATGTTATCATCCTGGGACTGTGCAGATATAGGGTGTGTGGGGTGTGTTTTGGTTTGTGTGTGTGTTTGTGTGTGTGTTTTTGTGTGTGTGTGTGTGTGTGTGTGTGTGTGTGTGTGTGACTGGCATCAATAAAACTGTATTTACTGTGAACATGACTTTACCATCTTATTTAGAGTCCATTAGAGGAGAATTTGGGAAATATTGGCTTTCATACTTAGTATAGATCAGAAGTTAGATAAGAAGACTGATACCATTCTCATATCTGCACAGTAAATGTGAAAAAAAAGCTTAGCTTAGCTTAGCTTAGCATAAAGAATGGAAACCGGTAACAAAATCCTTCCACCAGCACCTCTAACGGCCTGGACACACTGCCCAACAGTATGTCTCATGCGCGACTGCTGCGACGTTTCACTCAAGAGTAAAGGTCTATTTTTTTCTGCAAGCGGTTCTCCTCAAAAATATTTGTTATAATATAGTAAATAGCAAAAATGATCTGTTCATATGTCCTATTGACATCGCAGCAGCAGAAACGCTCGCTATGTGGACACAGCAGTAAAGAAAGGTTGCCATCATTCTCACTAATGAACACATTATGTCTCATTTGTTTAATCCGTGTTAAAACAACAATCCGCCATTCAAGCAAAACTCTATTAACTAGATATGATGTGTGCATGATTATTTATTTTGGATATAATTTAATATTTTGGAGGGAGGTTAGCTTGCTACAGGAATGTTTCTCTCATCATATTTTTTTTAGATATAGCGGATATGACAGAGCCAGGCTAGCTGGTTTTGCCTGTTTCCAGTCTTTTGCAAAGCCTAAGCTTACCAGCTGCTCATGGTATCATCCTAGTTGGCATTCAGATTTGAGAGTAGTATCAATCTTCTTAAGGTAAGAAAGCGAATAAGCGCGTTTCCCAAAATACTATGTTGAACTATTCCTTTGAGACATTTCCAGTGGGCCAGCTCAAAATACATGACACAAGAACAAAATAACCCTCAGTAACTGGCATGACGAGCTATTGTTGAGATCCTAAACCAGAAATGTTTTCCTGTGAGACCCTCAGTGGAATTAAATTAGCGTTTTATTTAGCCCAGTTAGGACTCAGCCTGGAAACCAGGCTAATGAATATGTAAGGAGGACTGTCTTTGTCTCGCCCTCTAACTCTCTATAGTAAAAGTAAGACCAATAGGTTTGAAATGACGCATGCGGTAGCCTACAGATTGACTGTACGTGCATCTGATATTCTCTGTATGTATGTAGGGATTAGTTTATTGGGTTTAATCTCTGCTAGATTCATCGAAAGATTCCCTCCCCCCATTCACTTATTTTTTAATATCAGTATATCTTGCCCCCTCCATCTGTCACTCTTTCTCAGAGATATATATATATTTATCTTTCAGCCTATCTATCCTCCATGTTTCTCTCCTCTCATCCAGCCCTCATTTCAGTTTAAACTGCTTTTTCTCCTACCCTATCCTCTCCTTCTCTTCCTTGCACTCTTTCTCTTAATCTAATTTCCCTCCCTTTTAGATAGAGGTGCCGATCCTTGGTAGAAGTCAGATAACAAGTAATTCTATTTATATCTTATTGTATTATATTGTTCCAGGGAAAGATGCTTGACAACATTTTTCCTGCTTCCATTCATGCCAATAAAGCTGTTTTTGATTTGATTTGAGAGAGACAGAAGGAGAAAGCGATGCAGAGAGAGAAGAGAGATCCTCACTAGTCAGTTCTGACAAGACGCTGTGGACTCAGTGGTCCATGTCGGACTGAAGTGTCAACTCCAGTTGTACGTCCAAGCATATCATTAAGAAAACGTCTTTTGTTGCAGTCAGTCACTGCTATCTTTTGAAAGGGCTGTGTGTTTTTGCACACATCAGCTCTTTCTCTGTTCACAGACAAAAAAAAGAAGGCATTTTTAAGACAAGAGTGTTGTAAACATGTTGTTAGACACTCACACACCGTGGCCTCGTTTCCATCCTGACTGACTGCAAAAACTGATACTACAACAAGGGTGACAGGAGAGCTTGTGTTACGAATCCGTTGTAATGCCAGAGGTTGCATCACAAACTGAAGCGCAGCAGCCGCACCGTGTAACTGTCTGACACACTGTGTGAATTATTTTCCCATCTTAATACTAAAATCACAGCAGATTCTAACGTAAGAGCCGATTCTGATGTAACCGTTGAATAACAGCCAATAGGGGAAGGGAGATTCCAGCATAATTCAAACAAACCGAGGTGGATGTGATATATACTGTACTACAATTCACTGAGTCACAGTGCGATGCAATAGCACCACCTGTTGGTCGAGATCTACACAGTAAAGGAAACTGGATGTGTACTTCAATTTACACAATCCAACACAACAGTTTCTTCTCTCTGATTTCAGGTTATTGAACATGTAAAGTTACCAAGAGGGGGAGAGAAAAAAAAGAGAACTTATAGACATCAGGCTCTTAACATCCTGTGGATTTTAATGTGGATGTTGATATTAGCAGTCACTCATTATATAGCACCTTATAATCGCTTTCCCCATGTGTGAGCACTATTTCTTCTCTCTCGTATTACTTCCAATATGTATTTACATTATTTTGATTTCCTGATTGCTCTCTGCATTGATTTATTCTCATGTTTTGTGATGTGTTTATTTCCTTTCTCTTATTCATTTGGACCTCGGGATCCATGATTGTGAATTCCAGTTCCCATGTGTAACTGCGTTTCAGTGGTTCGGGACTCCAGCAGGGGGTCGCTAATAGATTTGAGGGATCACTAGATGATTAACAAAAGAGGAAAACCTGTTAATGCAACACAAAGTCATGTTGTTGTTTTTTAAGTTGTTCTTTGATTTGTAGACTTGTAAATTAGTAAAATAATTGTAATCAAACACACTGACATACCCATTTAGACCCACACAAACAGCAAAGAAGATTTTACTTTGAAGTTTTCCCAATTTTGTTTTTAATGAAATTGTCCCCCACCTCCCCCATTTCCCTTTACCTCTCTCTTCCATCTTCCCCAACCCTCCCACCTCTCTGTTTTTGTTTCACCCTCCAGATTTAATAAAATACAGAACACGAAGAACACGATGAAGAAGGACGGCATCAGCTCTCTGACCTACAGAGTGATTCAGGTCAAGAGGTACCCTCTGTACACAAATATCTCTGTGGAGATCGGCAAACCACCACCCCGGCCTTTTAAGGGCTAGACAGAGAGAGAGAGAGAGAGAGGGAGAGGGAGAGAGAGGAAGATGAGGGGGTCAACTCACCTTGACTGGAAGAAAAAAATAAGAAGACGAAGAAGAAGAGAGCTTATAAGAATGAAACAAAGAGGGAACACATATCCCGGAAAGATACGGGAGTGTAAGAGAGAGGAAAAAGTCAAAAGCACACACTGGTCTCTTTCTCCCTCTTTACCCCTCTCTTTGTTTTTGTTTTTAGATTTCAGCCATTTCTTTAACCAGGACTCAGGCTCTTTCCTCCTACAACTTTTTCAAGCAGCCAATTGCTTCACACCTCCTACCTTTACCAGTCAGTGACTTCAGAATTAAAGAGTGTGGACCAAAAGCTCAAATATCAGTGGCTGACCAAAAGGGTGCCATCAAACTTGCTGAAAGCTGAAACTTTGTTTTGTGTGTTTTTTGTGTTTCCATTAACAATCATTTGTAGACTGGAGGTGATTCAATGGCATATCGACGGAGGATATTGACGGGAGCTATTGTTGGATGATTTCATTTGAAACTTTGGAACGTTTTCATGGCCTGTTCTGAAATACTGGACAGCATCGAGTTGGATTTCTTGGAATATTTGACCAAGGTCATATAGAGAGAAAGAAAAAAATGGGCTTTATACGTGGATGCACAGACAGAAACACCTGCTGGTTTCCACTTGATGGACAACAACCTTACAAATGCCATCAAAAATGTTACTTTCCAAGCATTCACAGTGATGGTCAAGGTAATGGAGATTTCCATTAGTTGTAACATTAACTAAATATGGTGACATGCAGTGATGGTCGATGGTATTTCATATGATGGATTACATTTCAAAGAAATCAGCTGACTCACAGACGATTGAACATTTACTTTTTTGTCAGGGAGTCACCTGTTTGGATCTACTTACTCAATCAAATCCTCCGGTATCAATTAATGAATGTGTATTGTGCCTGCATCTACCGCAGGAGACTCAAAAACAGTGCTGGGACACGCTGATAAAACATGTTCGTCAGCAGCAACAAACTCCTGAGAACTCTCTTTTCGTTCTCTTTTTTATATATATAAACTAAAACTTTGGAAATGTACTTAGTGGAGTGACGGAAAGGTTTCACAAACAAAAGTAAACATATTGAAGAGATGAAAAGTTTTCTCCTGTGCTGAATGCGGCGTGGTGGAACATTTGAAATCAAATCGAGGAACTGAAGACAACAAGGCAAATATATACTGAGTCAGTCATGATTGTAACCCCATGTGACACATATTGGAGATTAGGTTCCTGGAAACTTGTGTTTTTCCACCCCACTTGAAGAAGGTTTTATTTTGGTAATCCGTGCTTTAAAGGTACATTTGTGTCTGGACAAGATGTAAATGGCCTTGAGGTACAATAATATTCCTTAAGGTACAGATTTGATTAAGTAGAAATATGTATTTCTAATTAGAAAATTGGAAGTTTACCATATTATAACATATATGGGACACCACTGGGGTTTAACATCAGAAATGAGCTGTCAAGATAAAGTCATGACTCATGTTTTACAGGGGGAAAGCGTGGATACAAAAGCTCTTGTAACTTTTACACTGGCTCTACAGACAGCACTAGGAGAAAAGTAATGAATTTTGGAGGTCACTTTTATTCTACAATGTAACCTGGGAGTCAGATTCTTTTTTTTTTTTTTTAAGTATCACAATTCATTAAAACTCAATTGAAACTGTTACTATGCCATTTTCTCTCTCTCTCCCTCCGTGCTATCTTTTTCTTTCAATCTTAGGCCATCATATCCGGAAAGAGGAAATTATGAGGCGATCTTCTCTTGGTGGAAATTGTGAATTTTAAGGCAGTAATGAGAAGTTATCGTTTGAGTGGTTTGATTGACATCTCTATTGCAGCTTCAGATTTTTTTCATCATCTGCTGTCAGTTCTGTTGTGAAATTTTCATTTTAAAACTTTTTTTTTGCCTCATATGAGTTTCATAACTTTCCCCGTGTGAATAAGGAACAAACACAATATTTTATCATGATTTCCTTTATCAGAATATTGAAGCCTTTGACTGTTGTATGCTTTGATACATCACTCTTCTTCCTCTGTTTTCTTTTTCCTACTGTTGATGCTGTTACTTTTGACGCCTAAACACCAAACTGATGCCTTCAGAAGTTATCTATACTAAGGGGCAGAAAATGTTATTTTTCATTTAAAGGTCATTTTTGTGTGTAAAATCAATCGATGAAGATGTGTGTTTTAAGATGGGTAATATAGAAGTCGAGATCATGAAAAAACCTATACAGAATATTTCCAGACAGACGATTTGTGTGCAGTGCTGTAACTGTTTGAGTTTTGTATCATTCTGAACAATACAGGGCTTTTATTTTGGTGAAAATTGTGTATCTCCTCTTTGGTCAGCCTTGAGGCAAAAATGCTCCCATCTGTTTGGCTCTCCATTATCTTCGCCTCAAGCCTGTTGGGAGGTATGATTGCTCCACACACACACATGCATTCACGCTGTCTTCCCTTTTTTCTTTGCATTATCTCCTCTTTCGTTGCCTTTTCTTTTTTACTCTGCCAGTCCAGGCTGTGTGTGTCAATGGCACTCTGTTGTGCTTTGTGGTGGGCCCACTTCAGGCACAGCTGTGTCTCACAAGAGTGCTTCTTCTTTCAATAGGTATCGACAAGGCCTCTCTTTGTGTCTCTGAATCTGTGCCACTCACTGTATCTTTATTTTTCTATTTATTCTCTCCCTCTCAGCACACATCCCCATCTGTGACTCTCTCTGTCTCTCGCCTTTTATCATTCTCTCCTCCACTTTATCTGACTTTCTTTTCCTTTCTACCCTTCTTCTTTTTCCTTATTTTGATGCTTCAGAGTGCAGAGCTCTCCTGGTGAGTTTCAGTCTCCTCGGTGGGCAGACTACATGTGGAGAGGTCAATATAATCTCTTCTCTATACTGTTTACAGTTTATCCTGTGCAATAGCAGAGATATGTTCACATATTCCCCATATCCTGCTTTAAAGTCATTGTTTTAAAGTGGGACGAACTGTTGTTTCAGTTCAGTTTGTAATGCAGTCATGCTTATCTTTCATCTGTTACCTCTAATTCATCAGTTTTCCCCATTCTTACAGTGTTAAAGGGGAACTTCAGCAATTTAATGTTTTACTTTAATAAAGTTGGGTGTCTTTTGAGGGATAGATTAAACCAAGAATGGTCAAAATTGAAGCAGCAGAGGCAAATATATCCTGACTTTAGTTTCTAGTATGGGTCAAGATAAAAAAAAAACAGAATCCTACATTTCCCACAATGCACCTTGATAGTGTCTTTCACAACATTGCGAAGTTGGAGGAACCACCCTTGGGCGCAGAAGTAAAAGTCACATACATTTTTCCCATAGACAATATTACATGACTCACAGATATTTTTGATGATTCAGATGATTTTACAGTTTTGATTGGCATTTAACTCTCATAGTCAAATCATCAGTACAGAAGATTAACAACTACAACTCCCAAGGTGCATTTAGGCAAAAAACATTTGATGACATATCTTAAAAATCTACACAATCTGCAGGCTAGGTAACTTTGATTTTGATTTGAAATTTGCCAACTAAGGCACCATGTCTTGACAGCAAGAGCAGCTGAGGCTCATGAGTACTGTAGTTTTTTTCAGAGCCGTCCTCCAGACTGCAAACAAACATGATTTTGTTGAAATAATTAAAACTTGTGGTTATAACATAAACCTGCAGTATCATTACATTATCCAGGAGAGTCCCTGTGTTTCTAAGTTAGCTAGCATACTTCTAAAAGCTCCCTCCAGAGCCACAGAAGACATTATACAGCTATTCTTAAAGGTTGAGTCACTCCTCATGACCAATAAACTAAACATCATGCATAAAATCTGTAGAGTTGACCCTTTATAACTGTAGCTTTATCAAGGGTACTCTGACTAATTACAGGCAACTCTTTATGAGGTCAGTTAGATAAAGAAAGTACAAGCTGAGGAGTGACTGGACAAAATGGAGGATATAGCAAGAGAGGCATGACCCCAGTGTGTATAAACAGTAACTTGGGATATAGATGTAAAGATCAGCAGCAGAAACTTCAGCAAAAATAGTATTTGAAACGTTTCCTTTACTTGAGAGAACAACCGTGAGGAGTGCTTGATGTTTCTTATTGGGCTTTTGAAGCTGTTCCAGTTGTCAAGCAAACCTCATGTGGTTAAGTATTTGAAACGTTTTCTTTTAAATACATTTTTTGCTCGTCTGCTGCAGAGAGCTGACAGGACTTTCAGGCCTGTTGGGCATTTTTAAACATTTACTGTATCTCTAGCTATGTTTTTTTTTTGTACATTGAATGTTGAAAATGTTATATCTTATATAGAATGCATTATGTCATATCAAACCTACTTTTTCTATACAATCAATAAATCTGATGGTTAAAGATTATATGTTGTTGTCAGTTGTTTTGTATGTGTCGCTGTGATTGTTTTTTCTCTTTCGGGTTCCTGAAGAAGTCAGTCAAACTCTGGTGGCTGAATAGAAACTTCATGATTATTTTATTTTACGTGCAGACTGAGATAATCCTGGAGATATTTAATGTAATATCGGCGGGTTTTGGCAACCCTGTGTCCTGTTGCCGTGACAACCCACATAAACCTGTTACTGTTGTTTCTGTGCGGTCCCAGTGAGTTGGTGGACTAAAATGCTGTACCGCCTCGTGGATTACATTTGGCTTGTCTTCTGCAGTCCTTCATTTTATCTTTTCTGTCCTTCCTGCCACCCTCCCAAACGTATAAACATATCTTTAATGCTACAAAGTATAGGTGTCGCTTTGTCTCTATTCTACTTTCTGCTTCTTTTATTGTTTTGCAGGGAGCACTAGTCCCAAACTGTCTGCAGAAAAGCTCTGCAGGGAAATCAGGATGGCATCCAAGAGCCAAACTGTTCACAGACTTGTTGAAATGAAGTAAAAAGACACAGAAACAGAAAGTGAGAGATTTTGAACAGAAATATGGTTTAATTTGGAATCTTTTACAAGAAGTTTCGTAGAGCTTGTCTATATTACCAGCATGACACGTGATTTGTGGGAGCAATTCATATAATTTCCCTTTTATTTTAGGCAATAAATTGAAACTCCACTTAAAGGAATAGTTTTTAGCTTTTTTGCCGAGAGTAAGATGATAAGATTGACACAGCCCTCTACTATGTCTGTACAGTAAATATAAGGCTACAGCCAGCAGCTGGCTAACTTAGCTTAGCATAAAGGTTGTAAATGTGGAAAAAGCTAGATGACTCTGTCCAAAGTCAACAAACTCTGCCCATCGATACCTCTGAAGTTCACTTTATGATTATGTTGTATCCTGTTTGTTTAAGCCATATTTAAACCAAAGTGTAAAAAGCCATTTGGGGTTTTTTGTACAGATGAAATAAACAAGATATAAAGTGTTTATAAGTGAGCTTTACAGGGGGCTTGTTGGTGGGTTTTGCTACCTTTGAACAGGGTCAGGCTAGCTGTTTAAAGTCTTTATGCTAAGCTAAGCTAACCAGCTGCTAGCTATAGATTCATATTTACCAAACAGGCATGACATTGGTATCAATCTTCTCAGCTAACTCTCGGCAATAAAATGTCAAAGAATTCCTTTAACCCTGTTTCTTTCTGCTCATTCAGGAGTTAAGATGATAGCTATGTAAGAGCAGCGTTGAGATCTTATTTAGTCTCATTCTTAGACAATGTTGTAAATACAGTAAAAGTGTATTCATTCATAAAGATGAAATAAGATTTAAAACGTGATCATAACCCTAAAAGTTAAAATGCAATCCCAAACCTTGCATAAAGAAGCTTTTCAGGGAGAATTAAAGCTGTCAGTTGTAATGATACACATCATGTAACTAGCAGCTTGGGCGTCTTAAATACGCAGTAAATGAAATGCCATTATAGGGTTCAACACCGCACATAAGCAACAAGATTATTTTTGGTTTCCATTCAAAGGTCCCTCATTAAAGTGGTAGATAATGACACATAAAGGTAGGAAGATGTGCTGCATGTAAAATGACACTTCATGCTGCTTTTCATCACACACTGAAGATCACTCTGTAGGAGGTAAATAACAACAGCGCGCTTTGATAATAGTGGAAATTACAATGAAGGCTGTTTCTATGAAAGGATACACATTCTTTCTCGTGGAAAATGAATAAGGCAGTAAATTACAGATTGTTTTTCCTGCTCTACAGTGTACATGAAGAAATAGCTTTCCATTAAATGAAACCGACTTCACAAATCGCTACATCATCTACAACTACTGTACAGTCATATGTTTGACCATAGTCTCACACATTGTATTTCAATTAGCGTGGAAGTTGAACTGCAGAATTTATAGAACGGTTACAAATTGTTAATTGCTTTGCTCAGCCATTTCCTTGTCTAAATAGCATCACAGCTGTGCATAAATATGGGTGCTGCATCAAACTGTGACAGGTCAAATACAATTTCTCAACATCCAATAATCTTATTGGCTTTGTTATTGTTGTTTACTGTGGGCAGGCAGATAAAATCAAATTAAAAAGGTTAAATATCTGGAGTGAGTGAGCAACCTTTCAAGGGTCGAGTTTGTTTTTTTCTAGTTCTTGTCAGATTTGTTTAATTATGGATTTTTACATAGACGTTCTGCCCCAAGGCTGTTTAAGGATCTCTAAATCAAACATCACTGCAGTCCATATTACTAAATAGAAATAGTTTTAACCCTATTTTCACTGTTTTCATTGGTTTTCAAGGACTGCAATTCATCTTCTTAGCTGGCAGGATACAAGTCGTATCTGTTCTTTACATATAGCCAAATTAACCTAGTAGGGGACACAGAGTAAAAATTGGGGCCAGTACTGATCTTCCACTAACCAGTCCACATGTACTCTATGCTGGAGGGTAACACTACCTGGCCACTAGGTTTCTGTATCTCAGTTAGTTTGTGGTAATCTGAATAAACACAACTTTATTTGGGAATATGCACCATGGAAGCACAAACAACTAAAAATAATAAAGTTCTCCTAGATATTGCTCAGAGCTCATCTGCACAACAGGACCACATTTTATCTAACATAGATAATAATGCAAGGCCTGTCTTTGTCGATATTTTACTTCAGAAAATGTCTTCATAAATTTGCAGTTAATCAAATTGCCAAACCCCCTGCCATGCAGTGAACCCGGAGCTCTGTGAATCCACCTTGTATTTCGGATTTAATATGCAGCTAAGGCCTGATAATGGGGCAGCTGTGTCCACCAAAGTGAAAGACTCACTTGGTCTCATCAGAATTGCAGAATTCTTGAATAAAAACAGTCCTTGTGTTGCAGCTGATCTGCTCTGATGGATTTTAGTGTTTTTATAATTATTTCTTTGGTTCTCGTTCAGCTCTGTTCCAAAAAAATGTTTGAGGTTGCAGATGATCCTTTACGTCTGGCTATACCACTGACATGTTCAGTTGCACAGTAGGGTTCAGCCTGTTCTTAGAGATAGGATGTGTATTGATTGATTCAGCTGGTTTTGTGCTGAAGGTAAATCAGTTTTTCTGGGTGGATGGTTGTTCGGGCGTGCAGTTTTTGAGACGGGAACAGGTGGCGAGACGGTTCCCCTCCCAGTATCCAGCATCTTGGCCATCGTGACAGCGACACTTGGTGCAGGAGTCGACCCAGATGGGCTCTCCTGAGGGAATCACCTGACTGCGTGACGCATTAACGTAGCAGTTAGGACCTGGAGGGAGGTGAGCAAGAGAGGTAAGTGTAACTGCAGCTGTCAAGTGGACAGTGTTGTGTGTACACACTAATCCCTGCATGCAAATTACAACTACATTTAACAGTGGTGCATAAATCTCCTGCTGCATCTCTGAGAGGAGTTTTACTTTTTTTAAACTTCCCTTTTTTTTGCTACTATCGACTTACCCTCCTTGCATTCAGGGCAGCATTTCCCGGGCTGGTAGACGGGGTTGACACATGGTGGAGGGGCACAATCTGCAACTAGACAGCGGGCGATGCCATCATTGTCACAAGTGCACTGCTCACATTCTGACGGCTGGAAAACACACACACATACATATATAAACAAATAGCATGAGACTCAATATGGATCACAATTTCACCAGCACCTCTCACCAATCCCTCCTTCTGCCAACTCAAAAGGGGGCGCCATTTACCTCCAATTCCCTGATGCACACTCAAGTTACATACCAACATTTTTGGAAGGAAATACAGTGAAGAAGATGTAAATAGGCTTATCCTTACAGATTATAATACAAATTTAGGCAAACTGTGTCATGGGTTTATGTTTCATTTTAAAAATATGCTTGTGCATAGCCACATATTTGAATGATAAGGAACAGTAATTGAAGAACAGGGTCAAACCTGCATGAAACAGACCAAGAAACCTGAGGTTTACACATAAACAGTGTCGAGCTGCTGCTCACCTTTCTTTTTATGATACCTGTGTGATAAACACTTTACAATCTGGCTTCACTGCACATTATATAAAGACATTAAATACCTTTCTGAAAACAAAAAAAAATAATTTTGTCCTATGTGTTTGGGCTATTAATAGTGTATATGTCTTTCTTTGATATAATTTATGGTATTATCTTTAACAAAACTTAGAGAAAAGTCAGAAAAGAACAGGGTTTTGAATCTTTGGTGGATATTATGTCTATATTCTGACTGCATATGAGAAAGGACAAAGTAATCTTAAAACATTTAAGGCCATATAATAACAATAATATCTGTAGGGTCATTCACACATGCTGGAAGCCATCACTGACCACCCCCATCTTTGCAAGTCTCCAGGAAGCTTACCTGGAAGTTCTGCCCCAGTTCGTACACCACTCCTCGGTACTCACACCCAATCTTCTCGCACCTGGGGCAGCAGTCGGTGGGATAGTGGCTGACATGGATGCACGCAGCCGGGAGAGCGGTGCAGTCGGTGCGGGAACAGGCGGAGCCCTCGGTGGTGCATTCACACTGGGTGCAGTGATCAGACTCTAAAAAATACCATTCCCCAACGAAGTATATGCTGCCGTTGGCCTCGCAGGTGCTTTCATGCTGTCCGGCGACTGAGAAGCCAAACCCGGCCTGTGCGCAAAGCAGTAGTGCCAAAACGGCTGTGCGTATTCTGCGCACCACGGTACGGCGCTCACTGCAAACCATGATTGATTCACCTTGTCCAAAAACAAAAAGCTTAACAAGTAAGTTAAGTGGACTGGAAGCATCCACTGTAGTTTTTGGTAGACAGGTTATCCAAGTTTACGCAAATGTGAAGGTTGTTACATTGTTACTGAGCGCAAACAATCCCTGGCATTACTTTGTTCCACAGCGGTCTGCTGGGGCTGCGCACTCTTCTGCACAGAGCCCGGAAGGAGGTGGAGGTTGGGGGGGCATAAAGAGGGAAAGTTATACCACACACACACACACACACACACACACGCCAGTCTGAAGTTTGTCCCTGCCCCCAATTTAACATTTTATTAGTCCAGACTTTTACAAGAACACAGGTGGTCTCGTGTGTAATTACTCCAACGCATAGAATAAGTATTTAGCCAAATTTGTTACATTGAGTCATTTTGCATTACATGCTTTTTTAAGGTTCATTTTAATAAAATAAAAATGTGACGCTTGTATCAGATGAGATAAACGGCCTATCTCTGGAGAAACCTACCGGTGACAGTTCTCGCGAGATCTCCTCTTAGCAACTGGAACGTTTGCCCTGGATACCACAGGCTCGCAAGATACAAGGAACCCATTAAGGTGAGCGTTTGTTTCTCTGCAACAACACAATTTTATAAACGTCTGTAGTGTTTACACAAGCATAACTGGACCGGTCAGTGTTTGAAATATGCTCTGTTTTTTTTTTTTCTTTTGTGTTAATGTTTGATTTACGTTATATTCCACACCTGCTCATGTATTAGTTAGCTAAGGTTAGCCGTGCGACATTCTGTCATTCTCAGTATTGTAGATAAAGTTGATTAAGGAGCAACCCACTAATGTTAGTAATTTAGGTTTTGGTCAGTGGTGGATGAACAACAACTAGTCAGGTCCTTTACCTAACAATAAAAGTAGTTGTAGAACAGTGTGAACATACTTTTTAAGTATCAAAAGTACTCATATTGCAGGAAAATGCACCGTAACATACAGTATATTTATTATTATTAATTATTAATGATGCAAATAAATGTGAAATCTGTACAGGGTAGATATGTTTTGAATAGAGCTGCAATAATTAGTTGATTATTTGTCATCAGTTAAACATTTTAGTTATTTTTCAAGCATAAATGTCCAAAATTTGGTGGATCCAGATTCAAATGTGGGGATATAACATGAAAATACTCAAAAGAACACCCTAAGTTTCTACAAAAAAAAGTACTACAGTATGAGCTAAATTGTGTTATTCAACCTCTCTCAGTTATGGTGTATATTGTTTTGTTTCTGCACTTTCTTTCCATTCCCTTTCCCCCCAGATTGCCATTTCTATGCAGTCTCCAGATGGAAACCACCTCTGGTTCCCCAGCCAGTCTCTGTGGACCCTGATCGCTGAACATGTTACTGGGTCAGAGCTGCATAAGATCCGTACAGCACTGGGCAACTCCCTGGTTGACATGTACACAGATATCCACTCTGAGGTGAGAAGGTTGTTATGATTGCAAAACGTCTTATTCTTTCTGTCAAAATATTGCTGCATACTTGGCTTTTTAGTTTCTCTTCAGATTCAGTCGGTACAACTTGTTTCATCATTCATGTTTTTTCACACTTGCTATTTTATTCGTTGAAAGAATTGAGAGACTGGGTCTGTGTCTGGTAGGATCCCTCAAGAATACCATCACACCATCTACAAGAATTTCCTTTTCAGCTTGGTTTCAGGGTGAATCAAAAATATGCACAGCTAAGCATTCCTGCCCGAACAATTTATGAACTGTGGTGTTGGGTTGTGTTCGTAGGTTATTATGGCTGCAAACACTCATTATTACAATTCCCGGGCTCCCTAATAAAAGTGAAATGTGGGTTAACTGGCACTGTGCTGCAGTGAAGTCCAAATGTGAGCCAGACAGACATCAATATTTACTCAAGGCCAGCTAAACTCTCGGCCCCAAAGCCCTTCGCATAGAAAACACTCACCTCTGGCAAAAAAGACATCATCCAAGAAAGACTTGCTGAGTCGATGATAAACATCTACAACTAAGGTTACGTTTAATTTGAAATGAGTCATTTGTGTAGCTTGCATAGCTTGATATGATACTGACATGCAGCATATATTTTACTGTGTTAAAAACAAATCTAGGGCTTCAACTCTCAATTAAAATGACAAAAAAAATAAGAAAGCTCATCTTGAGCTCCAAGAGCCCAAAGTCTCATCATCAAATGTCTTATTTTGTCCAACCAACAATCCAAACTTTAAATGTTTTGTTGATTGACAGATTTATTAATCAACTAATAATTGCTGCTTTAAATTAAACCCACAGAACATTACCGTGCATTGACAACAGCTCAGTGGTTGTCCTTAAAAGCTAAATGGGAAGAAGTGCCGCCTCGTCTACTGAGAAAACATTCCTTTCAAGCTGAATTACATAAGAGAGGTCATGCCATGTGCACTTAAGACCAAGTCTGTCGCTGTAGATTTCACACAGACTCAAAGAATCTCTCTCATCAGCACTTTCTGTAGGGCATAAAAATCTCCGTATTGCTGTTTGCTGTCTCGAATAGTATCATATTATTTGCTTTTCTACTCTTGTACCTTCTGCCATCTTCTTTTGTTTGTTCAGTATTGAAATCTCTCCATCTGTAGATGTTATCAGCCTGCATTGAGCCAAATGCTAGTTGCTGTTTGCAGAAAAACACACGGGCAGAGTTGGTCTCAGCTCTGCAGTCAGAAAACCGTGTAAAAACGCTTATACATTCACAATTAAATTATCAAATTGAATGTCTTTTTACATCACAAAACCTGCATTTAAAGCACTTTTCAAAGAAGCATTAAACCTAAAACCAAACCAGAATGATGCAGAGTAATTCACCTCCTATTCAGACACACCCCCGTCTGCACACACACATACACAGGAAGAGGCCCAGTAAGCTTAGTGAGTCAGGGGGTCGGTATAACAGGGTTAAAGAGGCTAATCCTCAACTGTTGATAAGACCGTTAGCAACACATATTCTTTGGCTAGACTGTGTGTTTGTGTGTGTGTGTCTGGGTAGAGAAAATAGATGTGTACGTGTGTGCATATGTGTACCGTGCGTGTGACTTTGAGTATTGCTCTGATGGTTTTTTTTCACCTACAGCTCGGTGTATGCAGTGGCTGGGCGTAAAGCCCTCAGATGGAAAGAAAGACTTAGGCGGAGAGCTTTAAGAAATTTCCAGAGAAAAAACAAAACAAAGCACAGAGCGCCTTATTCAACTCTCAAGACTAGTGCATGCAGGTTTCCTTCAGTTATTACTTTTACTGCAGGATCACTTCCTTTTCTCTTTTTTTTTCTCTTTCCTCTCTGTATCTGCTTATCTCCATGGCTTTGTCCTCTATTTTTTTCCTCTCCTCTGTCCCTGTCTGTTTCTCTTGCAGCCATGTAATGAATTCCATCCCTCAGTGAGCCACTGTGAAAAGTAATAGTTGATCTGCAGGCGACTCCTCCATTCCTCAATACCGCCATTCCTCCCTCCATCAAGGTCTCCATTGTCTCGGGCGGTTAGATCAGAGGGAACATTAGCCTCTCTTTTCAAGTCTCTCTACAAGGCTGATCTCTCTGTACCTCCCTCTACACTCTCACTCCTTCTCTCTACTCTGAATGAAAATGAGCCCTTTAGTTAAATGTATTCTAAAACGCAATTTAAATAATTCAACATAATGGCTCCTAGTAGGTCTTTTAACTGACAGGTTTCAACAACGCTTCCCCTTAAAATAGCTCCTGGATGAGATCAACAGTCTCAAAGCAGAGGGGGGGGGGGTCCAGGAACAACTTGTTAGCCAGTGAGCCACGATTCCTGTAACATAAACACCTCAACACCCAAAGACAGAGAGAGGAAGCCAGTGAGAGTGAAAAGGGCTGTGTGTGTGTGTGTGTGTGTGTGTGTGTGTGTGTGTGTGTGTGTGTGTGTGCGTGAGTCTAGCATACTGTGTTAATACCAGTATGCGAATGGACACACATGCAAAGACCAGAAGTGGTGTGTTTAGTATTCTCCAGTGAATTCGTTTGAAGTGAAGTCTTTGACTGCAACATGACAGAAATGATTGGCAGGCAACAGGTGTGGATGTGTTAATGATATCCAGACCTCACTGAGATGCATATGCACGCAAGCATTCACACAGTCCTCTCTTTTTTTTTAAACCCACAATGATTTCTTTTATTTGGCTGTTACATTCTGGTTAAATAACAATGATTTTTCAGGACAGGTTTGTGTACAGATGCAAAAAAAAAAAAGCTGCCAAATGTTCAGGTACACCTATGGTCCTGGGCGCTTTAGCCCTTCTACCGGCTCATAGAGGAAGTCATGCATAAAAAACTGACGTTTTCCTTTTTGATCTGCAGTGATAATCCAAGCAAAATTAGAAAAAATACTAAAAAAGCTGCCTGTTCCTGCAGCAGACAGGGCTCTTTGTCTAATGACATAGCCAAGCTAAACATCATCATTCTCACTCTGTGCTACATGTACATCTCCTTTAGTTGAAAGCAAGATATGGAACTACAAGAAAGCCCTGTGTATGAGACATAAGTAAGGCTCACTGTTTTCATATTTTCATCAAAAATATTTTGGCTGAAAGAAAGTTGCACCCAGATTTTCTGTCCCTGTGCACCCAGAGGTTGTATTGCTTCCTGTTCCAAAAAGACTACGGTCAATGTTTACAGCATTTTACATTAAACACGGTCTGCCAAGGACAGCCCTGAAAATGTTTTCACTAATAGAAAGTGAAGGAAAAAAAATCCAGATAGATTGCACCATAGTCCAAAAAAGTTTGGTAAAGTTGGAAAATAAACACTTTTAAATTCACACTTGACACAGATACAGAGCTCTGTCTCTCTAGGCCAGGATTCCTTTACAATAGGTAATTTGGTCAACAATGCCTCTTAGTAACAGGTGCCACATTTAAAAGGAATCCTGCACCTACCTGCCCCGGTACACGCACAGTGTAATTGCTTTTTCACAAATATTTTGGACTCACCAAAACAAAAAAGAAATAAGATAATCCTCTACCGCCTTGCCCGAGGCACGAAAAGTCCTGCTATCATCCTCACTCAGGGAGGCTGTCAGGGGGAGTCACTGGATGACGGATGTCTGGATCACTGCTTGTAACATATTGCAAGTGGATTGTCCAGAGTGATTCACTTAATCATATTGTTTGTTGTGTATTGTTTTTCTTTGTCGGTATCATCACTTGGTGCAGGATCATGAGCTGTCAGCTGGGAATGTGTCACCTGGACTGACAGAGAATGTCTGCATATCATGTCTTGTAAATATCCTGTTGCTATGATACATTATTGTATGTATAACCCCCCCGGTTGTCTTCACCATAATCATGATGTTGGCAGGCGGAGATGTGGTACAAGATGTGGCAGGAGAGCCAGCAAAGGCTCCCACATCAGCAGGGCTCCCCTCTGGCTGACCCCCCTGCAGTCAAAGAGCTGGTGAGAGCCGAGGTCAAGATGTTACTGCAGACCCTCAGAGAGAGAGCCAACATAGGGGGGAGGTAGGTGTAAGATCTCACACACAATAAATCCACTCTACTGTACATTATTAGTGAATAAAAGGTTGAGAGGTTGTGTTTTACTACCTTTGGATGGAACAAAAACTTAATGGTCATAAATTTTAATTAATAAATTGGGTATTTGATGTTTACCGTCAAATACAAATGCATAATGGTGGAAACTACAAGGGTACCTGGAGACAAACCCTTCACTTTATTTATGACAGGTTTGCGCAGGTTGGAATGTGCATAATTCCAGATTAATCTAGAACAATAACACCCCTGATCACTTATTTCTTACATACCTGCGGCATTTGCTCCATTTTTTCTAGCGAGAGATCTTTTTCCCTGGTCGGTGGTCTAAATTATGCACAACCCTCTGGCTTTTTCACAAGCCAAGAGACGGCATGGACAAGTAGGTTAAGACCCTGCTCTCACACTCCCTGCGTCATTTTTTCCCCTAACAAAGAGTGCCATAAAATGCTATATTGTGTTCCCTCGGCAGTTACAAATGGGATGGAGAGCAGAGGAACAAAGGATTTTGGCGTAGAGATGTTGCAAACTGCTATGGGAATTGTGGAACAATAGGACAATTATAGGAGGGAGACTTCCATGCATTCCACTCCAACAAACACCAGCCTAGATTTTACAGACGCAGTCACTGCTAGCTTTATTGGATTAAAGATGTGTTTTATGTTTTAATACTCATTTCAATTGTTTGTGTGCAAAAACACAGAGTAAAACTGACCTCATTCAATTGTCAGTGAAGTGCTCGCAGGCAGAACGCAATGGAGCTTGGTACTGCATCTGTTTTTTATGATGCACAGTCATCAGGGGGTTATAAGTTCCTCAAGAAGTGGTAATACTTCCTAATTACTGTTTAGTTTTTAATTTCTGCAGCTCATCGTGCTGAATCGTAACTCAGCTCAGAGAGGAGCTTGTAGCAATTGGCAATTTAATGACATGTATTAAAATACTCCGAAGACGTGTCATAAAAACTGTTGGCGGGATAATATCGGTTAGTAAAAGTGCTCTACATCCTTACATTTTGATACATAAAATAGGCTGTTAAATTGTAATGTGTTTGCGAGGATGTTGGTGTGAGTGTGTGAAAGAGCTGGTAACTATCCCAGCAACTAGCTCGCTGCTGCCAGGAATGTTGCCCCACGTCCCCTCGTAGGTTTTGCTGAGGCCTAAAAGCACAAAATAAGATGGATTGTTCTCAGTTTTTGTGACAAACCTTTTATTGCCTGTCAATTTGTCGCCGTCGTTTTTATTGTGATTTTCTTTTTTTTTTTCTGTGTCCGTGTGTGTTTTGTCATTAAACTATAAGCCACATGAAACTCTTTAGTGGTTTTAGGGGGTTTTGTTTTGTTTTTGTGTGCACTTATTTTGTATTCCATTATCCCCAGCCCTTTGTTTGGATTCACTGCTCAAACTGATTTGTGCCATGTTGACCTATTCTGTAGAATCAACATCCATTTCTACCAAAATTACAAATTTAGTGCATTTGTTGATGCCGTATTTGATCCATTTCATCCCCATTCTAAAACATACAACATTAACACTCGACAGCCATGTAAGCAGCGTCTATGATGACAACCATGTTTAGTGAGTGAGGTTTTATGGCAATCTTTTCAATAGTTTCCCTCAAAACCACAAATGAACCTCATGTTGGTGCTAGAAGAAAAGTCAGAGGATCTCCACAGTCATGAAGATTGAATATCTGTTTAGAACTTTATGGAAATCCATTCAATAGTTGTTTAGATATTTCAGTTTGAACCAAAGTAGTGGACTGACACTACCCTGCTGTCCCAGGAGCCGAAACGCTAGCATGGCTAAAAATCTGTTGCAGCATTGTTGTGGGTGTTTTAATTTCAGATTCATTTAAGACTTCCCACAGTGTAGTCTCCACATCTAAGACAGTTCATGCATCATAAGAAATGGAAAGAATATAATGTAACACTGATATTACAACAGATCAGTTGGCTGGGGTTTATTTTGAAATAATCTTACAGGGGTTTTCTTTTAAGTCAGGATGACATTAAGGCCTGATGTTTAAGCTAACAATCCACTATCCAGAAGGCTGCAGGTCTGATGCCCACAATCCACAACAGCACTGTGTCTTATTAAAGTGTCACTGACTGGAACCACAGTTGCTGGCACATCACAAGTCACTCTTGTTAAGTGCTTCAGCTGTGATGTAAATGGATTAGAAAAATTCCCAGTTCAGTGGGAGAAACATATCCCATTGTTACTGGCTGCGTAGGAACACTACCAAAAAAAAGTATTGGTGCCACACACGCTGTGCCAACACAAATCGCTTTCTCGCTTTGAAGCTGGCTGTGGTATACTTGTTGACTCTGATGCATGGTACTGTGTGTTTGTTTGTGTGTGTGTGTGTACGTGTGTGTTTCGGGCCTTTGATCGTTCAATTAGGCTAAGTCCCAAGTGTATATCAGCTGAATGGCTTTCAGGAGTAAACTGAGCACACTTTCCCCGTAATAACACTTCCTCTTAATAATGCTCCACAACCCTCTGTTCGTCAATTTAGTTCAATTTAATATGCTTTGTTGGCATGGAAATTGAGAAATTATTACCAAAGCATCTTAATGGCGGCCAGCATCTTTCTTTCTCTCTCTCATACTCTCTCCTGAACATCATTAGTGTGTATGTCTGTGTATGTGTATTGACCTAATTTACTAGTCATGTTAGCCAAGGACACTTTCCTGTATTTGTAGCAAAGGACCAACTAACTAATTTGCTTAAAGCCACATCAACAGAAGGGAGATGAAAATATCTCCCATCCCCATGCAAGATTTTTGTATGAGGGTGTGTTGGTGGGTGTGTACCTTGTAAAAGTCAACTGATTTATCTTATTGGCCTCCTCCTGTGTGGTCCTGACACACACACACACACACACACACACACACACACACCCCTCCATGTCATTGTTTGAGTGGTCAGAAAAGATGCATTTTCCCTTATGTAGTGACTATAAGATTAAGCAGAACGGACCAGGTCACCCCACCCACAGCTGCCTACACCATCTGCTTGTTTTTTTTTCTCCCGGGCATCATTCAGAAAATACAAAGTTGCTGCTGTTTATCTTTTTCTTCCTGAGATCAGTTTTTTTTTCAGATAGCCATTGTAAATATTGTATGAGCCCAGCTTTGATACTAAGGTTCTAGTAAAGTCACATTTTGTATAGCCTTTATTAAATAAAACATTACAATCAAAAGCCAAACTGAAGAGATAGCTTTTAAGTTTATGTTTAAACATCTGAGCACGTATAGCTGCACTGAGTCTATGTATACTCTTTCAGCATTGCTGAAAACTCATTCATACAAACACTGAAAGAGCTGCAGATACAGTAAACTGACTTGTGTAAAGACTTTCTTTGTCTGTGCTGTTGTTGTTATAGAGATGGCGAGGAGTTTGTGTTTTGGTACAAACCTGAGACAGTGGACTACGCTCTGGGTCACCTTGACAGCTGTTACAGAAGCACCAACCCTGAAGATACTGGCGATGAAAGCAGGTAAGTAACACCTCTAAAACAGAACTTGAATATTTTACTGGAATGACAGTTGTAGTTATAATTCATAACACATTTGTCCTCTCCTTTCTTACTTTTTCCATTTCCTCCTCCTTCAGACCGAACTCTCGCTGTTCAGTCCAGACCAATGCTGAGGATGAGATTGAGGCAGTGAGAGACAAGCTGAATGTCACTGACATTGATGAAGTGGTGGACCGTCTAAAGTAAGTTACACAGAGCAGTGTTTCCCATCCTTTTTTGCATGTGATGACAGCCCGACCAATTGATATTGATGACCGAATAATATATTGATGATTTTGGAGATAAATTCAATCTTGGTTCCCTTAGATTTGTGTTTTTAAAGAACTGTGACCAAGATACCTACTCAACGGGACATTTTAGAATTAAAAACATGTCAGTACTCCCTGGTGGACAAAATATGTAATGGAGACACTGTCTCTTAATTACCTCAAACAAGTTTGGTAGTTCTGTATTGCAGTTATTTTTTTACTTATCAGCCGACGTATACACTCATAATGATACATCTGAAATAAGCTATCAATAAGCTATATATCAGTCTGGCTGATGTATCGCTCTGCCTCTACAATCACAGGTCACATGAGTTGCATGAGATTTCTTTCCTCTAGAGGATTTATTATTCCGTTTTTTCATAAGAAAAAGTAAAAAAGTAAACATAATATTATGCAAGATTTTTATATTCTTACCCACTGGGTGGTCTCGACCCCGCAGGTTGGCAAGCAGAAGCACAGTGGAGCAACAGAATATGCACTGTAAACCAATAGAGTAAACAATACAAAAAATACAAAATATTAAAGCCATTTATTTATGGTATAGATCATTGAAATAATAAATTAAATGACACAGTTCATGTGTGCTCTGTATGTCTGTGAGTGACTCCTTCAGAGGCCTTTCCTTTTCCTCTTTTTTTTCTTAATTTCCCCTCAATTCTCCTCGGTGGCTTCTGTCATTACCCTGCCTCCATCACACTCCATCCCTTCTTTTCTTTCCTCCATCCCTTACTTTGAGGCCCACGGGGCAATACAGTCACTGGGGCTACCTTGGAAGAGAGCCCCCCTTCTCTCTTTCTCCACTTCTCTTTCTCTCCCTCTCTTCCCCATTTCCTGACTCAAACCAGAACAAAAGGCCCCATTGTCAGAAAATGGATCCCAGAGCAGGCAGAAGTTTCTTTTTCATTTGAAAGAAGTCTTCTATGGTTATGTAACCAGAGAAGGAGAAAGTGTGGAGGGGTGGTGAGAGAGGGAGGGAAAAGAAAAATAGGACACTGTATCCTCAGTAGCTTTATGAAAACTGCAGAGGATAAACTTTGAGCAGACACCAAGTGTACCTATTCTGTTGTCACTGCCTCAGTTGTGTGATGGGTTTCATTATCAGTCTGCCACTGTGTGCCTACAATGTTATATAGTGGATAGTTCTCACAGATTTAACCACTGCACGATACACGGACATATAATATTTAGCAAATTCTATCATTCAAATTGACCATACTCATAAAATTAGGACATTCATTATTAAATATTTGGATGAATTTTTACTGCGTTTAAGAAAGCAAACCACAGCCTATTTTTAAAAGCTTTTAAGTGGTGTTTGTCTGTGAATGCACAGTTTCCACTTTGACCTAGATTTAAGCTTTTGGCTCAATAGTTTTGTTTTTTTTTATATATAAAAACAACTGGGGTACTGATGATAAACATACTGACTGTCTGTCTGTGTCTCTCTAGATCTGTCCTAAAGGAGGAATGTGAAGCGTTGAACAGGCTGGTAAAGAATTTAAAGGTAAGAAGAACAGGATGGAAAACTACCAAATGAATCTTGAATCTTCTTTGTTTTTCAGCTGCCAGTGCAATAGTGATCCAAATCCTACAATTATTTATGGGAAACAAGGCCAAAACAAAAATATTGATTTGCTGTAATGATGCAGCTTACAACAGCTTTGACAATGACAACTCATACAGTATAACCTTGTAGGCATCCTGAATTATTATGCCATGCTGTACATGAATAGCCCATTTATATTACAGTATAGGGACAGTATGATTTTCCTTCTTGCATAATTTCATTACATATATAAAAAAGCATACAGTAGCACAATACAATATGTTCTTTTGCTTGTTCTAGTGTTCATTGTAGCTGCACTGTTACTCCAAAAGGAAATATTCTAGATAACCCCTAAACCCAGCCTGACTTATTAGATCTCTATGAAATTTTACTGGAATGTAATTTTACAATTTTAGGCTTAAAACAAAGTTTATCATGACAACATGATTTCCAGGTGTTCGATGTACTTTGTACAATTTATACATAATTATAAAACTGTCCATAAAATGCTGAATATTTCCATTAAAAAGACACTGACTCCCTCAACCAGGGTCCCCCCCTTTTTTCCAAAACAAATCACTTTGTTTACCTAGACCTGCTAACTCTCCGTTGGCAGTGAAACACGGCAACGGTTCCCATTTACACACACAAACACAAACTCACACGTGCACACAGGAAACCTGCGAGGGCTCAGTCTAAGCTAGTTTTTTTTTCCATCTGTCTGGCCAAGAGCTTTGCAGTGCTGAGTAAGATCAATCTCCTTCCAATCACTGAAATTACTACATACATACAGAGACATTTATACACACACACACACACACAAACACATACAATCACGCACTAACAAAGAAACACACAAGCATGCCTACAGTCTGGATACACTGTCATGCTTGTCTGGCATTGTGAAAGAACCAGAGAGTGAGTTAGTTAGAGGCCAGATGTAGGACTTCTCTGCAGACCAGATGTGAAAGTTATCTTTCTGTAGTGTGTGTGTGTGTGTGTGTGGGTGTGTGTGTGTGTGTGTGTGTGTGTGTGTGTGTGTGTGTGTGTCTGTCTGTCTGGCTGGAAATGTTACAATGCCAGTTTGTCTGGAAACATGACAAAGTTGAAAAATGTGAAAACTCTATACAGAGGAAATATAAGGAGCAATAAGTCTCTAAAAGTCTCTGTTTGAACCAAAAGTGAATATGGTGTGTGACCTTGTGCCTGCTGCATGAACACCTACTTATTCAAATAGTAGTAGTGACGTAAGGATCCCATTGCAAAGATAAGAGCACAGGTACTGAGGAAAACCTCATCAGATATTTTCACTATAGGAACCACAAAGTAATAGAGTTTGTAGGAGAGAGAGGAGGGGACATTATGAGAGTAACGTTGCCTGACCCATGGGTGTGTTATTCCAGTCTTAAAGACCTGAGGGTGTGAAGCTAATTGTAAAGAGACTTTTCTTGGTCGTCATTGTCTTTCTCAAAAGGATCCTGCAGTATAGAAGAAATGTGGCACTCTCTCTGCAAAGACATTGTCTCCTCAAGCGGTTGCTGTCTAATGTGTGAGCAGGTGGGATGAAGCCATGGCTCCGGTGGCACCGTGCTCTCATGGCGTGAACTTATTGTGCACTCCCTTTATTTGCTGCAGTGTTGGATGATGTTGATGCATTGTAAAGCATCATTGCCTCAGGAATATACTATAGACCAGACTTAATAGAGGAGATAGTGAAACTGCACTAACTACTGAAAGCTATGGTTTCTATCTATTGAACAAAGCTTCAATAAGACAAATACACTCTATTTGTAGTTTCATATACTGAAAATAATATCTACAGTACTCTTTTAGTCAGACACTAATCCACTGCTTCAGATTCCCAGCACGTAAATGTGTTTGAGAAAAGGAATTTGAATTGTGATCCAAATTGTACCCGGAGTGACATTGCTAAGCAGGAAAGCAAGTCAACTTTCCAACTCAAATCACATTTTTTTAGCTCATGATTGTTAACATCTGTTTCGGGTCTGTCATAATTACCTACGTTTTTTGCAGTTTTTGTTGCTGGCAATCGAGTGGAAAATGGGAGGAAAATATGTTAAATGTCAAGCACTGTGTTGTATCAGTGTTTGCCACTAAGCTGCACTTTAGATACCATAAGTGTCCTTCTGTAGGTCTGTCATGACTGTCTTATCACCATCACGCTTGATGCAGCGGAGATTGCTATTGTTTTGCTGTTATACCCCGGAGTTCAATTATATATGTTTTACCTGATAAATTGAGCTAAATCTGGCATTTAGAGCCTAGATACAGTATGATCAAATTGCCTTTTTATGTGCATCCTGTAGTAGCCAATCATAAGTTGGTCCTAAACACAACGGTAATGACCCATTTTCTCTTAGCAGGAGGTAAGCTGTGGGTGTGGAGTTTCTCACTGGAGTCAGCGGGGATGGTATGGTTGTGGTGGTCTGATGTTGGTCGAGATGATGGATGAGAATACTATTACTTCATACACAAGATAAACATGCGGTCAAAATCTAACTTAAACCTTAAACCCCCACCAGAAAACCAGAATCAATGGTCAGAGCATGACCCGTGTGCACTGACCCTACTGAATAAAACATCTAAACTGTCATATTCAGGTCAAACTTGTATGAGCAGCTGACAAAACCAGTTCATAGATTTTCTATCAGAAGGGATTGTGCTTATAGGCCAGCAAGATCAAGCTTGTATAGAGCAGAACCATCACATAAGATGATGCAAAGATGGTTGGTTTCAGCTGGATTTTATAGCAGGAACGGTGACCCTTGTTCTCCTGTTAGCTGTGTATGTTGGCTGTGCAGAGGTGGGTTTGGGTTCTAGAGATTCATGTAGGATATTGTCAGTAACTTACAAGCTTTCCTAAAATATATCAGCAAGTCAGCGCCATGGTAATAGGTTCAAACCCCACACAGACCACAAAGCCTATTTTCGGAGTGAGTGTGTGTGTGTGTGTGTGTGTGTGTGTGTGTGTGTGTGTGTGTGTGTGTGTGTGTGTGTGTGTGTGTGTTTCAGAGTTGTTTTGGATTTCACTTCACTGTCAGAGACGCCACACATACTGTCTGCAGCTCTGAAAGACAACACTAGGAGGTTTGGGTTTGAATCCCACTGGGAAAATAGACCGAAAATATATGTTTTAACTGTCAGTCTCCTGGCCTGTGGTTGTGTGTGTGTGTGTGTGTGTGTGTGTGTGTGTGTGTGTGTGTGTGTGTGTGTGTGTGTGTGTGTGTGTTGGTTTATTGCACTTACTATCAAGACTCTCCATTAATGTTTGTGCTGGTGTAAAATGAGGAGAGGAGGCTGACAGTCACACTTAACAAACATACAAAGGCACACTTTTCAATCAGTTCTTTGGTTTTACAAACACACACACACACACACACACACACACACACACACACACACACACACACACACAGCACTAGGGTTTTCATTTGCTCTGTATATGGATATTTGAGGCCAAATGAATGGATGGAACTCTGCTGCTCAATCGTTTAGTGGTCGCACACACATTCCTTTCTTCTTTCTCTCGCTGTTATTTTTATCCGTTTCCCTCGTTCCGTTGCTATTTCCGAAGGCTCATGCTTTCTTGAACATGTTCGATACATTTAGCTCCTCTTTTTTGGCTTCCACTACTGCCACTACACTGAATGTGTCCTAGTTTGTGCCATAGCATTATGTTAAGTGCGCTCACATTGCATGAGTAACATAAGCTCTGTCTGTTTCGGTTTCGTGGTTGTGTTTCTTGCAGGGGAATATTAAACAAAAGCGTCGGAGTCAGTGTGATAAATCAGAACCTACACTTTCAGGTGAGTCGATAAACCAAGTGTTGGGTGTTTGCTGCCATCTGGTGGCTCATTATTGTTTAACACATGCTGTGTGATGAGTGTGCTCTCTTTATCTTCCTCTTCATCCCATTTAATCTTTAGGGAATACTGATCATTTTACCCACCCTCCATTAGCCAGTAGAACTCATTCTGAAACATATTTATGAATGAAAAAGGAGCCATTTAGGACTCCAGTCAGATCCATCCAAATGACAGTGAAACTAATTTGAGTACTTCAGAGAGCAGTAACAATAATTGAGTTCATTTTCAGAACTCGATAATGAGCTTACTTTGTTCTCCTGCACTAGGTGATTGCTATCATTTGATGTTTTTCTGCACTTAAATATCATATCAGTATATCTCTTGTATTTGTGTATGTGCAGAGTTGAGAGAGCTAAGAGGAGCTATACAAATGGACTTGCAGCTCTACCCCTCTATGTTGGCTGCTTCACCACCAGCTTCCTCCCTTCTCCCTTTGAAGGAATTGAAAAGCAGGTCCAGGTTAGTATGTTTTGCTGTTACAGCCCGCAGAAAGGCTCTTTGTTCACTGAGTCGAGGAGCAGCAGGGGGAGCGCATAACAATCACACTAGAGTCCTGCACAGGGGTACCCGCTGGATAACTTGTAAAAACGTTGTGTAATGGGTAATAAATGTATTTATATAAATTCACGGGTATGGGCACGGATAAAAATTAATTCAATGTGGGCGGGTGCAGGCTATTTTTAACATTTAAATCAGCCTGCTCATAATTTGTGTCTTCTCATTAAATTCAAGCTTTCTCAATGTAAACATGATGTTACTACCTACTTATAAAACTCCTGTTTCTGTATTTATTTTCTTTATGCAAGAAGACAGTGTTCTGTCAATCTAAATCCTATTCTGATTCCTTTTCCCCAGACTACCAGCAAGGCAAAGGGTTTCTGGGGAGACTCTGGGAACTTTAAGCACTACATCAGCCTTCAGACCACATCCACCTCCTCCTATGTGCCATACTAAACCCAGGCCACCGTCGGGCGCTCCTCCTAGCAAGACCTCAGTTAAACTAATTAACAGTCCTTCACTGTCTCGGACTCATGGACAGCACAGAAGCACATCAGCCTCCTCTGGACCTAGGAAAACACATACACCTATCTTGAACCGGATCACCTCTTCTGGGCCCGCCAATGACCAGATAATGGTTAAACCCTCACATCACTCCAGTCTCTCTCCAAAGCAAGATAGTGCTGGTCTCCACTGCAGGGCCCTGACTACTGGTCCTAGTTCTCAAATAAAAACCCATCCATCATCCCATCGCACTACTCACAGCTCGAGCGGAGATTTGTCACCACAGACAGAAAGAAAAAGCAGCTCAGCCTGGAGGTCAAGAAAAATCAATACTATCACCTCATCCCCTCGCTGTGATTCTGGTAGTTACAGCAGCAATAGTACTGATCTTGCTATGTCAACAACAGGGAAATCAAAGACACAAAATGGTACCTGCGGAGGTAGTTTAATGTCAACCACACTGCAAGTGGATAATGACACAAGGAAGAGTACTTCTGAGAGATTTCACTCTTGCGTTGGCAGTAGGAAGAGCAACAATGGAACTGATAGAAATAAAAATGGTCATCTTGGGAAGGATGTCACGCAGCAGCAAAGTTTATTAGCCTCTGTTTGACAGATCGCTCCTCACATGATCCAGAAAGCAGTGATACATAGACTGGGGCAGGCGTCATGCACCCATCCACTGTCTGTATGGATAAATGGACAATTCTTTATTTCCCCTAAAAGACGACTTGACGGCACAAGTCAGCCAGAAAGTGACAGAGCTGGAGTCCACTCACTCATCAGCCAGTCCCTCCTCCAAGGGTGTGCAAGTCAGCCCATACTTTAACTGTTGTGCCTGGCCCTCATAAGGTTTTTTCCATACAGCATAAATTAAAATAAACTTGTGTTTGAGAGGTTGTTGTAATGTTGCAGTGTTTAAATGTGTGATTGAAAAATGTGTGTTATTAAGAAAGATAACAGCCTGTGCAGCTCTGCTCTCATGAAAAACACAAAGTAAATGTGTTATAATGTTATTTGTTAATGTTATAATTAGTGGTATAGTCAGCCGACTTTATGCATTAGTCATGAAGATTTTTATCCCATTTTTACCCAAACAGGTGAACGAAACATAAAAAGCCAGGTACATGTCAATCAGGCACAGTCTGTATACACCTACCTGAGAGGAGGTCTAAGGAGTTGAACCATAGCTGTGTACAGGCCTGAATCACAGTTCTATCTTTAGGTTTATATTTACTGAACCTATATTATATAAATGGGAAATTTATTTTTATGAATGGCCTTCTTTGTTTGAGCACCTATCCAAAGGTCCATGGATGTATGAACAGTACCAACAAAGAGAAACATGTACTGGAGGGAGCAGAGCTTAGGCTGTTAGACATCATATTATTGGCTCTATTCAAGCTCTGACTTTAAAGACTTATACAAGAAGTTACAAGATTACTAGATTAGATTATTAATTATGATTCAGTTCATAAATACTGGCTCTTCTTTCTCTTTCTCTCCAGTAATATACAGACATCGTAGTGCGTTTAAAACATGTGGATATGCCGATCAAAACATTTAAATCACCAACAGATTTCCACATATTTGATCGTTTTTCTACAAGCTCCTCCCTCCAGTGAATAGAAACTGAAAGTAAACAGCACTGTTGTAGGATATCTGATACACGTCAAGGTAAGACTGTCCCCTTTATTATTTTACTTATTTATTAGAATCGATTTCACTTTTCTCCAAATGAGTGTAATCTGTTGAGTTTGCTGTGCCTCGCTGCTGTAATCTGTTCTCATACTATGAAAACAAGCAGTGTTTACATACTGGTACCGTTTCTTCGGGGTCAAACTGGGACAACAGTCTAACTGGGATAACAATCATGTCTGAATCTTTCTATTTTTTTTACTATGTTGTTCAGTTTTTAACTCGCCAATGTTCCAAAGTATTTCAAAAATAATTATTTCTCAAGAAAACAGGATGAGTGAGGAGTGTCTTTAAAAATAGGTCATATTACTATTAAGTATTGTAGCCTACTTTACTACCTTTCAAGTCGCACTGCTCCAGAGGACAAACAACAGTCAGCAGCTGTGAATAGTATAAAGATCGTGAGCAGGACAACATCGTGGTTTATGGTTATAATACTGTACCTCGGAAAGTGGTAGAAAAAGTAATATTACAGTATAAAAATAGTCTACAAGTAAAAGTCCTGCCTTCAAACATCTTACTAAAGTAAAACAACACAAGTATTGAAATGTATTTAAGCACCAAAGGTGGTGATGATGTCTTATATCACTGGATTATAATTATTAATGGCATTCATTAATTAGAACTTTATGTCCTACTGGGTAGCTTAACCTACAGTAAGACCATCATTTATTAATGCACCACACCAGCGAGCTCTCTTAAGTGACCCAAATCAAACACACCTGTGATGTTCTGTAACAGGTGCATGCTGGGTGTGGTCTCTGTGGCTAATTGCTAAGCTAAGCTGATTGATTGTCTGCTCGGGAACCTGAATCCTCAGTAAGAACTTTCTGCTGTTTTTAACCAAAAAAAAATCTGTATTTTTAAGAAACTTTGTAGAGTTCAGTGTGTCGGAGAGGTTAACTGGTTATATTATAAATATATATATATACTTATATATAAACAGTCAGTGGTTGAAGCTAGAGGAGATTGTGGAGCACTGGAATTGTGCAAACATTCATGTTCCCTTCAGGTTTAATTGTAGTTACTTTACTAATCTCTTAATTTGTTAATCTGGCACCATCATCAGGTTAAACTTTCAATTTGTCCAGTTACTTCAGTTCATGGCTGAAAACAAAACATGTGACTTTTGCCAACATGCTAAACTCAGCTATGCCTGTTTAGCGTCAGCTTGCTCGGTCTGATTGTCATCCAGAGAATGATGGGATGTCTTTATAATCCTGTCTGTGGTTAGGATCATGGATGTGGTTGGTCCTAGATACTGTGTGTCATGATGTATTGGGAGTGATGCGTTAGGCGGCCGCCATATTGGTGCGGTGACGCTAGGCCTCATTTCACAATTAAAATCCACACAACTCCTTTTTGAAGCAATAAGCCGGCTAATGTGTTACAAATGTCAGACAGATAATGTTATTTAACATGAGTGTTTTTGTTTTAAAGCTCTAATCTGCATTTTTATAGACACTAACAACCGTGGTCACGTTTGTTGACCTCTATTGAGGAAGTGGGTCTGATGACTGAAAGTGGAATTTTTGTATTATTATTTGTTGTTCTGGTTTCCTGCCATGGAAAAACATTCCCGGCAGAAACACTGGTAACAGCCAACGAAATAACAAGCAAAAAGAAGACAGAAATGAAACATAACATGTATTCCTAAAAGCTGGAGCTCTGAGGTGGATGGTCAGTCAGAGTACTGGGATCTTATAACTTACTTAACCTCTCTAAAAACAACCACAAGTAGTGCAGTTCATCACTTAAACAGATTTATTTTTTGCATACAGAGCACACAAACCTTAACAAATGTTTTCATTTGACAATAATGGTAACATGCTGGAAAACACACCTCTTGCCATACAACACATCTGTATATTATGCTTCGAATGAGCAATGTTATTGTCTATACAGGATAAAGTTTTACATTTTTGGTATGAAAACCAGCATTTTTAATTTAACCACCCTGCATCATGTATACAGTGGTATAACCCAACACCATCTGTTGCATGGCAAACTATATTAAAATCCCAAATAAGACATGAGTGGGATCTTAACTAGTGCTACCTGCTATAGTAACATTTATAGAAACTGGAACAGACACAGTTGTATCAAGCAGTGATCCAATAATATTTTGAGGCCAAGCTACAACAATTGGGATAATTTCCATCCATCCTGTAGGTTTTTGGGGCTTTATCATGGACAATGTTGTACCTAGAATAGAAATTATGTGAAAATCTTTGTATTCTTTATTATATTCTACAGTATTAACTTCCATTTGTGACAAGTGTGCAAGAAGATTGTGAATAAAGTATCACATTTCTTTGTTTAGATGGGTGCAATATTCAACGTGCTTGAAAGGTTCCGACTGGAATCTTACTACAACCAGTTTTTCCAGTTGGGTGTAAAAGATGAACGAGATTTCCTGGATGGCGTCACAGATGAAGACCTAAACAACATTGGTGAGCCTGAATGCATCATTTACTTGCAATTTCATCAAATGTCAGTGAATAATTGATCAAAACACAAGCCTAATGATGAAGTTAGATGTCCACTGTATTATAAAAATGAAATAATATGGATTTAATTTGTCAAATACCATTTTCATGCCTACGTTTTTACAGGTCTAAGTCATGTGGAGAGGAATCGTTTTTCAGCTATGAAAATCTTCATTCAAAGACTCCGAGCTCCAGAGCGCCACGTTCAAACTGTGACGCCTGTGCAAAAATCATTGGAGTCGTTCCATCTGCAGTACACATACCCGAAATGTCCTCAACCCAAACAAATTAAAGGTAAGAGGAATATAATCCATTTCTGATCCATTAGATTGATTAGGCCAGTCACCAACTTGCTGATAACACAGTGGGTTACAAATAAGACGCAATAATTAAGTTATGTGATCATTGAATAAGCAGACATCGAACAGATTAACAGTGGTTACCTTGAACGTGCAGATATGGATCCAGCACAGAACACAGTTGAGGACCTGATGTTAAGGATCGGCCATCTTGAAAGTGTCGGCAATTCCAGAGGAGTTTGTCTCTACACAATCGATGGGATGCCTCTGACAGACGATCCCTTCTTCAACACATGTGAGCAGACCTGACACCTTTCACAGCGAATGTTGCTGAATGATGTTAAACGTTTATACTTCCAAGATTCTTTTGTTTTGTTGCACAATGCAACAGTACTGAAGCATCCAAAATCTTGAACCAGGACTCTCTTGGATCTTATTGGATACTGCTCTGTCTCGAAGGTGCCCCAACCGTTGATTGCATCCAGTTTTTGTGACAGCTCACAATGAGGTTTAGGTGCATCTCTGAACCACTTGAACAAGAGGATTCGTCTTGAGAAATCATAACAAAAGTCTTGTAGTTTGCATAAAGTCTTACTTGCTTTATTGAGTTGCTGCACTTTGGTTTTACGGCCCACAACGGCTTTAGGTTCAAGCCAGCAGCTGTTTTCAGAGGAAAAGCTGTAAAAATCCCTCACTACACAGCTTAGCACCAAATAGTAGACAGTTAGAGACTAGCTGGCAAACGTGGTGGAGTATTTAGCAGCTAACGAGCCAGATATTTCCCTCAGGAGTTGGTGAAAAACGGAGCTATAAGGAGAGTGAATACTTGCCTCGCCTTCGTCAACTGCTGGATGTTTAAATATGTTTGTTCACCATATCAACTTAAAATGTTGTCTCCTCACATAGGGTCTTTGAATGACAGACATATTCAAAGCGGAGCTGTGATTTATGCCATATTCACACCGAAGGAAAACCTGAAACAGGCTCCTCAGATACCAAAGCGAGAGGCTGGCGAAACCTACGGAGACGATGTGGTTCGATGTCACGTTATGCTTAAGGTACATCTTAACTATAATATTCAAGATAAAACTAATGATACTGTGAGCAACTGATGAATGGATATTATTCTACAAGCTGAATATGTTTAATTTATGGTCTTTTCTTTAAGACAATTGTGTTCAGAAGAAAAGTATCACTGGTGATATTTAGTATTAATACACTGAAATTGTATCCGGTCCAACTACTGTGCTCAAGGCTCTAACATGGCATTGTCTGTTGTTCATTAACCACTTTTTAACATACATTACACACACACACACATATATATATATATATATATATATATATATATATATATATATATATATGTGTGTGTGTGTGTGTGTGTGTGTGTATGTATCTGTTCTTCAAAATTGTTTTCATTTACTTTATTTTATACAGGGAGACTTTGAGGTGACGGTGAACTTGGAAAGTGACACCATGACCAGTCTGAGACTCAAGCTGGCAAATGAAAGTGGAATCCCGGCACATGTCCTTTATTACAAGTAATTCAGAATGATCACACTAAGAATAGATATTATGGCATGGCCCTCTTTGTCAATATGGGCACACTCAGAACTTCTGCTCTCCGTGTTTATTATATTTATAGAGGTAAACACTCTGCCGGCGACACGCTGCAGAGATGTGGAATCTCTGACGGGTCAACGGTTTTCTTCACTTTGTCCACATTTTCTGACGAGACTCCACACAGTGAGACGTTCTTCATTAATGACGTTGTGCCTACAATCCAGCAAACCCAGAAAGGAATCAGCGTCTTCTTGTCTTCACTCTATGCTGTTGTAAGTTTTATTTCTTAATCTTCTTATCTTCTTAATACCCTATTAGTGCCAATAACATTATATATCTATGATGTAATTTTTTATATCCCTGTACATATGCACATTAGTCTGCACACTTTACTGCTTTTTTACACTTCTGGTTAGATGCTTAACTGCATCTCGTTGTCATAGTACTTGTACAATGACAATAAAGTTGAATCTAATCTAAAAGTACTGTGCACTATTTTATGACACCCCCCTCCATCTCATCTGTGTTTCATTATACAACATTATGGCTACAGACACATTGCAGTGTTGATCACTCTTCCATGGAAAGCAGCTAATTACATAAAGTCATTTCATAAAGTCTCACTTTATTTTCAGCCATGCTAACAGCGTGGCTCTCAGTTGGGCATTGTGTTGGTCCATCACTTTGGTTCAGACTGAAATATCTCTACATTGGATGGATTGCCAAGAAGTTTATAAAAACATTCATGTTTCCTTCAGGATGAATGGTGAAAGCTTTAGATCTAGCACCATCATCAGGTCAAACGATTCAATTTGTACTACTGGTTTATGACCAAATACAAGACTAACAACATTCCCATTAGCCTCAGCTGTACTCTGTGTTCAGTGTTGGCAAACTTAAACATGCTGAACTTCATCGTGGTACACATTGTAGACTTTGTCTTGTTTCCTGAACTTACCTTATCTGTTAAGATTGCAAATCTAACAAAAAGGTGTCTTCATTGTAAAGTAATTTTACTTATTCTTCTGCCGTGTGTTTAACCCTGTATTTTATTTTTTTCTTCTAGCGAAGTCATTATAAAAAAGAGAGCCTAAAGAAGCTGATTTCCTACATACGAAAACTGACCGGATGTCACCCTCTCGGCCAAAGTTTGCATCAGTTGCTCTGCAGGAATGAAAAGTTAACCAGAAATCAGAAGGTAAACAATAAGAGCCTCTTTAATGCTGCCTTAATTAACCCTTACATAACAAAAGTAAAGCTGTGAAAACGTGTGAATTAAAAAAATAATACACCAACATTGATGTTTTTTTAAAGTGACATCTATCTAGGAACAATTTTCTGGATATCTTGAGTAACTGGAAACAACTGAGCAACAATACTATAAGCGCACATATTTCTTAATGCACATTATTTTTTAACATTTATTTTTTCTAAATGCCATTTTTCACCACTTTTAGCTTTACAAAAAAAATGTAATCCACCTTCTTTGTATTGGTCACAGCTGTAGATCTCTATAGATAAACGTGAACTGTATTGTTTTGGAAGATGTTTTCCTGCAGTTTGGGTGAACTGAACCTTTACACAGTACAAGGCGCTTTCACATGTACCCATTTCTTCAGATGATGTGTTGTGTTGTAGATTGCAGTTGTTGAAGGCTTGTACATACTCTTCAGAGAGCTTTTGCCCCAACGCGGGACACAACGAGGGGAGAAAGTCATTGAGGACCTGGACGTCTTTGAGAATTCACTGTACTGCTGGGCACATCTCCTATCAGAGGCAGAGGTATGATGATACCAAGGTTTGACTGAATAATAATTTCCGACTGAAGTCCCCAATTGCTTCGTGGAAATTGCCCTTAATTTGAGCTAACAGGTGGTGCATGACTTGAATGCATTAAGGTCAATTGTTATTCAGTGGTTTACTGCTTCTGTTGTGACTTATTTTGACAGAAACAGGGAGCAGATCAAGAGAACTATGCACCAATCACTCTAACGGCTGAAGATGGCAGTCGTTTCTGTGAACCAGTCAGAGTTCCTGGAGTACCTAATGCCTTTGAACGAGCATACGTTCTCCAGAAAATTAAAGGTAAAACTAAAACATTGACTCAGAACTCAGAAGAACCTGAATAGCAGATTCTGAACAGCAGCCCCACAGTTTACAGATCTGTTCCCCCTTTTTACTTTTATTGGTGAGCCGCTAGGTGGTGGCTAGGGTCTAATAATGCTATCGCAGGACATTTTAAGGGCAGTTTTGGCCCTTAGAATAAGAACTACTGACACTTGATGCATAAAACCACCCTCTGCACAGCCATCCTGTTGTATGGAGTCACACTAATTGTGCATCAATAAGTATCCCAACTGTATGGAAATTCAGCATTAGTATTTATAGAAACTCTGTATTTGTTGTATTAGAGAACCGTGCAATACTGTCAGCTTCACTTCATTTTCTATCTTTTTGTTTAGATGGAGAGAAAATTCCAAATTGCACTGAAGCATTTTTGCGGGAAACATCATTACAGAGAGCCAACGACATTGAAAAAATCCTGCTCAGTTTGCCTCCGTTCATCCGAACATATCCTCTTTGGATTCATCATGACAAGAAGACTGGTCAGAAGTATGTATCATTAATTTTTTTGCTTTCCATAAAAGTAAAATGTCAATGTTGTCCATGTAGATACATTTATATCCACTGGTGTCGGCATACTGCGTGAATTCTGCCGTTTGAAGCCTTCCCGTTACCTGGGCATTGGTGAAATTCTCAATAAGGAGATATTTCCTCCTGCAAGAAAGAAAATTCCAAATATAGGAAAGGAAAATTTTGTCCACCACAGATTCCCCATAACCAAAAAGCCAAAGTGTCTTTGGTTGTTGATGTCTTAAAGCACAATTTATGCAACTGTTTCCAAGCAATACTTTTGGTCTTTTCCACCCCTGCCACCACCACATTGAATGGTCAATATATTATCTTGTGATACTTTTGCAGTTTTACTTGTTTTTCAACCTGTACAATTGATATGACAGCTTTCAGATAAAGATGGAGAAGACTTTTGGAAGTATGGTGGAAAATTTAAAATCTCCCTCCAATCAAAACCTCAATGTGACCCCACCTCTACGTTTAAAGGAGCTAGGACAGTGTGGGGCACGCCTTGTTCTACTGAGTGAAGGTACGACATTAAATCACTATCTTTACAACACTCTTGTGCATACACTAACAAATGGCATTGGCGCCTGACAGAGCAAGACACACTGGAGTCTTATGATGCTCATTTAAATGTTTTTTATATAATAAATTCACTGGTGGTGTTGATGCATGCACCCTCCTTACAATTATTGTACTCGAGTTACTTCAGAAAATATCCTTTTTACACACAAAAAATTACACAAAAAATTTGTTTGATAGCTATAGTTACTTTGATTCTATATACAAAATATGTACGACTAAGATGCAGTATTATAGATTAAATATTTTATTTCTAGATTATTTATATTATATAGATTAAAAGCACATCTTCTATTTTATGTCATGCATATCTGTACAGGTGTTTTCAGAGTGACTGATTAGATTAGCTCAGATTGGATTTATGCAAAACTCCTTGCGCTTTATAAAACTTATGATAATTTTCAACAAAGCTACCTCTCAGAGCCTCTGAAGTATGGAAAAGGTTTTTTTTTATATTCTTATTACATAAGATAAAAATAAGATATGGCTCAACTTTAATTACTTTAAAAAAGAAAAACACACATTTCAGGAGCTTGAGGGCTTCATAATTTAACAACCTGAACAGGGACGTTATGCACCTCCATTACTTTTTTACTTTGGATACTTTTAAGTAAATTTCGCTGGTAAAACTAAAGTAGAATTTTGGATGCCATACTTAATCCTAACAGTGTATTTTTACATTGGGGTGTTGCTACATTTAGGAAGCTTTGTAATGTAAAAGTGGGGTTTTTTTCTCTTCATCAGACAACCTTGGTGTGTGTTTGTATAAAGAAAAAGGACTCCCAGATATGATCCAAGTGCTTGATTGTTTGAATGGTAAAACAAAGTCAGTGGATGTAAATCTGTTGGCAGCAAAGTGAGTACCTTTTTATATTGTATCTAGTTTAAGTATAGTATAACTATACATTTGTATAAAATGTAAATACTCAAGTAAATTTGTAATAAAGTATAGTGCTTGAGTGAATGTACTTACATCCCACACCTGCATTTAACACAGGACTGGTGACCATAGAGATGACCAAACATTTGTCACAACAAGGAGTCCAAAAGAAGCTATACTGGTAAAACTTTTTGTCTCGTCTGATCATTTCTTCTGATGAACGTTTTAGTTTTACTTGATTGTTGTAGAGCTGCCTTTGTTACTTTTAAAGCCGCTGTACCTGCAGCAGTTTCTGTAGTACAATGCATCTTAAATAATGAATTGTTTGTCATACATTTCACATCATAAGCACTTAAGGGAATAAAAACCCATTTGAAAATGAATGTAAATAAGTTTCTACTGAATTCGCAGTAGGGCAAACTTAATATAATTAATTTTGACTTCATTTTCATCAGGTGCTGATAGATACAAGCTCATCCATGGAGGAAGAGTGCTACGGAAGTGGTGAAATAAAGAAAATTAATGTGGTGAAAGAGCTCTTTGACAACTTTGCAACAAGGAGCATGGCTTATGATTTCCATCACATCATTGGCCTCGTGAAGTTCGACTCCATGGTGAAAACTCTCCACACATTTACGGAAAATCTGGAAAAGTTCAAGGTAAATCCAGATCCAGATCTTAGGTCCATCCTATCTGTCCTTTTATTTTGGGTGTAATGCAGTAAAACAAAAACCTGAATAGAGATGTAAAGAATTGTTGTTGTTCTTTACATTTATAGGAACACATACGTAACCTTGAGGCAAGTGGATGTACTCTGCTGTATGACGCCCTACGACGCGGGGCATCCGAGTTGGAAAAGGTCAAGGCGAGGTTCCCAGATTGTAGACTTCGCATCATGTGTCTCACTGATGGGAATGATTCTGGGTACATTTATTTCTCTCTAATTGCTACCTAGTTTATACTTTACCTGTTAGTACATACATTACATGTCTTACTGTGAGTAACAATGACTTCAAATTGTTTTTATGTGAGCTGACTTAATAATCTTGTTTCTTTCCATAGATCCTCCATAGAGCCAGTTCCTGTTACAGCCAGACTGCTCAAATCTGACATCATTGTGGATTCAATCCTTCTCGGGAATGTGGAGAACAATATGCTGCATGGAATCAGCAACGCAACAGGTACGGCATATTTGACTGCTTCCTTAAATCCCTGTGATATACTTACTCAATCAAGCTCCATTAAAGAAATGCCGTCAAACAATCTTCAAATTCTCATCTAACTCTTCACTGTAGTCTAATGTTCTTGACTGTTATTTCCCCTTAGCATTATTTTATTTTCACGACAAGGTTGAAGGTATTTGATACCAGATGCCTCAAGGGTGTATCTTTTAATAAAAAGATATTTTAGCTTATTGCCAGGAGTCCTCCTAAATTGCAGTTCCCGGCTGAAAGTCCTAAACTTATAGTAGTAGAGAGTAGTAGTAGATCATGTTGTCTCTCCAAAGCTTGTGGAGAGCACATTTACAGTAGATGTGTGTATCTGTGTTTTACAAGTGACTATAAAGTGAAACTAGCCTTCACTTTACAGTAAACATTTTGTAAGGCAGAATGGGGCCAGACAAAGGTGAAAACCCATACTGTAAATGTCCCAGATAAATAGGTGAGTGTGTGTGTGTGTCTGTGTGTTTGAGTCTGCAGAATTTACATTATATATACCCACTTCCTACTATTACTGCTACTACACCATTGCCCAAGTGACATTATTCAGCAGCCTCAGCCACCAGGGACGGAGAAATTATGAGTTCGACCTGGACTCTTCTTCGCAACAAAAACTGTATCCAGACACAGTTTTTCAGACTCTTGTTAATCTCTCCACTACACATCCACATTGCTTCCAGGTGGTTGCTGTTTCAAACCACAGACAACCAAAGAGGGTCTGAGGCTTTTTGAGATTGAGACCGTTCTGTCTTTGGAGCAGAGGACACTCAAGGAAAAACTGGACCCATCTTCCATCAGTGAGGTTAGTTACTGTAGATCATTCTGTTGGAAGTCAAATGAAATTGAGATGCCACAAATTTGAACATTGTCTTAACATGCAAAATCATTTGTCCTTGTTGTTTTTTTTTTTTTTTTTTAGGATATTTTGTCAAGCATCTTTGCTAGTCAAGGGTATGACGAATACCCAGAGACGTCCCTGCCAAGTCAGATACACAGCAAAGTGACAGTGACAGAGAGGTGAGTGAGAGAAGCAACCGTTCTATAGAGGCTGATAATCAACCTGGTCAAGTGAGGTTGTTAGGACCTTGAGAAACAAATAGATCAATGTACTATTACTACAGTTTGAAAGCATAACCTAATTTTTATTTGAAGGGCTAGATGTAGTCTAGAGCCAAGCTAGCAGCCATGAGACTTTGTGCACATCGGTGCTTTGAACTAAATGCAACAAATGCTAACATGCAAGCAGGTATGTTTACTATCTTCATGAATATAGTTTTATGTTTTGCATTTGCATATTTAGCAGCAAGCACAAAGTGGAGCTGAGGTTGATGGGAAAATCATTAGTTTTTCAGATATTTGGTCACAAACCTAAGTGTTGAAAAGATATCAGTTTTGACCTGATGATGGCTGATGGTAACATTTTGTGGCAATCCATCCAATGGTTGTTGAGATATCTCAGTTTGGAGTAAATAGGGGATCATGCTGTCAGCATTAATAAAACTTAAATCCGCTCTGATTTAATGTTGTAAAACAATTAAAGAGCGAGTTAAAGAGAGAATCATTTTTACTGTATTGTTTGGGAATTTAGCCAAAACATTCACACAAATGTACTATCCAATCTTGACAAACTTTCATTCACTTTTTGATAAGTTAATAACCAACAGGCCTGAGAATAATGTCCTTGGTAAAAAGAGAGGTGGTATAGCCTCTTAGACCTATTTCAAACTGTAAAAATCATATATCTTTGGAGCAAATTTACTTACTACAAGTGTTTGCATTACATTTGAAGCATTATTGATGTTTCTCAATAGAACCCTGAAGAAGAAGATATCGGAGTTAAAAAAGGGCTGGTTTCTGGAGAAGGACAAACGTATCCTTGAGGAGCTCAGGAGCCTACATTGTGACCCGCATCCCTTCTTCAGGGTCTTTCCATCAGAGTCAGACTTTAGTAAGTGGCATGTTCTCTCATTTGGGTCTTTTTCTGTCTGTATGCTTAAAGCCAAACACAGCATGCCTTAATTCATACAGACCTGAAGGCACACAGGCTCCACGGTTTACTTTGCATATCGCAACAACCGTTTCTGTCTCAATAGCGTCGTCTTATTATTTGTTTTAGCTTTTAAAATTGTCTTGATACTCTAAAGTTCCCCACTGGGCAGTGGATACCTTGTGTTTTTAGGTACATTGCTATCATCAGCTGCATGTTGGCCTTCCTTGAAGGTTTCTAAAAGCAACAAGGGTTTAACCTTTCTTCTATACAGCGTTCTGGAAGATTCTCATGGAGGGTCCTCCTGACACACCGTATGAGAAAGGAGTGTTTGAGCTGTACTGCCAGTTTGGTCCCGACTACCCAGTGAAGCCTCCACTCGTCCGCTTTGTCACACAAGTATCCTGCCAAAATACAAACAACTGAAAAGTTATGTGTTTATTTTTTTTTGCATGATATGTAGAGACCCACATGCTGTGATTGCAAAAGTATCGTTCATGACTATTAAAGTAATGTTATCTGTTAGCAATGTACACGTTGTCCTTAACACGATGACAGGTGTACCACTGCAATGTCAACAGTGTGGGTCGCATCTGCCACAACATATTTGACCGCAACTACAACGCTCACATCACAATGAGAGAGATCCTAGAAGCTGTGTATGGACTGCTCATCATCCCTGAGCCTGAGGATCCACTGGACAGGTGAGACACACACACACACACACACACACACACACACACACACACACACACACACACTGTGGTATGGTATGGATATGTCTTAAGCAGAGTTCAGTCAGTTCTGTTGGAGGAATGGAGGAAATCTGTAGCATCTCTGAACTCGTGATTCTGTTTCGAGGCTGATTTATTTGATCGAAGGGACTTTTTAAGAAGTTCGCCGTGGATGAGATTTTTTTTTTTTTTACTATCTTGGAAGAATAAGGCTATTTTGACAACAAAAACTGTCCAGTTAATACTAAACAATACATTTACCCAGAAGGTTGGACACAGTCACAGTCTCACCTGTACAATAAAATGGAATTCAATACAGCAGCTCTTTAGAAAAAGTACTGACCCAATCTCAGAAAACCCTGAACATTATAATGGCAGAGAGGTGATGACATTACATAAACTTGTTGAAAAATGTGACATATTTGACTTGCATATTATCTTTTTTTTCCTTTTTGAAGCATTTTGGCCGAAGAATTCCTGACGAGCCGTGAGACGTATGAGAGAGAAGCAGAGAAACATACAGAGGAAACAGCAGGAAACTCACTGGATGACATGGAGAAAGTAAATACTGAACACATCTGTGGTGGATATTACCTTTTTCTTCTATTGCATGAACATTATGTTTCATAATGTTTATTGTCTTTGTTTTAAAGAAATTGGTGGATCCTGTGCCACAATTCGTACCCCAACATCTGATCTGTCCGCTTACGAAGAAGATGTTTATTGATCCTGTGAAAACCATATACGGCACCGTGTATGAACGCAAGGCCATTGAGGAACACCTGAAACAGTGAGTTCATTTACTACTGTTGACAATAGAGTGAGTTCCTGGTAATAGTTATTTAAGTGACATATGAACACATCTTTTAATAACTTTTGAGCACACCACAAAGTGAAAAGACATCTTCATTTTGTACTTGTAGTTCTTAGTAAACACAGGCAGGTTAATGTCTGGACACAATATGGGGGGTATGAAACAGCTTTCACCTCATTAAAAAAAAACAAACATTGGCAGCATTCCCATGTATTTCCCCAGTTGATCTTACGCTCTTTTGCAGACACGAGTACGAGCCGTTGGCTGGCCCAGGACACGAGCTTGAAATGGGTGACATCACGGCAGACCAGGACATGAAGAAAATGGTGATGGATCATCGTTCTCGTCAAATTAAGTGAATCAGAGCAGAAACATTTTGAAGTTGAGGAAAGTTAGCTACACCTCAGTACTTTCATGCAAATTCATCTCTCTGAAGAGACGTTCGATAATTGTTTGATAAGCTTGTTCATACTACAAGTTTAGATTTAATGTTTCATAACGTACATTTCAAAGTTTCTTTTCATAATCATATTACACATATTATTCCCAACAATCATTCATACATTTATTTAATACATTTACTTTTTATTGGGTATAATGAATCAAAGTTTATTGCATTTCTCTTACTCATAAGTGTAACAATAAAGGATGAAGAAAAGAGGGATTGAGTGATGGATGCAGCTTTACTTCTTCATTTTCAACGATGTTGAAACATCTTTTCTTCAAGTCATCCAGTTAAATCTGATGTATTGTGATGATCTAGTTGTTTTTATGCGGTCATGCCATAGCCTGATGTTTCTAAATAAATAAAGTAACTACTATCTTTCACTTTGAAGTTGAAGAATAGTTTTTGTCAACTTTTGAATAGTTTTTTTTATCTTTTTAAGAGTAATTAACACTTTTACATACAATATCCAGTTGAAATATTCATGGAACAGAGTTTAAGTTTATGAACATGCAAATTGAATTTGGGTGGATAGCCTTATGTGACAATAAAGGATATTGCAAAACCGGTGTGTCTTGGCTTATTATCAACATTGTTGAAGATAAAAACATAAAAAAGGTAAAAGGCTTTAAGGTTTATATTAATTTGTTTACATTTTTTTAAAATTGCCTCTATGACTAACATTGTTATACCATTAGATTATTACTACTCATGCATTTGTGTGTGAGCAACATTTTACTGTTGTAGTTGTTGAGGTGCAGTTTTTCTATAGTACTGAAACTAATGATTATTCCATTGTGGATTATTTTCTCAATTTATTGGTTGGTTTGTAAAATTTAAGAAAATAATTAGAAACGCAATCACCAGAGCCCAAAGTGACACTTTGACTATGCTTTTTTCCCAAACAATAGAATAAAAATTGTTAGAATTATTAAATAATTATTTTATTATTGTTACTATTAAAATTAAAGCCACAAATCTTCATTAATATTTGAGTAAATGTATTTTCCATCTTCAGTAGATACTGTAGGCTACAGCTTTCACCAACGTGTATTTAGTTATTGATCATCATTATTGATATTGTTAAAGTATTACCTCAGTGCCAGGGGACCAATCACCGCAGCCCATTCTGCCCTACGTCACATCCGTACTTCCCGATGCATCAGCGGAGCACGCGCTGGAGAGGGATGGATAGAAAGGAAATAATCACTCTTGTTTTCAAACTAAATTTCCTTGAATTCGAAAAATGTGTATTTAATACATTATAGGCCAATACACGACATTAAAACTGATTCCTTAAAGAGATTAATGATATAATTTTTATGTTTGTACGTTTTGTTTCTGGCTGAACGTCAAAAACACCGGCGTACACTGCGGTCAGTAATGGTTTTATTTTGAAGGTCGTAGCCGGAAATGTTTCATATATATGCGTAAACCGAGATTAGGGTGAGATTGAGTGAAGACGGCTCGTCCAGAGTGAGACAGGAGGAATCAGACAGCAGGTGAGTGTTGTTACTGGATTTCTACCAGAAGTTTAATTCATTAGTATATTTACTTTATCTCTTTGCTCACGGTCGCTTCAACTTCCAGTGAGACTATAGAGCTAAATTTAATTTAACAGGTGTGTTAGTTAGTTTGTCTTCAGCGGTAAAAACATTAGCTTCAATTTAAAGTCTCCAAATGTTGACGTTATAACGTTATATGTCTTTATTTCTAACTCTTGTGAATGACACGTGTGACAAAACAGTACTCTCAGACTGTAGTAACGACACTAAATGTAACGTTAATTGTCCATTACTTCTGCAGTCATGATACTAACGTTAGTTTACTTATTAATCGCTTTTGATTACTTTTGTTAGTTAGCCATGATCTCAGAGTTAGCCTAGCATTTGCAACGGCTACTTCAATATGTTTGATTAGTGTCGACAATAATTTGAAATAGGGTTTTAAATGTGGTGATCTTTTGATTTACTCTCAACTATTCCTGTAGTGTAGTTTCTGCAGAGGGGTAGCCTGACTTTCCTGCGGAACCTGTTCACACCTGTTCACACCTGTTTAAAGGTTCACAGGCATCCTAAAGAGTGGAAACACTGAAACTCGTCTTGAAACAGTCGCACTGAATCACAGTGGGTCTGTCTGTAGTGTAACTCCCTGTTAGGACTGTAACATGATAGTAGAATTACTTACAGAAGGGCCACAGATTTTATGTCAACAGTAGGGGTGGGACACACACCACACACACACACACACACACACACACACTGGATTAAACCCATTAAAACTCACCAACATACTGCAGGTGTTGGTAGATAAACACGATACTTTCTTCTCTCTTTTGCCAGCATGTCATTAAATACAGAGAGGAAAATGTATGCATTAATTCCCTGCTGATAGACATTGTTGTTAATGTTAAAAAATAGTTTTTCAGGCAGAAAAACTATAATCTGAGACACATTTGAATGAATGCATCTCTTACTGAGAGGTACATAAATGCATATTTTCCTGAGAAATCTTCATTTACAGTTGGCAGTTAAAATAACACATGAACAAACAAAAGCTAAAACACGTTGCAAAGCAAATTGGATATTAATGGTAGCTTGTTTTTAAGATTATTTTGTTGTTTTCTGTTATGAAAGATGGCAATATTATTAGTACAAGCTGTAAACCTCTTGTATAATTGATTTGTTTTAAATTTGCTTTAACTTTTGTACACATCAATAATAACCCCACTCCCTTCCTCTGCTTTTGTACCACATGTCTGTCCTTTTAGAGAGATGTGGTGGGTGCTGTGGGTGCTCGCCGCCTTGCTGGCTCTCTTCTGCAGTTTTGATGTGTGGTACTTCCTGCGGGCTGCCGTTGTGATTCTCCGAGCCTGGTTCCAGCCTCCGATCTGGGATGTCACAGCAGAGCAGACCCTAACAGGCCGGGTCACTCCCAATGACATCGACATGTGCCACATGAACAATGCCCGTTACCTCCGGGAGTGTGACTTTGCCCGCTTCTCTCTCTACATGCGTAACGGTGTGTTCAAGGCAGTGCGAGCCCTCAGAGCTTCAATGGTCGTGGGGGCCACCACCATCCGTTACCGCAGGGCTCTGTGTATAGGTGAGGGCTACGAGCTGCGGAGTCGCATCGTTACCTGGGATGACAAAGCCTTTTTCCTGGAGCAGAGATTTGTGTCAGCAAAAGATGGGTTGGTGTGTGCCGTCATGTACTGCAAGCAGAGTGTCATACGCAGTAGCCCAGACAAGATCATGCAGCACCTGTGTAAGCGGAAGGTAAGGAACAGATGTTTAAACATGCATTCAGATTTTATACTGGGAAAGGTGATTTAAAAAAAAAAAAAAAAAGTCCTTTTGGTAATTTACAGACATTAAGTCTATGGTTTGCTTCTTGCAGGTGGAGTGCCCTGAGTTTCCAGAGGACCTTCAGCATTGGGTGAACTTCATCTCCGCCAGCAGCCAGGCCCTCAGAGCAGAGAGTGGACTTGATGAGAAGAACAAATAAGGCACTAATTTACCCACTCAGGGTTAATAAGGCCTCAGAGAGAGACGTTTTTTTCTTCTGTTTACAATGAGTTTACTTGAACACACATGTGCCTTCTGAAAACGAGCTCTACTTAGCCCCGAATACTTACCTATGTCAACACTAAAATAACTATCTCACTACATTGTTTGGAGAGGCTGAAAATGGATTACTTATTGAGCAATAGGAAAGTAATATTATTGTATAAACTGTATTCTATTGTACTATGACAGCAATAAAACAAATCCATTTTGAAGTCCTCTTTATGCACTTTTAAGCTCTTCGAATGCACTTTCAAGACTTTAGTTTAGTGTCTTTCTGTGAGCAAATGTGAAACTATGAGAATAGTTTGGTCAAAAACAGTGAAATCAGTGATTCTGGTTACAAATCAGAATTTGACTCGAGATGTTGTGATAATGAAGAAGTACAGTACAGAGTGTCACATCAGTCACATTGTCTCTCTATAGTGGGATAGAGACGGAGCGACCCCACAGCAAGTACGAGGTAATTTATCTGCTCAGTTTTACATGAAAAATAAAATGCCTGACATTAACAGTAGCTATAATATTGCATTAACACATTGACACTGACAGCAGTGGTTACTATAGCAACAGGATGTTAAACTGAAACAGACTTTTTGGCTGAGCTCTCTACATGTATAAAACTTAACATTTACTATGCTATGAACAGAATAAGACTTAGAACTAGACAACACAAACTTTTAAAAAAAAGTTTTAATTAAAAAATGGATTTACAAATGACAGCCATTACACGTTTGATGTGTGTCTCTGAGTAGAAAAAGAAGCCGACAATCAAGTTAAATAAATAAATGAATGATAATAAAACATAATAATAAACAGAAATAAGATGAATCAATGTAGATAGAGAACATAAAAGAGTAATAACGTCAAACATTGAGTATGAAAACATGTATCCATGTAACCCATGGCAACAAGGCAGCCAATGAAACTTCATGCTGTCAATTATGATCGATTAAACGTTTAATCTCATTCAGGTTTACATACGGTGGCCCTGAGGTGCAAATCAGAAAACACAACGACGTTAACCAAACCGGAAAAGGTAGGTACCCTCGTCGCTGATTGGACAAAAGAACTGGTCCGTCCTTTGAACCGGAAACACAACACCGCCAGACCTATGCGTTCAAGTTGCCAAATCTGAAAACTCAAACCACTAAATAAGGAAAATATTGTATTAACACGTCCATGTTAATGTGGGATACCTAAGAGAGGTAGAAACAGCGGTTCCAATAGTCCATATCTATGTGTTTTCTGATTTGCTGTTGTGATTTGCACTCCAGGGCCACCGTACTTATAGGAGGTAATAGTGACTGTAGGAGGCAATTTACTCCAGAAGGTGGCAGTAGTGCACCACAGACGATACCAGCTACCACTTAAACCCCAAAAGAAGAAGAAGAAGCACGTGTCGTCACACACCCGGAAGTCATGTTCATTCAATCTACCGGTTTCTTCAGGCGACATCGCAGCCAATGGTAGCGCTCTCTCCCGGACGCACAGTGAGTTAAACGCTCATAAAAAGACACCCTCACTCTGTCTGTGCTTCTTATTTAAATGTCGACATCGAGAAAACGTAAAAAAAAAACCCGAGTTGACGTGTGAAGAAGGTGATCTTTGTTCTGCAGAGGCCAGCAGCTGCTCGTAGCTAGCAGCTAAGCTAACAGATTTGGCTGTGACAGCAGCATTAGCTTCCTGGTCGCCTCAAGGTTGTGCTGGCTGCTTTAGGAAATATGCTGCTTCCCTGTTTGTAGCATTAGTGTTAGTACAGCGACTGATAGAAGCACTGACTTCTTGTTTGTTGTTGTTTGTTTTTTTCTTCCAACCTGCACTGACATTGATGAGGTCAACGGATCGTTTGATCTGATCAGGAATGTGGAAACTGCTTTGAAAAGGAAATAGCTTTAGACTGTCATCATTTTCAGCTGTTTCAGTCATGTGGAGATGTTTTTGTTGTGATATGTGGCTTATAATTAGCCTTGAAATGGATCCATGCTGGTGCTTGTCTCTAATATGTGGACTGTTGTTGCAGAGAGATGTTGCTGCTGGTGCTGGGTGCCCTCCTCCTGCTCTTCTGCAGTCTGGATGTATGGTACTTCCTACGGGGGGCCCAGGTCTTCTTCCAGGCGTGGTTCCAACCCCGAATATGGGACATTCTAGCTGAGCAAAGCATCGATGGCATGGTCCTTCCCCATGATTTGGACTACATGGGCCACATGAACAACTCTCGGTATCTAAGGGAGTGTGACTTTGCCCGCTTTCACCATTACATGCGAAACGGGCTGTTCATGGCCTCACGCAAACTGGGGGCCAAAATGGTGGTAGGGGCCTCCACCATTCGGTACCGGCGCTCTCTGGCTTTCCGTGAGGCTTTTGAGATTCGGACCAAAGTACTGGGATGGGATGAGAAGGCGTTTTACTTGGAACAGCGCTTTGTGTCCAAGAGAGATGGTTTTGTCTCTGCAATCATGCTCTGCAGGCAGAATGTGGTGCGCTGCAGCCCAGAGAGCATTATCGAGTTCGTCTGCAAAAGGAAGGTGAGGAATAGTGAGAGGTGGAGAAAAGAATGGGTATGACTGTGGTAGGGTGCCAAGTGACAATCCTTTTCATTATCAATTAATCTGCTGATCATTTTCTCGATTAATTGTGTTGTTAAAAAATCCTGAAATGGGGCCTTTACAGTTTCTTAAATCCAAATTATTAAAAAAAATATATATATATTCTGTTTAATATTGAATTAGACAAAGTTGAGAAGCTGGAACTAGAGAATATATCTCTCTTTGTGTCGGAGAAATGACTTAAAAGAATAATTGACTGTTAAAATAGCTGACAATTATTTTTCTGTCCTGCAACTGATTGATTATTTCAGCTCTACCATTTGGTCAAACAAGTTGTGAAATGTCCATCACAAGTTTAGAAAACCCAATGTGATGTCTTCAAACCACACATTCTGAGAAGCTGGAATCAGGAGATGTGTGTTTACCTTTAAAAAAAACAACAAAAAAAAACACAAACATTATTGATTGTCAAAATTGTTGCCAACTTATTGCCCATCAATTGACTTATTATTTCAGCTCTAGACTGTGGTTTCATTCTTCTTCAGCACTCTGATAATTTTGTGTTTGTGTGCAGATCGAGTGCCCCGAGTTTCCCGAGGACCTCAAACACTGGATCAGCTTCATCTCAGCCAGCAGCCAGGCCCTGAGAGCAGAGAGTGGACTGGAAGAGAAAAACAAGTGAAGCCACACCATGTGTCACGAGTGTAGTCCCACATATCATTTGAATTGCACGCACTCATACAGTAAACATACATGCACACGAACAGTTAAACATCGTAGAGAGTTTTTAGTTGACTTGACAAGATTCCATTTATCTTTCTGTTTCTGGGTCGATCCTGCCTGCTGTGTATTTTTGTATGGTGTGAATAGAAATACTGCACTTGGGACAGCTGAATATGAAAACTTGAAGTCTAAGGTATTCCATGTTTTAAAACACAATTTATTGTATGCATTGGGATCATAATGAAAGTTCTCTCAGAAGAAAGTAATACAAGAACGTAGCTTTATCCTTGCAGCTTATTCAGCAGTTGACTACGAATAGACTGGCTTTAGACATCTTCATTCTCATTTAGCAAACTTCAGATAAGCATGTAGAGAAAAAAAAATGTTAATCTTCCACTGACATCAATGCATGTTTTGAAACAAACAAGATTTTTCTTTGTGCCTGTTTCTCTTGATTAGCCGTAGTTCACACTTACAATTTCAGAGATCTATAACTTTTTACGAAAAAAAAAAATGTAGGTGTGATGAAATACTTGAAGGGACATCGTAAACATGTAAACACTGACAATTGTTTTTAATCTTCCCATCAGCATTTTGCACAAAGTGTAACCCAAGAGAGCAGACAAACTGAATTCCTGTCAATAATCTGAAAGGGAATATTTGAAGGATCCTTTTATCAGTACAGTATCGTTCTTTTACTGAATTTAAAATACATGCATTTAAAGGGAGGGGTTCTTGATTGGAATAGCATGTAATTGTAAGAGGAAGCGCTTGAATCTGAATAAACAGGCATAATAAGCAAATGCTAATACGAGGTTGCTGGCAACTTTTCAGAACCTGCAACGCACGATAAACACTGATGTGAGGATGATGTCTTGTTATTATTGAGACGGCCTTTTCAAGTCTTGAACCTTCCCTTTAATGCATCTAAGCTTTAGTTTGTGACCAAAGCAATGTATCGTTCTGAATGAAGAGGAAACAAAAGCAATTTATAAAGATGTATGTCTAATCTGTTATTTATGTTGTGAATGCACTGACCAATCCAAGAAATCCTGTTCAGTTAATTTAAGTTTGAAGATATGCACTGTCCTTTATTTTCAACTTATATATAATTTATTGAAACTGATAAATGTACCAAACTTTATTTATTGTGTTTGTTATTTATTTGAAGGCATTTTAAATTAAAAATGCATTGGACTACTAATGCACTGTGTTGTGTGGTCCTATATTGAGTGTTTATTTACCTCACTAATTATTTACAGCTCGGTGACGCTACTGGATACCAGTACAGCCAGTATGTAAATGATGTGCTAAAGGAACTCAACAAAATGAAACAGAGGTCTATTCAATACAAGCAGCTCTAGGCAATTGTAAAAAAAATATAAAAAGCAGTTAAACTGACATTTCTGGATTGAAGAATTTGTCGTCTTTGTCGGTCAAACTGGATCTTAGTGTGTACCTTTTAGATAAATAACAGTTTTTTCAGGGTGTAGTGAATAGATTTTGGCAGCTGTGTAATGTCTACATTTATTCAAGTAAGGTAATTTAGTACAATTTTGAGATGCTTTTACTTTCCATTTTCTTTTACTTTATATGCCTACTTCACTGCCCCACAGAGGCAAACTACCCCAAAGCCTAAAAAGTATGTAAAATTACATTACAAATGAATTTTACATATAAATACAATACTGATCATCCAGAAAGTTTGAATGCAGCTACATTTATACATCAAAATCTGTCAAAATAAAAGCACCATCTCCATGCAACTACAAAAGAGCATTAATTAAAAGTCAACTGAACTCCATAGCTCCATCTTGATCAGTTTCAACATGAAAATCCCCTATTAATACCCGGCTGCAGAATTTCTTAAAGGTTTAAATTTGAAGTGGATCCTGGTACCTTTTGTAATACGACTGATGATGAAACTTTAATGCACTTTTTCTCATGTCCTGTGTCCCGAAGATTTTGGTCAGAAATAAAGAATTACGTAATGTAACGCCATTTATTTTATACAGACAATTCAAATTCGTCTACTCCTGGCATGATTAATATGACCATTCCTATGGGTAAATATATCCACTGTAACAAATGGAGGAATAGCAAACCCTCATTTGTATGTTTTTTAAATGACTTCAAATAATTTTTCAGACTTCTTGTTGTTTTGATTGTCACCCTTTTTTTTTTTTTTTTAATATTCCCTCTTCATGGTTTGAATTTGCTTCTTATTTTTGCTGGAGATTAAGATTTACTGTCCATTTTTTATATTTCTACATGTTTTTATTTCTATAAATCCCCCATTTCTTTTCATGTTTATTCCATGTATGTATTTTTTAAACTGTACATTTAACCTTTATATTCTTAATATATTGTATGTCTATTACATCTGGAATATATGTAACGAAAGCAATTTCCCCCTGGGATTAATAAAGTATTTCTGGTTCTCCATGAGTTCCTGTATGTTTGTTATTGTGGGTTTGAAAAACAAACAACCTAATAGCTTACATAAAATACAACTTTTCCCCTTTATTTTCTGATTTAGTGATTATTATTATTATTATTATTATTACATATTTAAAAGTGACATTTTGAAATTAAGAGTTCTTTAAATATTATATATATATATATATATATTTAGTATTAACTTTATTTAAATTTTCAATTTACAAATTATGTCAAACACTAACACATAACACAATACATATGAGCTGTTTCACAGATACAAAAACATAGTCGAAAAATAAAATAAATAAATTTACAAAATACATTCCTGAGATCTCAGATAAGGTAGAACCTAAATAATAAAAAACTAAATAAATAAACACTAATAGCTAATACAATATCATTATGTCAACACATAAATGTATTTAACAATCTCCAATCATAAATTTCATTAAATGCCAGAGGGTACATCAAATATCTTTTCATAGTTATCTAAAAATTGTGTATTCTTTTTATTTTTAACCAGGGCTAAGGATTTATAAAGTGAGCTAAATTCATCATCAAAGGTTGGCTTGGAGGCTGAACAGTTTTGCTTATGAATAAAATATTTTCCCAATAAAATGAAAAAAATAACTAAATACTGAAGACACTTAATAACAAATAACATCTTTTAGGGGAAAACAGTACAACATGTTAACATGGGTGAAGACATGAGAACACAAGTCTGACCAAAATTGCATTGTGACATTACTTTCAAAAAACAAATGGTTTAAAGTTTCATCAGCATGCGCACAAAAAACACAAGAGCTGTCCTTTAAATATTAAATCCCCCCGCTTCAACTTCCGGTGACGTCTCTCTAACCACGCCCCCCTTTCTCCTTCACTTCCCGTAAACAAAGCAGCAGCTGTCAGTCAGATTCCTGTGTTTTCGCTTATTTTCGACACAGTCTCCAGTGTTATCGACGATGGCTCACGCCGGAGTGGTCCTGGACAAGGACCAGTTCAACTGCTCGATATGTCTGGACGTCCTAAGGGACGCTGTGACCATCCCGTGCGGACACAGCTACTGCTCGGACTGTATACAGAACTACTGGGACCAGGACGACTACCTGGGGGTCTTCGTCTGTCCACAGTGCCGGCAGAACTTCAGCCCGAGGCCGCTGCTCGCCAGAAACACCATGTTGGCCGACGTGGTGGAGAAATTCAAAAAGACTGGACTCCAGGAGGACACGACGCCTTCAAACCAAAGTTTTGCCGAGGCCGGGGACGTGGAGTGCGACGTCTGCACCGGGAGGAAAAACAAAGCTGTGAAATCTTGCCTGGTGTGTCTGGCCTCCTACTGCGACGTCCACCTCCAGCCCCACTACGAGTCCGCCGCGTTCAAGAAACACAAGCTGGCGTCGGCCTCCAAAAAGCTCCAAGAGAACATTTGTGGTCGACACGACAAGCTGCTGGAGGTGTACTGTCGCACCGACAAACAGTGTATCTGCTATCTGTGTCTGACTGATGAGCACAAAGGACACGACACGGTGCTGGCAGAGGCAGAAGTACAGCAGAAACAGGTGATCACATCGTCTGATTGAGTGGATTAAGATTGTTGTGTAAAAGTTTATTTACAAAGCACGATTCAAACACAAAAGGTAGATTCAAGGTGCTGTACAACACAGTTCAGAGTCAAACCGACCCACTTAAAAATTATTTTAGAAAAGCATAATAAAAAGAAATTAATATAAAAGTACAGTAATAATGATACCTTGGGTTTGAGAATAGAGTTTAAATACTTTAATGGTTGCAGAACACATTAGGGCTGCAACTAGTGATTATTGATTAATCTGATTATTTTATCAAGTAATCAATGTGTTAAAAATGTCAATCAGTGGTTCCCAAAGCCCCAACATGTCTTGTTTTGTCCACAACCAAAAGATATTTACTGTCATAGACGAGTAATGAAACCAGGAAATATTCACATTTAAAAAGCTGAAATCAGAGAATTTTCACATTTCTTTTTTATTTCTTAAAACAATTAGTTGATTACCAAAATAATTGAAGATGAATCAATGAATTGTTGAAGCTCTAAACATATGGAGCACTAAGATATCAACACCAAAAAGCTTAAACTATTTTTGTAACCATTTTTTAAGCAAAATCATTTGATGGTTTGAGGAGTTGAACGATGATACACATCTCCATGAACTAAAAGTGACTTTAATTTCCAATTTTCTTGATGTTTTTCCTCAGAGGCAGCTTGGTGACATGAAGCAGAGCTCTCAGATAAGAATTCATCAAAGGGAAAAGGAGGCCCAGGAGCTGAGACAAGCCATTTTCTCTCTCACTGTAAGCCCCATCACCCAGTTTGACCTGATGCATTAATGTTAGATCTTTACATAGATGTTACCTCTACCAGAGTCGTGGTAACAGTTCATAATTTACCGTTTTATCCCCCTTAAAACCGCCCAAACCCACAGATACACTCTCTTGTAGCTTCTGTTACAGCCTACTACATGTCGGTCTGTTGTCTCCCTCTAGCGTTCTGCTCGCGCAGCAGCCGAGGACAGCGACGCCGTCTTCACTGAATTGATTCGTTCCATCGAGGTGAAGCGTTTTGAGGTCAGAGAGCTGATCAAAGCCCAGGAAAAGATGGCCGTCAGTCAGGCCGAGCAGCTGCTGGAGAAGATCCAGAAGGAGATCGCTGAGCTGAAGAAGAACGAGGCGGAACTGGACAAACTTTCCCACACTGAGGACCACATCCATTTCCTTCAGGTAGAGCTGCTCAGATTAGTAGATTTTTTTTTCTTCTGATTTCCAGGACACACAACTCAAACTGTTGGCCTCTCTTGGTTTGTCTCTCGCAGAGTTGTCAGTCCTCCCATGCTCCACCTGTGCTGTCAGTGTTGCCGTCAGTCACTGTTGACTCCAGCCTCACCTTTGGCCCAGTGATGACAGCTGTGTCAGACTTTAAAGGACTGTTGCAGGAGGTCTGCCAGGGAGGATTTGTCTCCATCTACGAGAGAGGTAGACACAAAATATCAAATTAGTGTTTTTATTTGATACAAGCTATTCCGTGAGCTATAATGTTTATGTGATTCCTCTCTTTTACAGTGAGAGACGTAGTCATTGTAGGTCCTCCAAATCCGTCCGTACAGCAAGACAAAACACAGCCCAGTGACGGTGAAGAAGGTGTACAAATGGAAGCACAACTAGGTGAGTCTTTAAACCGGTTCATGCTCGTCTTTAAAATGGGATTTGGGTGAGTCTGTCACAAAAATTCAGCTTTTATTACAGGTGTTAAAACGCCCCCAAAACTTGTGATATTCAGGGATGCATCTATCAACCTATGCAGCTCAGTGTAAATGTAAATGCACCTTCACAATCATATTTAAAGACCTGTTGTCTAACTGTATAGGATTCATATATTCTGTACTGTAATTGATGTTCTCACTCAGCTGCTTTTTCCTTTATGTTGTAAAGCCCTTTTGAAGCAAATTTATGGTTTGGGGTTATATGAACAAAATTAAAATGGTTGCAACCAATGGTTATTTTCAGTATTGATTCATCTGTCCATTGTGTTGTAGATTAATTGATTTAAAATATAAAAAAAGGAGTGAAAAATGTCCGTCAGAGTCCAAAGTGAAGTCTTCAAACGGTTTGCTTTTTCCAACAGTGCAACAAAGATATTATATTTTTAATGATATCAACCAGAGAAAAGCAGCAAATCATCAGATTGGAGGAGCTGAAATCAATGAATATTTGTTAAAAGTTACTAAAATGATTGATTTTCAAAATAGTGTCATAGTGTTTCAAAATATGGTGTGTGTGTGTGTGTGTGTGTGTGTGTGTGTGTGTGTGTGTGTGTGTGTGTGTGTGTGTGTGTGTGACCTTAAATAAGTTATTTTTCAATTGGTTAATCCATCCATCTGTGTATCTAGGTCCAGATAGTGTTTAAATATTAATTGGTGATATTATTAGGGAGTACTGACAACATGTGATGTGAATATATTGATACATTTATGCACTTGGTAAATCCATCCATCCTTATTTACATTGATACTTTGATTGCATCCTATGTGACATTTAAAAAGTTTTGCATTTAGCTTTTTTCCAACTGAACCCTGCAGAAACCCTTCCCATCCTAACCACATTATCATGCAGCACATTTTGTTTATAGTAGAGTTTTCTGCACAAGTAGAAGGACGACAGTGCTGCAGATTCTGACAGTGTGGACTGGCGAGGCTCTACAGTAACGGTGTTTGTTCTCTTTGTGCTTACAGCGACCCTCCCACCTGGCCTAGACCAAAGTCCTGTGAACCATCTCAACCCTTTCCTCCCTCCAGGACCTCCTCTGCCCACGTTTGCCTTCTCACCATTTGGTAAATAGGGCTTTAATAACTATATTACTATAATATTTACAGTCCGCCCTGGTATCTCACCTGGTAGAGCATGCACCACATGCACAAAGGCTGAGTCCTTACCGCAGCGGCCCAGGTTCAGTTCCAACTTGTGGCCCTTTGCTGCATATCATCCCCTCTTTATCCTTTACTTTCCTGCCACTCTTCAGCAGGGTAACATATTTTCTGCAACGGCAGAAGAGGTATTGAAACCTTTTACTTAAAATTAAAAAAAACAACAACATAGAAATACTTAATTACAGATAAAAGCCCTGCATTCATAATTTTAAAGTAGAAGCACAATACAAGTACTGGCAGTAAATGTACTTAAAGTATAAGTGATGTACTCATGAAGCCACAGAATGAACCCTGTCAGAGTTTTATTACTGGAATTATATAAATACTGATACGATTAAGAAGAAAGCAGCCTCTTAATGTGCATGCGTGTGTGCGTGCGTGCGTGCGTACGTGCGTGCGTGCGTGCGTGTAATGAATCAGAAGATCTGAGATGAGTATTCTGTACATGAACGTGGTAATTTACCGAGAAACCTGCAAATTGAGTGATAGCATCTGTCGTACCTCGTCAAAACAACTGTAAATCAGTCGCTTCCTCATAACATTGCATCTTACCGTTAAATGGTTATGTTTATGATCTGTCCAGTACAGATTAAGTCCAGGAACATGTTTGTGCGCTCTCCTTGTCATAACGTTTTTGCTGCCTCGGGGTGCTGGAGACTAATAATTCCTCCTCTGTCTGCCCAGGCTCCAAACTCTCCTCAGGATCCAGACAGAGACACATCCAGCGACGCACTCACACCAGGAGGAAATAGACTTGTAGAGGACATCGAAAACCAACATTTCACATGCACCTGCACGGGCTGAATGTCATTATACCTCAGTGCTTTCTTCTCCGTTTCCTCTTGCAGATGTGCACTGACACTTATGAACTGTACATTTAATAATTCACCGCTTGACATTAATTTAATTGTTTCGTTTTCACCAAGTATGAACAAGAAATGAAATGAGGAAACTATTTGCAAGTGCCACAGGAGACCTCATTGACACTGCTTACTTATTGTATTACGCAGCACAAGGCAGGACTGAACTCACAACATATTGCCTTGAGATTTTAGTTATTTTTTAACACTGTTATGCTTTTATAATTACTTTGCATTTTTTAACCAAAAACAGAACAGAACAATAACTTTGCTTTACAGACATGTGTAATAATATATTGTGATTCGTGACTTGCTGACATTAAAAAGCAAACACTTGTACAAACTGAACTTTCTCAAGGTTGGTGTTTATATGCATGAGGGCTGGTTTACATTTCATTGTACTGTAAAAAGAAATAATAAGGGTATAAGGTGTCTGATTTAGAAGTGGAAAAACAGGTCGACTGCGCACACAAACACTGCGGTGCATTCACAGGTCAGTGCATCGAATATGAACTTATCTAATGTATATTTAGGAGAGGCAGTTTCAATAGAAGGTTGCTCTTTGCACAGTTGGCTTTATCAAGGACAGCCTGTCTGCTGTGATTGGAGGCTTCAGGCTGCAGCAGGTGAAACCTGAGAAGCTGTTATGAGCACACCTGTGAGCCACGCCCCTCTTTGTCCCTGCCAGTTTCTGTTCGGAGTGTGTAGGAAATGGCAGCAGCAACAATCTCTATTGAACAAGACCAGTTTTGTTGTTCAGTGTGTCTGGAGGTTTTAAGAGACCCGGTGACGATCCCTTGTGGACACAGTTACTGCTTGGACTGTATTGAAGACTACTGGAACCGGGCCAAGCAGAAAGGCCAGTACAGCTGCCCTCAGTGCAGGCAGGAGTTCCATCCGAGACCTCTGCTGAGTAGAAACACAGTTCTTGGGGAGGTGGTGGAAAAGTTTCAGAGGTCTGGATTTCCAGATGAAGCTCAACACTTGGCTAAACCTGAAGAAGTGAAATGCAGTGTCTGCACTTTGAGAAAAAGCAAAGCTGTTAAATCCTGCCTTGTTTGCTCGGAGTCTTACTGTGCGGCTCACTTGAGAGTCCACGAAGAACGCTTTCACGGGAAGGCCCATAAATTGATCCCAGCTTTAGAGCAGTCGAGAGAGAAGCTGTGCCCACAGCATGATAAGTTACTGAGGCTGTACTGTCGCACTGACCAGCAGTACGTCTGTTCCCAGTGTGTGAAAGACAGACACAAGAGCCATGATGCTGTCTCAGTGGTGGATGAGAGAGCAATGCAACAGGTGGGTGTGAGTTTTTCTTAAGATGCAGAAATTATCCATTTAAACGTTGTTGTTTTTTGTTCATGTGTTTCTGAGCAGCTTGAGTTGCAGTTAGATAAACTTATTTTATATAACTTATATTAAATTACTTTTTATTTTAGTGGTTTTAAATAATATAGTTTTTGCATATCACAAGTTTTTTCACCAAAATTTTGACCATTACCTATATTTACTATTGCCAGTATGTGTTTGATTTAGTCATAGATGGTATTCCTCAGCCTTTGATACTTATAATAATATTTTATATATTTGTTTATTAATTTTGGGAAATGTATTTGTGTGTAACATTTAGGAGGATCTATTAACCATAATGGAATAAAATATTCATAGGTATGTTTTCATTAGTGTAATAGTTATAAACACCTGAAAATAAGAATCATTGTGTTTTTGTTACCTTAGAATGAGCCAGTTTTATCTACAGTGGGAGCCAGTCCTCTCCCATGGAGTCCGTCATGTTGAATCACCATATTTCTACAGTAGCCAGGAATGGACAAACCAAACACTGGCTCTAGATAGGGCCTGTCGTGATGTTTCGCAGCCACCGTAGTTTCCCTCATATGCTTGGAAGAGGAGGGTGAGAGGAGTGGTATTCAGTTGGTTGCAATCTGTAACCTCACTGTGGAGATGCCACTAAATCCTACACACTGGACCCTTAAAGTTTTTATTTTTTATTTCAGCATCATTGGGGAAACATTCCATAAATACCTTTCAGCATATTGAAAAAAAAACTAGCCTTCTGCACCTCCTCTTGGCTCTGTTTTCAGAATCACAGGTCATTCCAGAGAGAGAGCATTCCTATTGGCTGTTTTTTTGCAGTACAACGGACTCCTTCTGCTGCCGGTTGAACTTGTGTGGGTTTAGTGCAGCAGAGAGAGGCGGGAGGTTTTGCATTAGTTTGCTCAGGCTTTGACTACCCTAAGTATGATATGCAACATGAACACGGCACTGGAGACAGAAAGTCTGCATCACGAACTAGGTTGTGGAGATTGAAAGATGTGTGTATTTACCATTTTTAATGAGTGATACTATGGAGTTATGAGAAAATGCAGTCTTTTTAGAGCCTGACTAAAGGTTTTAAAGTTCCTTAATTGCCTCGATGAGCAGCTCCAACCGCTGAGCGCACTGATAAACGGGCCTAATTTGTATGTCTGGTGACTGATATTAAGGATATGTCTTTTATTGCCGGGTGTGAAGGCTTTCAAATATTGAATACAGGCAGTGTGGTGTGTGCCCTGGACTTGCAGCAATATCTTGTGCTCTGATGTTACTGTGGCAAAACTTTAGATGGATAGACCAAAGGCCTTCCAGTGCAATCCAATCCTTTTTGATTGTAAAATCAAAACTTGCCATCTTGAAAGTCAAGCATGAAAGAAATATTCGACTGAGCAGCCTAAGGGACCGCAATGTGTGATATTCATCTTTTTGTATTCTCTTAGAAAAAGCTCCAAGAAACCTCTTTGAAGTCCGTGCAGAAATTGAAGGACACGGAGAAGGAACTTAGATATGTTGTCAGATACATCAAGGTGAGTGTCTCTTCTCAATAGGAGCTTTAAATATGTCGTTGACATACTGTCTGCACTTAAAAGCGCGGTGTGCATGATTCCTGGAAAACCTTATCCTCCACAGCACTCTACGGAAGCGGCAGTGGAGGAGAGCGAGAGGATTTTCTCCAGGCTGATCCGCTCCATCGAGAAACAGAGCTGCGAGGTGAAGGAGGTGATCAGGGTCCAGGAGAGAGCGGCCGTGAGTCAGGCTGAGGAGCTGCTGGAGAAAATACAGAGGGAGATAGGCGAGCTCAGGAGGACTCATGCTGAGCTGGAAAAGCTTTCTCGCACTGAGGACCACATCCACTTCCTTCAGGTATGGAACAAAAGAGACAGTGTTGTGGGAAGAGGTCCAATCGACTTTTTATCAACTGGGAAATTGAATGAATAAAATGTTTAGACACACAGACGATCTTACAGGCTTTATCTCCACAAGCTCTGACTATTGCAACAGCCTCCTAACTTGGGGAAGAGAGAGAACTTTTTTAACCTGAATTAAGAGGCAATACTTAGTTAAATACTCAATGTGGCAACCTTGCTACATTGAGTATTTAACTGGTTATGAAACAGTGAATTAAATACTGATGCCTCTATCAGTGTTTCCTTAAGGGACCTCTTTTATATCACTGAGTAAACTGACAACCTTTGACTGACATATTTTATGCATATTTCATATCGTATTCAGTGCATAACAATAACAATACAGCACAAATAAACTGTTCAATTAACCCAAATGAACGCAATAACTGCAGTATGCTCGTGTAAAATGAGCAGTTTGGATGATTTGTGAGCAGATAATTTCCTGTGAATGTTGCAACTATTGAGTCTTCTTGTTATTTTTAACTTTTTATATAATTGTGTCTGTATTATGTATTTTTTAGCAATCATACATACTTAATAGGCTTCTCTTTTTTTTTGGACAAATTCAGTTTTCTTCTCCCTGACATTTGGCCATTGTTCTATTAGCTTTTTGGTTGTTTTAACTGTGTACTTTTGTAATGCAGGACGAGGTTGTTTAACAGAGTGAAGGGTCTGTGAATGTAGTTTGTGTTCAGGTCTTCACTGGGCCTTCATCCTGAGACTTGTTTTTAACATTATATTTGAAATAATTTAACAGTTTAAAGTAGTTTTCTTCATAGAAATGAATGAAATGTTGAGATATAGGCCTACTAAAAAAAACTTTCCTTACACCTCTTAAAATCAAGAAGGCCTCACGAGCACCCATGACAACCCCTAGTGGGGTCGGGACTCCCAGGATGGAAACCAGTGCTTTATATGACCTACAAATCTGTATACCTGTCAGGTCTCAAGACATATTAATCCAATACCATATTCCAAAAGGTCATCATTTGGAAGAACAATATTATTCTAGCGTAAAGATAAAATGTACCTTTTATACTTTTACATTTTCACTTGTTTTTAATTTCTTCCCTTCCCTAAAACTTTTATCATCATCCATGCTCCTTGATCGACCCAGCCAATATGATTTTGAGTGCAGTCTGGACTTAATGTAGTTTTGGGACCCACAAAGTGATTCCTTCCTGATTTGTGGAGGTTGTTGCATTTGCATTCAAATACTGTCCTTTTTAATTTGGTTGTGTTGCACATCACTACAGAAGTCCAAGTCCCTTCACTTCCCTACAAAGACTGTGGAGATGCCCAACACTGACGCACTTCCATACATGATGTATAAAACCATTAGAGGAGCCTTGGCAGATCTCAAAGACAGTCTGGACCAAACTCTTGAAAGAGAATTCACCAGGATCTCTGATAAGGGTACGTCTCTTGTAACTAATTGCCATAAAGACGATTATTTTGCTTTTAGGAAATTGTGAACAGGAAATAATGACTTTTCTTTCTTGTCTGCACCTTTAGTTGTTTCACTGAAGGAAACCAGCAATAAAAATACCTCTGAGAAGACTAAAGGTATGTGAGGTTTCTCTTTTAGCTGTCACTCTGACAGTTTACTAAACTCCTCCCCCAAACAGCAATTGTCCAATCATAGCTTAGCAACCGTAACTATGGAAGAGCAGGTCTGTAAGGCTTTAGGTTTAATTCATCAAATTCAGTGTCATAGGTATTCCATATATAGTAAAGTTATGAGTACTGAGAACAGTATTGGGCAGTAACTCATTAATAACTAACTAATTACAAATACATTTCAGTAATATTACATTTACCCCCAAAAATAATGAGTTAATTACATTTGTTGGCACCCCCTTACTCATTTTAAATTTCAACAATCCAATCACATCCGTGGATGAATTTTTGTAATCTTAACTAGTTTGGAAGATGGACAAATTGTATTACTTTTATTTTAACAAACTAAATTGGATTTTAACTGTCTGAATTTTGGGAAGAAGGAACACAATTACCAATTTTGTTGGAAACGTAATATAACTTTTGAAAAGAGTAATGACTTACAGTTTCAAATAAGTGCATCATCAAAATGATTTTGAAGCTGTTTTAACATGTTTCTTTTTAGTTTTAGTCAATAATAGAGTTGGAACGTGCAACTGGTGACGTGTTTTCTATTTTTTTTTTAAACAGTATCCTCATCAAAAAACAGGACTCAGCGGTGTAATGATCCTGTAGGTTTATGTTGTGACCATGAGTTTCTGTCATGACATAAACCTACAGTACATATCTGGGAAAATCTTGTTTTATCCATAATTTTGGCATGGTGGACAAGTCTTATTACTACCATACCCATGAGCCACTGTTGCCATGGAGAAGTGGGAGGTGTGAATCAGAGCGGTAGCGAAGTCAACATGGCTTTGTTGTTACAGCTGAAAAAAGCTCAAAACACAGCCGCATTGTTCCTGAATTCACACACAATAGACACAGAATTTAAAACAGATTTAAAAAAAGGCGCAGCTTTTGTTTTCAACTTCCAGCTTTGTGATTGGACGTTTCTTCCTGCAATGCACCTTGGGAATTGTAGTTAACATCTACCTTGAAGTTTTTAATGTACACAGGCTTCTACATTTACCTTTTTTAACGGAGAACCAGATGTTTTCTAACACAGTGCTTTATCTTTTACACTGATGACAAACAATAGCTTCTTGCACATTGCAACTCTATTTTGTTCTGTTTAACATCTCTCTAACAGCAACAGCTAAAGACACAGACACCTCATACGACTCTGAGCCGAAGACAAGAGCTGACTTTCTACAATGTGAGTGCAATTATTTACCTCACTAACATCTATCTTTATGAAACCAATGACCTATTTCATCTCTGACAATGTGCATCTACTGTGTCCAGATCACAATGATATAACCCTGGACCCAAACACAGCCAACCCCTATCTGAGCTTCTCTGACAGTCGAAGAGGGGTGACCACGCGCTCTGAGCCACAGCCCTACCCAGATCACCCGTCTCGCTTCACCAGCTGGGCCCAGGTGCTGTGCAAAGCTGGGATGGCCGGACGCTGCTACTGGGAGGTAGAGTGGGCTGGTAACGGAGGGGTTTCCATCGGTGTCTGCTACAAAAACATGGGCAGGAGTGGAGGGGGGAGCGACTGCAAGCTCGGACACAACTCCAAATCCTGGAGCCTGGACTGCTCTTACGCAGTCTGTTCATTTCAGCACAATAAGGAGAGTGTGACCGTCGCTGCTCCCTGCAGCAACAAGATAGGAGTGTATCTGGACTTCAGGGGTGGGACTTTGTCTTTCTATAATGTTTCTGATACTATGGTTTTACTCCATAAAGTCAAGACTACATTCAACCAGCCCGTATACCCAGGATTTTGGGTGGGGTTGGGCTCTACTTTGAAGCTGTGCTCTCATCAAGCATAACAGCTCTCAAGTATGGGGTTCAAAATACTTATAATGGAATAATCATGAACAGAGACAAAGGTTTGTGCTCAAAACTTAGCATTTAATAACTGTGAAAGCCGGGAGCAGCAGCAGCAACACTTTGGTGGAGCCGGTACAGAGCTGGTGGAGCTTAGATCTTATTGAAGGCAGCGACATCTACACTCTGGATCTACAAAGGAAGGAAAAATATGTCAAAGTGTATATTTATTTGAACATATTTATGGTCTTATATGTTGACAGATTGTGTGTCAAAAGTATTATTTAAAATCAATAAAGCATTTAATGTCATACAGATTTACAGACCCTCCCTCACATTTCAAGAAATACTTATTTGCCTTCTAGCAGAGATAAGATGGATACCACTCTCGTACCCAGTCTATTCAGCTTAGCACAAAGACTGGAAATGAGTAAACTGCGTGCCTGGCTCTGTCCAAATGTAACACAATCCACCTACCAGCACCTCCTAAAGTTAGCTGTGTTATATCCTGATAACATGTTACAACTTGCTTGAAAAACTTGAAAATGTGTTTTTTACAGGGGTCTGTGTGCAATTGCTCTCAGACAAGAAATAGACACAACCCTAGTGCTGGTAGGCAGAATTTGTTTGCTATTGCCCCCATTTCCAGTTTCTGTGGTAAAATAACAGACTGCAGTCTGAAGCCTTGCATTTAACAGATAGACATTAGTGGTATCATTTAAATCTTCACCAGTAAGCGAATGAGCTTATAGATCAAAAAGCTGATCTTATAAAAAGGTTTTGAGGTATGAACTACCCCATTTCTCCTGGATTCCTGATTTCTTTTGAGCTTTTAAAGTTTTGGTTCAAATCACAAGCTTTGCCAGATGAAACAATATCTCCACAACAATACAGTGGAAGAATGAACTATTTTAATAGGGACTATTCATCTATTCAGTGAGGTACACAGTACAAGTCAGTGTGTTTACATGCAATCAAGTGATCTGGTCACAGTCAGTTTTCTCTATTGTCATGAAAACAATTTTGTTTGGATGTAAAATGATTAATTTTTCTGTTAAATCTTGTACTGTAATTGTCCAATTCTTTGAGCACCAGTCATGAAATTCCAATCAGCTCATAGCATTGGGATGGAGGCAGAAAAGTAAAGCTGATGTCTTAAAACCTCAGCAGATAAGTTAATGCACATGACTAGATACTACTCGATAAGTGGGGAAAAAAGGTTTTCTGACCCTTCATTTTTTTTTTTAATTACTTACAAAGTCCTCAAACTTGGTGATCTCCTCCTCCAGAATGTCAGTGCCAACTTTGTCGTCTTCAACCACGCAGTTGATCTGCAGCTTTTTGATGCCGTAGCCAACTGGCACCAGTTTGGATGCTCCCCACAGTAGCCCGTCCATCTGCACTGAGCGCACACACTCCTCCAGCTTCGCCATATCTGTCTCATCGTCCCACTACAGAAATATAGACAGACATCAACTTAAAGCCATAAAAAGACAATTCAACATGTGTTTTTTCTTCACCTTTTTAAAAACAAGAAATCAGTGTTTTCCCACATCTGCTGGTTCCCTATATCAGAACACAACTGCAAAGGAACTAGCATATTAATGAGCTACATGATGAAGTTTACACGTACAGGCTTGACGTCCAACAGGATAGAGGACTTGGCGATAAGGGCGGGTTTCTTGGACTTTTTGGCTGCATACGCATCCAGGCGCTCCTGCTTGAGGCGGGCTGCCTCGTCATCTTCTTCATCACTGCCAAACAAATCAATGTCATCGTCGTCATCGCCATTTTCCACCTGTTTGACTGGAGCAGCCTTGACTGGAGCAGCCTGGTCAAAACGAGAGAAGGACAGGAACATAGCTGTCAAACTATTAAAACAAAAATAAATACATTAATCGAGCATCAATAGATATGTGCAGAAGAGGAAGGAAGCCTAAGAACTTGACACAATACAAAATAATTAAGTATAATCATAATCAGACAAAACAAAGCAAAGAGAAACATAAGATCTTAAAATCAAAAACAAAAGAAACAAATAAAAACAAAACAATGTTATCTAGAACTGTAAATGAAAAGGTTTTTCAGTTGAGTCTTAACACACAAAGTAGATGACATATTGTATTTGTTGTATTGTTTATAGATACAGTGAACACAATATACTGTACCTAAAAAAAAATAAAATAAATGCCTACTCAATTCTTAGTCATCTACCTTAGCACATGGGACAGCTGCTGTTGCAGGGGACTTTTCCAGCACAGCCACTCTGGACTCCAGCTTCTGCATGGCTGCTCTCATGTTCTCCACCACTAACAAGCAAGCACAATAGGGAAGTTTAGTATGAGTGCTGTGCAACAAGTAAGCAAAAGCTCAGGAAGATATGAAAAACTCAAATCAAACACCTTTGTGCAGAGTCTGGTTCTCCAGTTCCAGGCTCTTCATACGTGAAACGAGCTCCTGGTCTCCTCCTGCATGTGAGGATGACTGCGGAAAGATTAACACAAATGAATGAATAAGTGTCATGTTGCAGGTCGGGGTTCAAATTGTAAGGTGGAGATCCAATCCAAACCTGAAGGAAGAAGCAAGCAAAAAACAAAAAATGCACAAAACAAGAAAAAAAACCCAACAACATGCAAAGGCAAACATCTATTACACAACAATGATCTGGATGCACCTCACACATACAATGCCGATCCCTAATAAAGAGTATTTAATGTTTACAATGTCAGCATGCAGACAAACTCTTAAAAACAAACCTGCAAACAGACACCACTTCATGTGAACTTTTATTTTAATCCCAAAATAAAAAAAGGAAATAGTTCGACATTTTGGGGAAAATGTACTTGCTTTCCTGCGCAGATAAGATCAATACCACTCTTTGTTAAATGTCTTTTAAATATATTCCAGCCAGCAACCGGTTAGCTTCACTTATCACAAAAGCTGAAAACGGGTTAACAGCTAGCCTGGCTGTGTCCACAACAAATAAACCAACCAAACACGCCACTTGAGGATTTGTACGTATTAAATTAATGAAATATCACGTGTAAATTATTATTAAGTACTTGAAATGCTGATAGGTGGATTTTTTTTAACATATCTTTGTACAAAGCCAGAGTAGCTGTTTGCCCGTTTCCAGTCTTACTGATAAGTTGGACAGATATTAGTCTTGATATTTTGATGCAAATCTCCAAAACAATGCAAATAAGCATATTTCCCAAAATGTCAAACTATTCCTTTACGTTTAATCAATCATTGATCACTTTAAATATTTGATTTCTGAAAGTCATTAGAATATTAATAGTATTAAATAATCATGATCACAACATCCAGCAAAATCATCGTCAACATCATAATTTCCACCCCAAAATGATAGTCTGAATCAGTCAGTAGTGGTGCGTGACGCCTCTAAAACGATGCAGGATGGTGGCACAGGATAAGACATCTTAGTGCTGTGATGATAGGAGCACACTCCACTTCAGGCAGCAGCAGCAGCAGACACAGCCAGCACACCTCGGCTGTCATGCAGCAATAGCGTGCATGGCTGAGACAGGCCTGAGCAGCAAAGCTGGACAAGGAGGACTTACATTTCTGTGCTGCCGTTTCTGCTGGCGCCCTTTGGCCTGTTGCAGGGCCGTTTTCACCTGCACTCGGTGATGTACAGGGTGAAGGTAAGAGGGGAAAAACACGAAGACAAAAAGAAAAGTAGTGGTTGTAGGTAGAAAGTTGGATACTACACATGCTACAACTTCAGAGTTGTCAGTTACTGGATAGAAACAGATTCCATAATTGTCAGATAAATTATTATTTTAAAACTGCCTTAATCAACTTTTTATTATCAACACTAACTCAAATAACTAGTAGCGCCAAAATGGGAAATCTCAACCAATCCTCTACAGAGCCTTTTAAACTGTTTACCACACTTTTATGGTGTCTGCTGTAAAACCAAATGACACTCAAAACAGCTGTTTCCAGCGAACCACGCAGGAGCTCTTTGTTTGACTTTAAAAGGATAGTTTCACATTTTAAAGTGCATCTTTACACGATACTCACATATCCACGTACATGTTAAGATATACTGTCCATACTGACAGCAAAGACATCACTTCTTGAGACAATTTCAATGTAGGGCATGGGGGACAAAATCCAGTGTTCTTTCCCTGCAAAAATGACTGCTGAAGTTCAGCTGAAGTTAATACGAGTTGGCTAAATGGCGTGGGTATTGAGTATCTGAGTCCTTTTAGTATGAAACTCAGTCGCTACCACAGTGTTTGCATGCTGAGCCAAGCCTGGGGGGGGAGTTACTCAAAGAGGAAATTTTGTACTAAAAAGACAGCGGCAGTGATTTGTCAAATTCAGGCTGCTGAAGCGTCAAATTAGCTTTTGAGTGTATTTTTCTCACAAGAACATGGATCTTATCACATTTTACTTAAATTGCTTTAGGAAGGGATCTCTTTGCAGTCAGTGTGAACAAGAGGAACTATTATAGCTAAGATAATGCTTTCAATGTACATTCTAGGCATGCAAGTATTGTTTTTAGACAAACTTAATAAATGAGAGCCTATTGTTAAAAAAAAAAAAAAAAAAGGGTAACATTTAAGTATCTACTAATAAGAAAAATAATTGTTAATGCATAAATGACCACACTCATACTGCTAACAATAAAGAAAATGCCACTGATGTAAAAGACAAACACACAAACAGCTTGCTGACAGATTGCAATGAAGATGGGAGAAGCAACCAGAGGTGAGGGGGAATAAGCGTCTTGTCACAGAAAATGTAGCATGCATCTAGCACTTTTCAAACACAGGATAAAGGCTTTGGGGGGCTAAAATATCCCCAAATACTTCCTGTCAACCGTCATCTTACATTTGAACAGCTATTCCCCTGTCTTAGGGCTGGTACACAAACATTAGTGAGTACAGTCCTGCCACTACATTGGGGGTGTGCCTGCAGCTCATTTGTAATTCAGTACTCACTTCGCTTAGGGACTGCTGGATACTCTGTCGGGACTTAGCAATGTCCCGCATGATGGCATTAACTTCTCTCTCCTGCAGGTATGTGTAGGTGAAGTGGTGATGAAGCAGGAGCAGTGAGAAAGACAGAAAGCAACATGCAAAACTGACAAAAGCAAGATAACCTACACATACACCCAACATTTAAGATGACTCTTAAATATTTGATATTTGAAAATGAGTACTTCTTTTAAACAAGGTTATTATACATTCCGATTGCAAGCAGCAAATAAAAAGCAAGCTTATGTGGTTGTGCAATGTAAAGGCTACAAACATTTGGCAGCAGGCATAATGGTACACAAACCAAGGATGACATCCTGAACTCTAAGGGTGCAGCTGTCATGTTCCCAGTTGAGTACATGAAACGTGAACTATTTTCAGTGGTACTACTTTTCACCAAAAAAACAGGCCCTGCAAAATAAAAACTTGACCGTGTGATCTGTGGATTATTCTGCGTAACCAACACATTGTTTCTGTAAAGTTTCTATTGTATTTGAGCAGCAGCAGAGGCAAAAACCTCAGCACATAACACCAAAAGTCTCTGCATCGCTTGAAATCACAAGGGCTAAGTGAGCAGTGGCTTTTTGTGATTTGGGTGAAATGACCCATTCAGACCTGGAAGTGATCATACTCTAATCTCGCCATTGTTTCCCAGGCTTGTGTAAAAACTGAGCCCTGGACGGCCTGAGCAGCAGAGACAGCTGCCAAACCACCTGACCCCTCTTCACTAGGACGAGCCACTTCTAAATCGAATGGCTTAACTCACATGCACACAGCTGCTCTGGCTGCCAAGGGCTGTGACTGACGATGATGTAACTATTGCTTAATCTACAAGGCTGGTGAGTGACAGGGCAGCATGAGCTGGGGAGGTGTGAGGCAGGAGATGAAAGGAACTTCAAAAAGATGGCAGCAAGAGACAAGAGGAAGATTGGAAATAGAAATCAGGGCATTTGTTTAAGTCCAAGAATGATCTGGTTATTAAACAAGGTCCTGGGTACGCAAAACCAATGCAGCTTTGCTTTTGGGCTGCATAAAAGTCAGTCAACCTTTCAAAAGAAGTTGAATTTTTTGGACTTTAACAGAATGTGTACTTGTTCTACCTGTTGCTGCTGTGTGGAGGGTCCGTTGACTCCCTCGTAGAAGCGCTTTTCCGCCTCATCGTAGCTGTGTTTGTCGAACCAGATGTTCTCTGAGGCGAGGCACTGCAGTCCACTCATTTTGGTACTGAGGAGCGAAGTCAGAAATTGAGGACAAATAAGATACAGGAACAAGAACACAAAAACAACTAAACATTGATCTACATCCAACTATATTTCTACTCAACAGCCATGACCACGTGTTAAATCTTTACAGCCAGCACAACAAATGACAAGAAAAGTGTGACGGGACATGGCTAAATTAGATGCTTGACCAGGACACCGTATATTACAGATTACAACATCATGCAGAGCCACAGATGGAGTTGTGGGTGGAACAGGGAGAGACAAAACCCAAGCGTAACAAAGACAGTTTATCATACAGTACACAGTAAATGAAGGCAGAATAACAGGCATCAGTTTCTATTTAAAAAAAAAAGATTAGGTTTTTTTTTTAAAAATGGGTGAAAAAGACGACAGCATATATGCATCACCTCACTTCTCATTTTGCTGATGTGTTACTGCAGCAGACACACATTCCTCATTCAGTGAAACACAGTTGCTGGGTCTGCAAAGTCTGGATTATCAAACAAAAGGGTGGTGGCCCACTAACAACCCCCTAGTTACAGCAGAGGTCCAGCAGAGGTCTGCTGTATGAATTTCAGACACAGACAGTTCACTATACATAGTACTTGGCTGCATGTTGTACACAAATACTTGTGAAATACTGACACAATGCCAGCCTTAACAAGTATTAAAAAAAAAAAGCAAGGGGCTGCACTGATTGGGGTGTTATTTCAGGTACCAGTACAGTGGACAGGAATTTATGATACTCTTGAGACGGTATTTTACAACTCTGGAAAGTTATCATGGTGAAAATAGTTGTATCTTTCACCACAATGATCGCGAGATAAACCGTAGAAATACAGCAATCATATTTCAAAGTAATCTTCCAGGAATGTGCATGTAATCAACCGGCCTTTAGTGTGAAAATTGTGCGAGGTTTAACTCTGTGTTGGCATCCCTGCTGTGTCAAGGGATTGACCTCATTTATATGAAAGAGGGTGCCACTTTTATTTCAAAAGGTCAGTCTCATCTATAACTCTGCATATCAAACATTACACACAATACACAAGTTAGCATAACTGAAAAAGGCCAAACAGAAATGCAGACAGACAACAAATAAAGAAAAACATCATAGTGGGTCAATAAACCGAAAACACACATCATGTCTCTCCCATTCCCTGTGTGCGAGGTGCCATACTTGTCCCATCTAGGCCTGCTTTCCGTCTCAGAGAGGCCTCTCCTCCTCTGGGTCGGCCCTCTGCTGCCTTTGCCCCCCTGCTCAGTCTCAGAGGAGGTGCGATTGCGGCCTCTACTGTACTGACGGTGGGGGGTCCCAGAGGCCTTTACAGTGGTGACTGGGTGCCCCTGATCCTGCTGTTCACCATGGGTGCGTCTGGACTGGAAGCTCAAGTAACCTCTGGTATTTGGACTCCTCGGAGATGATGACAACGGCCCGTTGCCATTAGAGGCGAGCCGCCGTTGGTAGTTGCCTTCAGCCTGCATGCCCTGGAGGACGGGGCTTCGACCAAAGGAGCCGCGCGCTTCCATGGAGGTGCTCAACCTCTCCTCTTCAGCCCCAGAACTCTCTGACTGGGACAAACGTATGGGCCGGCGCAGCTTCCCAAACTGGACTTGGTCTCCGCTGATGATGCCTCTCTCCTTACTGGGAATATTACCCTGCCTGAAGGCCCCCACTGGTATAGCATGCTGAGGGGCTCCTCCTTGCTGACGGTTTGGCACAGACTGATCCATTTCTCGGTTAAAGGGGTCTCTTCTCTACTCACTTTAATGTCAGGTTTATGAGGAGAAAAAGGAAGCAAAAAGGTGGAAGCTAGAGCCATTAGTTCAGTGTGAAGTTAGCGTCACAAAGGAACTTTGCTAGTTAGACGCGTCAGAGAAAGCTCATAAAACAGCCAATATGTGATGCCAATGTGGTCTTGAGGGCAAAGAGACGGAGGATTGATCAAAAAGCTTCAATTTTCCAGAAAATGCCACGTCTTTTATTCACTTATTTATTTCTTTTTTTACACGAAAGGTTCAGATGTAACCTGTATGGAACAGAAGACTCAACCTGAGAAAGCGAAGGGCCTCATTTGTGCTTTTAGGATTATGGGATAACGCCACCAAAACGTTTGAACAGTTCCTTGATCAATCTCACATTGGACTTTTAAAAAGCAAAGCCAAAAACAACAAGGCAAAAGGTAACGCGGCTTTCACAAATGACAGGTGAAGATGGACAACATTTAGTTTAGGATGTGTTCGCAGTGTTTCCTCCATATTTATTTATCTTTGAAAATCATTTTAATAACAAATATTTTTTATTAAGAAGCATTACAATATTAACCCGAATCACACAGGGTGATAATTTCCCATATGAGATGTAGTAGAAAACAAGGTTATCTCTTCAAACAGACAGCGGCTTTGTCCAATTAACAAGGAAACACTGTTTAAGTGTTAAATATGTCAATATGTCTCGTTTCAAAAAACCAACCTGTTCAACACAGTCTGGCTCACCTTTGTTTTGGCATGCTGCAGGATAATGTACGTTACCTATTGTGGAATGGAATATTTACATAATTCAAAGTAATCACATAAGTTTGAATTATACTGAAAATAATATAATTAATGACAATTAAAATGTTTCCAAAAGCAGAACTGCCTTTAAACAAACAGGCAAACATCACAACCAAAAGATGCTATTTACATTTTCATGCATGAAATAAAAAAAAAAAAAAAACACATAATAAAATAAAATATTCCTTCTGTTAGTGCAGATATATACTCACAGTTGTCAGTTTATTATTAGGTACACTTAGCTAAAACTAATGCAGATTAATACAGCAACCAGTCATTTCTATTCAACTTTATGGTCATCGTGGGGCCGGTTGGACTGTACTGAGTTAATCTGAGAGTTTCTATTATTTTGTCCTCTTGTTAGAGATGAAAATATTAGTTGTTTAGCAGAAAATGAATAGTTTAGGTCACTTTTCAAGCAGAAATGACAAATATGTGCTTGCACAAACTCCTTAGATTAGAGTATTTTCTGTTTTTCTCTAATTTATAACAGTGTCAATAAAATATATGTGGGTTCTGAACCATTGGTTGGACAAAACTTTAGACATTTTAGAGACAAAAAGATTTATTATTCAAGAAAATAAAGTTAGACGCATCCTTACTCCCTGAAACATCGCAATTCAGTTCAACAGCACCCCCAAAATGACCATAAAGTTCAATCACCACCTCTCTGAAACACTTCAACCTTCATGAATGTAGGATTTAATGCAGGTTTGCTATATTATACTGCTTTATTTTTAGCTGAGTGAACATAATTAACTGGCAACTTAAGTTTAAAATACTTCCACTCCACCAAAAGAGAGCAATAAACCAGTGCATGTATTAGGGCATCAGCTGAAAAGCAGCTTCAATATCAACACTCACCTTCTGTAACTGGAATGGGAAGCTAATGCCCAACAGGAATAAGAGACAATACAAACAAATCTTATAAAAACACAAACCCTTTCAGCAAGAACAACCACTGGATTTAGTTTGTGGTCGAGTAAAGTTGACCTCAAAGCAAACATATATCGATTAATGGCATTTTAAGACTGGTAGACACAAATAACTGTACACGACGCTAACAATTTGAGACTCACGGAAATAATTCACGTATAATACTGAATTATTTGTCGCAGTTAAAATGAATGACAGTATAAATTCGTGTTGTGTTTCATCTGCTGCTTGCTCGCCCTGACACCAGCTAAAGTTAGTTGCAGGAGTTTTTTTTTTTTTTTGACAGCCGCGGCAACTAGTAGTTCCGTTGACCACGTGGCGCTTGAAAACTACAAACTCAAACTAGTTTATTGTTTTTTTACAGACACTACACTTCTTGTGTTACAGGTGGTGAAAAACGCAACTTTTTTTACACTTACTCTTGGCTTTAATCGACGTTTTATGGCTCGGTAACTGTGCCTTTGCGTGCTGCCTCGGCTGTAATCCGACGGGAGAAGAGAGCTTGCAGTGTCGGACCGCCTGTATTCTTCAGTGACAGAGGGGGGCGACGAACAACGGCTTTATCAACGATTTCCACGTTTAATTACCGTTTATTAAAAATATAATAACAGAAAAACACACAGAAAAACAAGTTATTTGTTATGGATACTGAAGATAAAAACAGGTCCGTGATTTCGCTGCTATTTACATCGTACGTTAACGTTGGTATGATCCATTTTGGCTAAAGACTTCATTTCCCATGATTCAAAGAGACCGGCAGTCAACGGGGAGCTGTGAGTGGTCCTTTTCATGATGTTATGACAGGCTGTGGGGTCCAGACCCGTACATATGATGTGATTGTATGTGTTTATTTTGAATAATGAAACAATGTTGATTTTGTTTTTTGTTTTTCCAGTTTGACAAATTAACCTCTCTGACTACATATCTTAAAACAAAATGGGGGAATATGTCAAACTTTTAAGGTTTAGTTCAGGTTTAAATTTCAGATATTCTCTCCCTTGTCCTGCAGAGGGCAGACTAATCGAGCTAATTTAAACAGACAATAAATAATATAAAAATAAACTATAATTATAATTATATAATAGGCTATAATTATTAAAACTATACAAGACTAAATTGACCAGGACACAGACTAGATCACTTGTGTGGACCTAAGTTGATATATTTTCAGTTTCATCTTAATTTAGCTGGTTTTCAGTGTGACTTTGGTAGATTTATTTTAGATTTATTCATATAAGACTATCATTATTATTATCACAAGGAGCAGTAATAATAGTATTGATGTTGTTTACTGTTGTTTGCAGGTTTACAGGTTAACACTTACAAATCTTACTATCGTAATTGCAAGTTAGAGGTAAAGGTGATTAAAGACTGTATAATGTAAAATAAAATAAGATAGAGCTTTATTTATTCTGGGAAAAATTATTGAGCAGCAGTTGTAATAAGTAAGTAATAAAAGCATTTGATCCCAAGTTAATACAGTGCAGGCATTGCAGTTACACAAAAACAAGGTTTGTTTGTCATGTCACCATAACTCAATTCACCAGGGGTAATAAACTACTGTCTACACTACCAGGAGTAGAGATCAAACCCACAAGGACAACAGTACACTGGACCTCTCTGCCATCCATAAAGGGCAGATTCTTATCATCTGACTTGTGCAAAAGTAAAGCATGAGAAGATTTGAACCCACAGGGACATCATAATCAGACCAACATCTTTTTTTTTTTTTTTTTTACATTTAATCACTCTGGTTGACATATAATTTAACACTTTCCTCTATATTTTCTCTTCACTCTTTCAAATTAAAGCCAAGGCTTTAGGTTGTACCAAAATGAAGGCATCAGTACACTGCAGCTCGGACAATTTATGATTCATCCTTTACAGTAGATCTCCAGGGCATAAGGACAAATCTGCATAATTAAAACGCGTAAAACATTGTTCTTTTACTAGTGTTCTTGGAAGGAGTTCAACAACACTACTTTCACTGATTGGTTGATTTATTACTCCTTTACTTTCCTGCCCTAGTTTCATATTACTTACTTGTGATTGCATTTCTTGTGCATTATGTATTTCCCATATCTGAGTGATAGAGTATAATATGTCTGCTGGCTTCTGTTCTGTATATTGATTAAAGAGTTTTAATGTCAGTATTACACATATACAATTCATTTGGGAAACCCCTTGAGTGCAAAGCCATCTCCAGATATATGAGTGCACATCTGTCTGATCTAACAGGATGTAAAGAGTTCAGTGACTTCCTTTAACTTTAAGTTTGATGATTTGTTAAATAAACCTTTGATATAATATTATCTAACTCAACATCAGAAGTGAAAACTACTAACTATATGAATGTGCATCAGTCACATCAGAGAAACCTTGAATTTTTTAAGTCTTTAGGCTGCAAAATTAGCATGTGCTGCACTGACTACAGATGAGGCACTCACTTTGTGGAGCCATCAGAGGTTGCTAAGCTCAGCTGTCAACCCAAATAAAGGTCATATTCTAGCATTGCTAACAGGTGTGAACCAGAAACATCATATAGCTGCAAGAACTGACACACAACACATTTTATGGGACAGCCAATTAAGTGTCCTTTACGCAGAACATTACATTAATGATTTTTTTCATTATCAATCAATCTGTTGATTATTTTTTCAATTAATCGACGAAACATCTTCAAGTTGCTCGCTTTGTCTGACCAACAGCTCAAAACCTAAAGATATTCCATTTACAATCATATAAGACAGAAAAAAGTAGCAAATTCTCAGGTTGAAGAAACTGAAATCACAGAATATTTGGCAGTTTTTGCTTGAAAACATTAATGGTCAAAATAGATGCAGATCCTTCAATTGACTAATCAATTAATTGACTTATCGTTGCAGCATAGTCTCATGATGTGACAATTACCAAACTCTAAAGTAGTATTTTTAATCTTCACTTTTCAAAAGTCATTCATCTTTTTAGTTTAGATAACAGAGTACACACTTAAAGTCACTGCCGTAAAAATGTATCCAACTTTTGGGTCAACTTTTCCAATGGGTTGTGTTTGACACTCAAACTCAAGAGTCACCTTAAAACTGTCACAAATGTATAGTTGTACAAAACAATATTAGATATAACATTAAAAACTGATAGGCTAACACATATTATTTTAGTTTAAAAAGTTTAAAAAGAGTAAATTATAACAGTTCACTGAACTGGCCCACTTTGGGCCCTGGGCCAGAGCCTCTGTTTGAAGTGGCAACATTTCTTGTTGGAAAGTCCATCAAACAACTACAAAGAAATGCAAAACAACCACAAACAGGGGCAAAAGGGACATACAAAGAGACACGCAAGAAGAAACAACCAGAAATAAATGCACAATTACTACAAAGAGACGTGAAACAAACACAAAACAAGAGACACCAACTGTCCAGAAAAAGACACAAAACAACCACAAACAGGGGCAAAAGGACCACAAAGAGATACACAAGAAGAAACAACCAGAAAGAAATGCACAATTACTATAAAGAGATGTGAAACAACCTTAAAGAGACACAAAACAAGAGACACTAACTGACCAGAAAAAGACACAAAACAACCACAAACAGGTGCAAAGGAACAAGAAGGAGATGCAAAGTACTTCTAATAGGTGGAAACAACTGAATGAGACACAAACAATGACTGTAGACCAAGAGTCTGGGTGTTGCTCCTGGGTAGAAGGGGTCGGGGGCCTTTTACATTACATATCTTTGTCTCATATCTGTCAATGTTCATCTGTCATGTCCAAAAATAACACAAATACTGGGTCAAAACAATCCCTTGTACTGGGTACTGGTCAATTATTTTTATGTTTGTGCTACATTGACCCCAATTTTGACTCGGATTTTCACATGTATGTACACAGGTATTTTCTGTGTACTGGAAATCATAAATTAATATCTTTCAGCAAACAGAAATCCAGAGCTTTAGATCCTTTGCTTCTCTCTCCCTTTTGTTAGTCTGTCACCATGTAAAGCAATCACAGATCAGTGTGGGTTGTTTAAACAACAGCATCCTTGCGCTGTTTACTGATGTCATGTTTACAGGAGTTCTGGGAATTACATCTTAAATTTCAAAAGGTTTATTTTTGCCACCCTTTAAGGCTCCCAAAGTATAATATTTCTGTGTACAGGGTAAGGAGAAACATACCTAATTGTGTTTTTTCATGTATTTATTCAGTTGTTTCATCTTTATTAGTTGAAACGATTATGGATTAATAAACTGACAGAAAATCTGGTGACATTTTGAATGGCAAACATTCAATGGTTCCAGCTTCTCAAATGTGAATATTTTGTGTTTTCTTCAATGATAGTGAAACTGAATATCTTTCGGTTTTAGACTGCTGGTCAGAAAAAACAAGATATTTCAAGATATTATTGACCAAACGATTAACTGAGTAATCAAGAAAATTATCAGTAGTTTAATGGATAATGAAAATGTTATTTTAGCCCAAGTATCGACCATTAGCTTTATCTGACCTCTGCTTTTTCCTGCTTTTGTTCAGTTTTGACATGCTTACAGTACAACCAGTTCTAGCCTGTGAAAACAGGAGCCTGAATACATTAGCTCCTGAGGCGATCAAACACAGCTGTATTCACTTTATACAACATCCTTACTGTTGGTAGATAAATAGGCAACCCTGCTCTATAAAATTGAAAGCAGTGATCAAACAGGACATTAAAAGCCTTGTTTAACTGCAAACAGCTACTATGTTTGAAAAATAAGCCATTAGCCAACAGGCGTGAGTGTATCACACAAACCTTTTGTTACCCTGCGTTTGTGAATGGGTCACGGTGTTTTAGGTTAGCTTAATGCCCATGCTACAGTGATTACTGAAACCTGATAACATGCTTGCTTGGAGTGGTCTGCTGGAGCAGCACCATCTCAGCAGCCGACAGGAAGAGACTCGACAAACTGATTAAGAAGGCCAGCTCTGTCCTGGGTTGCCCCCTCGACTGAATGCAGGTGGTGGAAGAGAGGAGGATAATAGCAAAGCTCTCATCACTGATGGACAATGTCTCCCACCCCATGCAGGACACCATCACTACACTGAGCAGCTCCTTCAGCGACAGACTCCTTCACCCCAAACGTGTGAAGGAGAGATATCGTAGGTCCTTCCTTCCTGCTGCTGTCAGACTGTTTAACAACCAGCACTGCTCCCAGTAACCCCCCCCCCATCTTGGCATCAATAATAATAATAATGTGCAATAATTACTCTGCAATCTATTGCCCATTTTGTGTTATTTGTGTTATCTGTTGATGATTCTTACTGTTTTTTCTCTTGTACAGTGTTTTTATTATTTTCCCTACTCTTACTGTTTATTTATACTGTTTTTTTATCCACTTTGCTGCTGTTACATTGGAATTTCCCCATTGTGGGACAAATAAAGGAATATTTTTGAAGGTTGAATCCTGTGTTCTTGTTCTTAGGAATGTATTCTGTAGGGAAGGGTTTTGCTTTTTTAGTACTGGCCTGCTCTACATTCACACCTGGAAACACATGGCCCCATTTGTAAATTACTGACCATAAACCAGCTCCAGCGGAGCAACAGTGAAATGTATCTTATATGTTCAAAGATACCGTAGTGATAACATCATTCTGTCCTTCCAATCATCCCAACCCACCTTGCTCCACCGCTTTTAGCTGTGGCATCATCTGCGTTTTTCAAATAACTAATCACTGACAGCAGGAGACCTCCTTGGGCAAAGAAAACAAAAACTATCCTTTCATTACATGCCTAGTGGTTGAATGTAAGTTCATTCACTCAACTGTTACTGTTACTTAAGTACAAATACGTGCAACTTTATACTTTTATTACTTTTCCACTAGATCTCAGAGGCAAATATTGTATTTTTTACTCCACTACGTTTGTCTCACAGGTCTAGTTACTTTTCAGATTAACATTTTTTCACACTCCTACCATCCCTTGAAAACCATGTATCTCCAAATCGAGTTTTAACGTTTGTGATAAACTGAAGGACTAGGTGCTCCTTTAAGGGTTGAAAAATGTATCCTAAAACTGACACAGATACAACTCACTCCCCATCATCAGCACAGGGGTCTCAATACCAGAAAGTTAATCATGAATGAAAATTTATCAGCAAATAGAAACCCAAACTCATCAGCTTCACATGTTTTATTTATCTCGTTCCTTTGTTGGTCTTTCATCATGTAAAGCAATCACAGATCAGGTGGTAAAAAGCCACATCACAGGAGTGGATATCATTCCAAACCAAATTATAATTGAAACATTTGCTGTCTGGCTTCTATTGACCCCCTAATTGTATTCTGTTCAGTGTGTAAGTGGCCTCACATCCAAGTTCTCATCGAGGTTTACCAGAACTCTTACATTGGAATAATATGTGTGTGTTATAATTAGCTGATGCAACAAGTGATTATTTTTATTGTTGATTTATCTGCTGATTATTTCCTCTATTTATTGATTATCATCTCCTCTATAAAACATAAGCAATCAGTGATAAATGCCCATCACATTATCCTATTTTTCCAATCAGCAGTCCAAAACCCCCAAATATTCAATGATTTTCTTTGTGAAATGAGGCCACACTTTGGACTATTTCTTCCTCTCTGCCATGGCTCATTATTGTTTCAAGTCTTCCAGCAGTTAAGAGGCAGGAGTTTAATGTCAGTTTTTTTTTTGCAAAGCGCAACTGTCAGAGAAACACACACAAAACACAAAAGGAATTGATAAGCTCTGAGGCATACGATTCAGATGAATTGGACAATTTGGAACCAGTTCTCAACTGGAACCTGTTCTTGATTCCCATCCCGATACACTGTTGGGTAGTTTCTTTCTTTCTATCTACAACAATGTATCATATGTGTTGTATGTAAAGTCTTAACCTGCAACTCATTTGCATCAGGCTGTATACAAATAAAGTTTTTTTTGAGACAGTACGGTTGGCGTCTGGCAGTCAATAACATTCACAGAATACATTTTCTGACTTGAAGTAAAGCTATTGGCTGTTTTATCTGGCGCACCCACTGTCATCTCTCTGAATGGAGATTTTCATTCACCTGATTTTGAGAGCGAGAGAGAGAGAGAGAGAGAGAGAGAGAGAGAGAGAGAGAGAGAGAGAGGCAGATGTGCGACAGCAGCTTTTCACTCCCGCAAGTTTGCTGCTCGGGGATTCATCTATTTTAGGTTGACAGAGTACATTTTCATAGGAGGAGGAGAAGAAGAGAGTCTTTAAGAGGCACAGAGGAACAAATAACCTGGATTTGCGCTCACATCATCATCAGCATCCGATGAGGGATATAAAGAAGACAAATAAGATCATGGAAATGTGTTATAAAGGGCTGCCAGGACGACCGGAGAAATTCATACTCCTCATCTTTTACCTCCAACTGTGGTACGGGCCAATAGTAAGTGACATGTCTCTTTTATCATTTATACAGTCTTCCTATCTGGGACAAAATACTCTCATCCATGAGACTGATTAAAAGCGGCTCAAAGTGCAGCTGAAGTTGACCCTCTTGCTGCTGCATTTTACACCCGAAAACAACTGCTAATTAGGAAACGATCTACTTAATTATAGTCTAATGACATCTTTATTGCAGTGCTATTACCATTATTATCCTCTGTCCTTCACTGGCTCTTTGGAGCACACACACACACACACACACACACACACACACACAATTGGACACCAAATGTCCTCATTAGGCTGCTGACACTAATTAGTGATTATCAAGGCTTTGCGACCTGCATCTATCACCGCCATCTGTCTGGATTCAATCAAAGAGAAAATCAACAGGGGGAAACAGGGGTAAGAAATAAAAATAATAAAAGAGGCTAAAATTGGGTGACTGCTCCAGATGTTACTTGGAGCATGTATTTGCAAAAGGCATATTGGCAAGAAATTTCCTAAATTCTTATCAAAATTGTTACTGTTTGATGCGCAAAATATTAACTTAACTAGATTTAATGTTTTAAAAGCAGGAACTGCAAATATTTATATTAATTTGGGACTTTTCGAAATTTGAGCATCTTCTTTCTCGAAAAATATAGGCTACACCTTGACGTCTGACAGCGACAGAGAAGTGATCTATCCAAAGAGGTGGGTCTGTTGTTGATGATGTTTTGTCCCTCCACGTTTAGCCTCCATCGCGACACCCACTCACGCATCACAACTCCACCAAAGCAACAAGCCGAGGTGCGTTTGGCTTGCGGTGCATGCGTCTGCTTTACTGTAGTCTATATAACTACGTGCTCTCGTATTATCTTTTCAGGCTGAAGCGATTCACCCGGACTGCGCCATCATCTCAGAGCACCTGAGGGCTCGGGAGATTTGTAGCCAGACGAGGAGAAGCGAAGCGCAAAACCAGACCGAGCACAGCGGTGGGTTCATGTGTGATGTGCTGCTGTTGCTTTGTTGTGTTTTCTGCGCACACAAACACACACTTTGTGAGCGTATACGCCTTGGTGCAGTGCCAGAGGTTTTTTTTTTTTTTTAAAGACAGGAATGTGGGCTAAACTTCAAAAGAGGAAGAGTTTGGAGAACACACACAGGCAGAGATAAAGGGAAATGATCTAGGTTAAACTTTCTGAAGGACCTGTTAGTGCTTCCTCTGTGGTGTGATATTTTAAGTTTTCAGTTCAGGTGTTGACTCTCTGAGCGTCACGATTGACAGCATTCAGGAGACATTAATATGACCATAAAAACCCTCATATGACTTCAATGTCTGCCAGAGGTCAAAATGTTCTTTAACAAAAACTCCAATTGTTTTTGACTTACTAGATAGTAATTCAGTTACAATGGCTTAATTTAAAGTTACAAACAACCTCTAACCTCCCACATTCTTTGAGTTTCTGTTGTATTTAATCTGCCTTTATCTGCATTGATTAATTTTACAAGATGGTTGAGCTGCAACTAATAATTTATTTTGTTATCAGTTAATGTGCCAGTTGTTTTCTCGATTAATCAGTAAGTCAACTCATCTATATAACATCAGAAAACAGTGAAAAATGTCCATCAAAACATCTCAGAACCCAAGGGGACATCTTCAGATGAACTGTTTTGTCCAAAATCCCCAAATATATACTATTATGTCAAAAAAGCAGCCAGGCTGGAACCAGTGACCGTTTGCCGTTCTTGATCAATCGATTATCAAAATAGATGCATGATATGATCAAAATTGATTAAACAACAGTTTGTTTCACTTACAAGAGGGCTTTTTTTTTAAATGACCAAAAAGACAAGGAGTCTGAATCTCTAGATAGCCTATTAGATATTGAAATTGAAGTATATTATTATTAATTTTTTAAATGCAGCACCGTTTTACTGAAGGTGGATCAGCGGGTGGTGAAATGTCAATTGCTATAAAAATAGCAAAACAAACAAACAATAAAAACAAATGGATTTAAAAAAAAAAAAAAGATACAGGACAATACAATACACATAGTTAAAGGTCCAATATTTTACACTTTTCTGGTGTTTAATTTAAGTTGAGATATTTGCAAGAAGATATATTTGAGGTTTTAAGTACGAAAAAGATTTTTTTTTTCTTGTAATAGAGTATTTTTATACTATTGCTACTTTTACTCAAGTAAATGACCTGAATACTTCACCCACCTCTGCTGGGTGGTGGGTGTCCAAAAACTAAGGTTACTGAACTTGTAGCAGCAGAACAACTGTGTGACACCCCCCATTTCACTTTGATTTTCCTGTGTGGGATCAATAACGTTTCTTATCTGATTTTGAAAAGACTATAGAGAATGACTTAGATCTTTAATGTGCATGAACACTGTGTTGTAGGCTCCATCGTACTGATCTAATACCCACAATGACACCAGTTCTTCCCCCTGGTGAGGTTTCACCTGCTTGTCCTTCCAATCTGACTCATTTACTTCATTATATACAATTGAACCTGGCGTCTCCCAGAGGGCCACACTGCATGTCTTCATAATGGACTGCGCCACTGAGGCCAAGCTCTTCTCCACTTTATCAGAAACTGCCCTAGAATAACAACACTCTGACAACTCCCCTCAGCGAGAGTGATGAACTTTAACATTTCCAGACTAATTTGATCTTAATTACCCCCGATGACTCTGCGACACAGCGTTATGGTGCAAAGTTGTTATCTGCTGCTCATTACGCAGATAAAAGTCTGTTGATGGATTTCTCTGTCGGAGTAAGTGTGTTTCTGCGTCCATCAGTGTGCTACTAACCACGCAGGTGACATGTAATCATGCAGAGAAATGATCATCACTCCTGGTGGTAATGGGCAGGGGTGGATCTAGAGAAATATTAATGGGGTGGCAAGAAGGTTGCAAGGAGACTTTTATATGCTGATTTAATCACAATCACATATGTCAATATTTGCTTGGAAAAATCCCCAAATGAATATATTTTAGCTTAAAAAATTACTTTATTTAGCCCGAAGACACGTAGTCTAAAATGTGGTCATAATAGATAATTAAGTTATATGTGTTTATTTCCATTTTTTAACACTGCATTTGACACCAAACTGGAGACACATCTCTAGATCCTTGCAACTATCAATTATTTTCCATTATCAACTAACCTGTCGATTGTTTTTTCTATGAATTGTTTAGCATATTAAATGTAAGTAAAAATAGTGGAAGAAGGTCATGTGTCAATACAGCTTGTTTTGTCTGACTAACTGTCCAAAAGATATTCAGTTTATAAAAGTCGTCCTATATAATAGAGAAAAGTAGAAACAAACATGAGGGTGTGTTTGAGAACCTGCAGCAGATATTTTACATTTGTGGCTGTGTATGAACGTGATAAACATTATACCTGCTAGACATCGAACGCTTGCATGCTGACTTTAGCATTTTTAGCTTTTACTTGAAAGAGTTAGTTAAGACATTATTATTATTATTATTATTATTATTATTATTATTAATAAAATTGGTGCTGATGGCAATACTTAACATAAACCATCCATATTTATCATTAATAAGCATTATATAAACATATGTTAAACCACATTATTATGCAGTTATAAGTTATAATAAAGTGTTTGTCAATAAATGGGTTTTTATAGTTACAGCCTCACTTATGACGACATATTTTGCATAATTACAACTCTGTAAAATCTTATCATTTGTTATTTGTTCATACAGTATTTATTCAGTAGTAATTCAGCGTTGCAATGTTGCAATTTGAATGCTGAAGGTTTTAATGGATTTTATACAGCTAGACAGGATTTTTGTGACATTATTCCAGGTGCAAGTAGTTTAAAATGGTGCTTCAAATGCCTTCCTATCCAGAAAAGAATACAATTCTTGATACCTGTAATTTTCACAATATAGAAATTATATAAGAATAGAAGTAGTTTTAAAGTAAAGCTGTTTAAAACTGAAACAACCAGATGCATATTAAACATCACAAGTCTCAACTAAATGCTGGTTGCTTCCTTATCAAAGCGTCAGTTCCTCCCTCAGGGGTGCAGTCACTCATTCTGTGTCCAAAGTAATTTCACACGTCATTATTAAGCCTAAATGAGATGCCATTTGAGTGGTTGAATGTATAGCCTCCTCTAGAGCTATCTAAGGGCTAAGAATAGAGAACTGCTCCGTGGGTGACAAAACCTTTTAGTTGATCTGAAAGGAAATGTTTGAAATTTGTCATTAACGTCTTGACATGAATAGCTAGACACACCAGGAAATATAGGATTATGGTTTTCCCCCCATGGTAGTTCAAAATTCCCCATGATTAAGCCCAAAACAAAGATGTCCCAGTAAAACAGTGTAAGTTTCCATAATTCATGGTTTTCACTGCACTCACTGTGGCTTTTGTTACATGGATGAATGGGGCCACATGTTACTTTTAACATAGATCATATAATTGTGCCTCTTTCTTTGGCACCTCTAATCTCAAGGCTAAAAATAAAATCTTTTGATAATCACAGTTGTCACATCACTCTCAGTGTCTGTATGACTCAACTGCAGAGGAGCAGGAACTCCCTCGTGGGAATATTATTCCACAACTTGACAGACAGTAAAACTTTCATTTGCACTTTGAAGCACTAAGAGCAATCCAACAAACAGCTTGAAGCAAACAACCTAGACATAACCTTTGGTTCAGATACAGTGCAAAGGACCTGATCTGTTAAAAGGCTTGGGTATGCAGCAGCATTAAGTTTTGTCCACAGCATTGACTGTATATAAAGATGGACAACATGACAGCTCGCCGAAAGTGAAGCCAAAATATCTTGATCGCCCCATGGTGGTTGGTTGTAGTATAGGTCATAAAGCCTTCTAGTTCTTATCACGCCGATATATCTTCAAATGTAAATTTTTTAGTTTTAATTAGTTATTTAATACTATAAAAAGTGGATTTCATGTCATGACTGACAGCTGAGCCCTGCCTACAATTGAGTCGGCTCAGTGTATGAGCGGGACCTTGATACTGCGGCTCCCTCCGCCCGTCATTTTCTTTTTTTACAGTGGGAAGAAGTGGAGATACGTCATCCATCTTTATATATGTCAAGAGTCCACACTTAAACACCAAAACAATAATAAACAAGATGAAGAATCTAAAGCATGGATGTATAAAGGAGAATTGGATACAACATTGGAGGTGGGTCAGCATGCTTACATGCTCACACAATAACAATGTGAAGGTGCTAGATTTAAAATATAACACAATCCATCCTGAGGCGGGGGGACATGAGTGTGTGTTGCAAATATTATGGCAATAATCTATCCACTGACTGACTAAAGCTAAATCATCATTATCATCTTAATCTTCTTCATTTTTGGCAGAGTAGATGTTAAATCGACAGTTACCGTTGAAGTAAGAAAGTCATACGTACATCACTCAGGTGCAAGGCTTTCAGAAAAAGGCATCAATGAAAAAAACAGTAAAACCTGCACAGTCCCTGCCACAACATTTTTTTTTTTTTACTAATGACAGCATTTTGATGCCAACCACCAGTGGGAGAAAAACCTTCCTCTTAATTAAAAACAACATTGTTTGTGTTAAATAACAAATTGGGAGAATGCCATGCAAAACTAACCAGCTTTGTTCTTAAAATTAAGGGCAACACAAACCAACAGCATACGATGCACATCAAAACACCCACAGCCATTATTTTCTATGCGTGCCCACATACTGTCATCATGTCAGAATATACTGTGTTAATTCTGAACGTCAGTGTGCAACAACTCTCCAGGAAAGCAGCCATTTTTATCACATTTGCTTCTGGCATCTTGGCCACTGTGAAGTGTGGAGCATCCAGTGTGTCCTGCGGGGGTCAATTGATGGCCAATAATGCAACACTATGTAACAGGGCTGGTGTGTGATGCACTTTGTCCGACTTAGTCTGCCACCTTATCATCAGACCTTTTTGATGGAGTTAATACTTTTA